GCCGCGATGAACGTTGAGCAAAAAGGCGTGCCCCCAAAAAAAAAAACCGGCTCGTCATGCTCGCGGCGTGGTCCGCCAGCTGCTGCGCCTCCGCGGTCAGAGGGCGCCTGCACCTTTACGTGTCAAACGATGCTAGCGTGCAGACCCGCTGAAGAGTCTCCCGGCACGGGCGACAACACTGACGACATCGCTGACAACATTGCCGGCATGGCGTTGAATTCCCGGCTATCCCAACGCACAAACTGTTGGAAATGAGACACCTTGTTGCTGTGAGGGGCATGCTGGCGTTTGGGTTGGGGCAACTTGGCTGGATGCCCAAACACGCTGCCTGCTAGATGCCTCAGGCTTGATATATCGGTGGTCGCGCTGTCGTCGGCTCCAGCTGTGTTAGCATGGGCGTGGGCCCATAGCGAACCACATCCCTTGCGTGGTGATTTGTTTCTAGCTTGTGCAGCTCCAATTACGTGCCAAGACCACACATTCCATTGCGTTGGCCGGAGCGGGTTGGGTCTGCGAAATGGCGCCTTGAGCCGTCTGACCCTTTCGACCCGCGTTGGCGGTGGAAGTGCCAGATGTGGTGGCTGCTTACGCCCGAAATGCTTCCAGCCGTTGTTGCAGGGCTGAGATGCTATTGGACAAGGGGTTGTTTGGAGGCGCGGCTGACTCAACTGCGTTTACAGTGGAAGCTGCGGGGGGTGACGTCCGCTTGTTTTTGCCGTCACCTTTTGGGAGGTTGCGAGCGTTGAAAAAACATGCCTCAGTTGTATGGCTTTTACCATGCTTTTACCCTTCTCAAGGCAACAGATGGCGCACGGAGGCCCTTTTGCAGGGCCTGCACTGCTGGGATCTGCTTTGCCTTTGTCCTTCCCTTTCTTCTCACCGTTCCCACCTTTATCACCTTTGCTCCATTCCAGCAACGCGTCCAAAGGTTTTTGGATATAAGGTATTGGATGATGAATTCACGGTGGATAATATTATAAGGGGGCAATAGTACTTTGTGGCCCCCTTTATAAACCCCTTAATGATGGCACTTCGCCAAAGACACTCTGTTTGTGGGACTGCTCAATGGGTGTAAAAACCAGAACCTTCCTTCAAACGCTCAAGGACGAATCGTCCGAGGATGTGTTATGCTCAACCAGGGAGTCGCAGCAAGCTCTCAGCACCTTCATCAGCTTCTTGATGAGAGTGCTCGCTGCGGCTCGCAACCACGGCTGGGCAAATGCTTCTGCAAGTCGCGCTTCTGCAGGGCTGTGCGTGACCGTTTCTTCGAACGGACGCACTTGCCTGTATGTGGATCGCGCTTGCGAGCACGCTTCTTCCCACGCGGATGGCCTTTGCCAGGCTTTTGCCTTTCGATCCTTTGCCTTAGGTGTTGCGCGGGTGTGCCGATGTCGCCTTGCAGGCGGTGGAGATGGTGGTGAGGCAGCCAGGGCGGCCGCGGACGCGACCGTCGCCGCGATGCGGCGGCGATGAGGGGCTGCGCGCCAGAGCACTGAGAGTACCCAATGTTTTGGATGTACGGCATGGGGCGACAAAACAGCGCGTGCTTGCATGGTTCGCGGAGCCGCCCGCCACCCCTACGACGGCGTGCACGTCGGCGAAGCGGCGAACCCCGGCCCCGGATGACGTTGCAAACCGCCGCGACCGCACGCTGCATGCCCTGGCCCAAGTGGGACTCCTCCCGCCCACAGCGCCTCCAGCCTCGGATGCGGAGACGCTTTCCGACACGTTTAGTGCTCACACGCCATTGGCGTCGCCACGTGGGGATCGTGGGGGCCCGCTCACGGCTGAGGCACCAGCGTTTCCGCCAGCACCTCCAGGAGACGCGCCCCCGGCCAAACAACGCCGGGCTACTCTTTTTCCAGCGACCCCGAACTAGCCACACGGGGCCGCCCCACTTATCTTTGCCGCGGCCCGCCTGGGCGGCCGGAAGGGTGCAGAAACTCCTGGTTGCACGTTCCCTTGTTGCATGCGGCTGCGGGCACGCTCTCCTCCGAAGCCGCATCAGCATGGGCACAGCACCCATTATGCGGCGACCGACTGGTTCGCGCAGTCGCCGTCGCGGCGGCGCTACCTGTCGACCAGCTGGCTGCCCTGCTGTACGCGTTGGCGGAAGCCGAGGACGCCACCCCTGCAAGCGCTGAAGCCCTCGGCCGTGCTCTTCGGGGGGACAGCTTAGCCTGCATCCCTTTCAGCCGCGCACTGGCATGCCTCGCGGATCGCGAAGGCTATGCGCCGGCGCTGGCCCAGGCAGCAGTGCTCGAGGCGTACGGAGGCCACGCCGTTGAGCCCCGCTTTTGCACAGTGGGCCGCCCGCTGCTTAACTGCTGGGCAAGGGCCATGGGCCCGTCGCTGGTGGAGCACAGCCCTTGGACGCACGTGGGCCCTGCCGGGGCCCGCCTTGACCGCGGCGCCGGAGCTGAATTAGGTCCTGGCTCTCGCTGATGCGGAGGGACCCAGCCGCCTGCCGGTGCGCTGACCATCGGTGACCGCTGACGTAAAATGGCGTGTGGAAAAAAGCAAACAGGTGGTGGTGGCCAAGGCGTTCTGGGCACTAACAGCTCCGCGTAACCATGCGCGCAGGGCGAACGCTGGGACGCACTAGGCTCACGACACTACTTTTCCACTGGGAAGGAATCCGAAAAGCTACAAATTCCCACATGTTGTCGTCATGGTTTTCATGACACATCTGCAAGGGCAAAACAACATGTACAACTGTCAAGCAACATGCATGTCGCATTTCCTACATGCTCGCAGCTATCCCCAAGCCGTGCTGCGACTCTAGGGCGCAAGTTCGGCTTCCTTTGCAGTGCGGTTTTCTTTTTTTCCTTCCCACACACGCCTTTTTCAGCTGTCCTCGCGGTCGCAGTCCCAGCCCACTTGTGCAATCCGCTGCGAGGCGGCCGCTGCGAGGGCCGCCCGGCTTTGTTGTACACCGATGCCTCAAATGTCCCATCCCGCGATGGAGCTGTCGTCCTGGGCGGTTCCTCCCAAGCTCGCGGATAGACGGTCGCGAAAAAACATACATGGCAATTGGAAGTTCTAGCTGGCCCTTTGGCTCTCGCCGCCTGGTTAGAAGTTTTTCGTCACAAAGGGGTGCTCCATATTGTGGATAACGCCTCTACGGCCGCTTGCTTACTCAAGTCTGCAAGTCGTTTCATCGCCTGTTGTTGGCGACTACTGGCTGCGAGCTGCGGCAGTGTTGGCGGACACTTATGTGGACCGCGTAAAATCGAAGTGCAACCTAGCCGACGGTCCGAGTAGAGGCCATTTCGCTCCGCTTGGGCTCAGTTCACGGAGCCGCCGTCCAATTTTTCATCATCTCTTCTTCATTCGGATTTAAGTGGTTCTCGGCAGGCTAGTGCTGGCTACCGGGCAGTCAGTCCCCAAACTCTGCGAAAGAGGGGGGGCCCAACTTATCCTTCTTTGGGAAGGAGCCCCCAACCTGCTTTGAGTGAGAAATGTCATGAGAAGCTCGTGGTCAGCAGTCGCCGAAGGGGATCCACGTGTGACAGTCGAAGAATATCCAGTGTGCTTTTCTGGAACGGACGCCCTCGTGGCAGTACCACATGTCGCGGACCCTCACCAAACACTCTCGCGATCGCGTGCTCCTGCCCTCCGCGTCCGCTGCCCAGACGCTCCAGCTCCGCATGGGGGCGCCGCCCCACGCGACGGTCCTCTAATGCTGATATGCCCGCTGCTGGTGCTGACCCGGCGAGCGACGACAATGACGACCCCCAGTCGGTCCCAGTCTGCTCGGATCCAGCAGCTTTGGCTGGGGCTGAGGCGTGGAGGCTTTGGGACGACGTCGACGTCGACGTCGTGGACGAGTTTGCCGGAACACCAGCGGTGGGGGGACGCAGGAAGAGCAGTTTAGGGTTGATGCTTCCACGACACAATGCAGCTCTCGTGTTTCCTTCGGAGAATCAGATTTTGTCATGAAGGAGCAAGAATCTCGTATGGTTGCTGTCCTTACTATGACCTTCAAGTCTTCAAGACGTGAGTCAGTGGTTCAATGTGCTTGCCACATCGAATGCATAGAGGGTACGTACACTAGAATCTAACCGTATACTATAGTATATTGTAGCATAGTATGGCATACTCTAGCGCTATACTCTGCATAATACGAAAGTAACCTTCAGTATGCAAAAGCATTCGTATGCTATCCATTCGGCTTGCAGTAAAATTTCAACAAAAGTTGGCAGATCATTGCAAATGGCCCTTCAATCGGGAATTGCGGCAACAGTGGATCCAACCTGAAGATATGTGGCCAATGCAAAGAGCGTGAGCATGTGGATTGGAAGGTTCACAAGAAGACTTGCCAAAAAAAGTGACACTCCAAGTAAGTCTGGCACATGATCATGGGTTTCTGAAGGCATGGACACCTTTACAGACAATGGCATGTGCAAATTTGTTGCAGACATCGCGCCTGGAAAGGCAGTGGCGTGACTGCGCGAGTCGATAAACCACAGGGTACAGTGTTGGTACGGGATGAGCCAATTTTTGTACTTTCTGGCCAAGAGCTTGGGGTCGCAGGCGTGTGTTCCGGTCATGCCGATCCGTCTGTTACCTTTGACAGGAAGCATGCAGCGATCAAGCAAGAAGCTCCAAGCACTTTCCAAGGAGGATCAGTCGAGGGTCCTTCTGCTGCCGACTGCGCTATTAGCGACAGGCTTTGTAAAGAGGGGAAGATCAAGTTCTCTTGGGGGCCGTGTGCGCTCTCTCAAACGTACTTGCCCCGCCAATCTCGCCGGAGATGCACGAGAGTGGTTACAAAAGCCCAGAGGGAATTTTCAGCACAAACAGCATAGACCGCGAAGGATTCAGATGTGCTAGGGCTGTACCCGCTGATCAGCAGATTCAACTGCAGGCTACCGTTGGCACCTGCAGGCCATGCGGGACATTCAAACTGGGGAAGAGATCTCCGTTTCCTACTTCGATGCTCGGTTTAAAACCAAGAAAGAGAGGCAATTGCACTCTGCGATGAGGCTAGGCTTCAAATGCTAGTGCGAAATGTGCGAAGTTCCTGGAGTCGCGGACATCCAGCGCCTGGTGAAATCGCTGGACCACGGGAAGATGACTTGGAGCGCCTTATCGGAAATGAAAAGATGGCGTTGGAGTTTGAAATTGAGTCCGACACACGCAGAGGGCAGCTAGATCAGCTGAACAAACAGCCGAATATGGCGACTTCTTGGCGCATGGCTGAAGAGATGGTTAAAAAGATGAGCACGTTGTACAAGCAGGAAAAGATCTTTCCAAACTTGCTCATTGAACGCCAAATGGCTTTGGACTTGGTGCAACAGTAGGGCCGCGAGTGGTGCAAAACCTTTTCTGATGTTCTCCGGCTGCTTGAAGGCACGGCCCCCAAGCCCACCTAGCAGTTAGCCTTCCAGAGCCAATGCTACTATAGTTTAGTATAGTGTGGTAGACTTTGTAGCGTATTTTGTAGTGAGAGAGTGAATGAATGAGTGAATGAATGAGGGAATGAGGGAATGAGGGAATGAGGGAATGAGGGAATGAGGGAATGAGGGAATGAGGGAATGAGGGAATGAGGGAATGAGGGAATGAGGGAATGAGGGAATGAGGGAATGAGGGAATGAGGGAATGAGGGAATGAGGGAATGAGTGAATGAGTGAATGAGTGAATGAGTGAATGAGTGAATGAGTGAATGAGTGAATGAGTGAATGAGTGAATGAGTGAATGAGTGAATGAGTGAATGAGTGAATGAGTGAATGAGTGAATGAGCGAATGAGCGAGACCTGCATGCCGATAGGCAGCCACTGTGGGGCGCAGGCAAACATTCAAGATAGCAAGTGACATTGTAACTCTCACGTGTGAACGCTACAAAGAACCGCGCAAACAATGCAAGCACCTGCGAGAATCATGTCTGGTTGGTTCGCCTCTGCGGATATGCGGAGAATAATCTTGTTGCTTTCCTCGCATTTGTACAGCGATGATGTCCGGGTTCATCGTACACTGTATAGTATTCTAGTACACAGCAGAAGGAGCCCAGCCCCGGCAGGCGAGGCGCGTCCTGACACGAACAGGATAAAGGCGTGAACCACGAAGCTGCCGAGCCTTCAAGAGGCGAGGCACAGGGGGGTGGGGAAGGCTTCAACTTTAGTATGCAAAAGAGTGTGCCAGACATCCATATACTAGACACAACAGTATATAGTTTAGGATATGCTATACTTTAGCGTGTACCATTGCGTATACTATAGAGTAGGCTCTGTCGTAAACTTGTTAGTATACCGTATTCCGTTTTTTATTCCGTAGTTTTTTCGGTACAAAGCGGCGGTGGAGGGGAGACGGGGCGGAACCGGGACTTGCACGACTTGGAGCAGGGCTTATCAGGCTTTGGGGCGTAGATAGGGCTGATGCCTTAGTCATTGCAGGCAATCAGCACTCTGGGGGGTTTAGGCTTGTTGCGTGGGAAACGCTGCACGTGGAAGACTCGTCAAGCTTCAATCAGGTGATTGCTTACACCAGCAGGTGAACTCCGAGCCAGATGAGGCGGAGGTAGTAAACCAGAGTACTACAGTACTACAAGTGTCGTACTACTATAGTACTTGCCCGCGACTGCAGACTCGAAGCTGCAAAGATGTCAGCGCAACATCGTGATGGGAAAGGCGAGCAAAAGAAACACCGTTCGGCTAGTTGCATGCGTGATTTGATCTCCGGAGCTGTTGGATGTAGAGTTGTTGTTGCGGGATAAGTTGCCATGCGCGTTCGCACTCTTGCAGCACGACAAGTCTCAAGTTTGTCAAATTTCCCTTCGTGGCCATGCACTTTCTGTTGCTGACAGCGTTGCCATGCATCGCCGTGGCACACATGCGTGGCGTGACCTCCAACACGAAGTTCCTTGATATTGCGTTTCTAACCGAAACGGACGTCGACGAAACGATTGCGCGAGAGGCCGGCTTTTGCTGTCGCATGGTCGCATACAACCACCTGCGAGTCTTTATTATGTGGGTTTCAACCGCTGCATGCACTAATTCTTGTTTGCTGGCAGGCCAACTCCAGCGGAAGCAAGCTGGCGACCCTCCGGTCAGCGTTGGAAACGACATATGCCGCGCTTCCCAAATCGGACGGCCACCTAACCGAGCAGACAGTGCGCTACGCCGAAGCCTCGGGGAGGTTGTTGAAGAAATTCCTTGGCCAAGCCTAGTCTTTTCTCCCGAGGTCCTGCACCGCTACTTCCTGAACCAACATGGTTGGTTAATCAAGGAGCTCACTCAAGCATGATAGATGAGAAGTCAGTGTTGGGTTTGGGGGTGCTTGGCAGGGACTCGAACCGCAAAACACCTCCTGGGCTCATCAAACGAAGCAGGTCCAGCAGGCGCGGCATGCAGAAGGGTTAACATGTGCCAGGTGTCCGTGCTGCAAAAAGAAACTTGCGGGTAGGACTGGTCGAGTTGGCTCCCGTCGTATTTGCAGAAGAAGTTCCAGGACGGGGGTGGGAGGATGTGAACATACATGAACTCATGCGTTGGCTGCAATGTTGGAACGGAAGGTGCAAATGCAGCGGGGCACCGAGCTGTCAGCGCTGGCAGAACCTTGGCGTGAACTTAAAGATTCCGAAACATCATTAGGTATTTCCTTGCACGCCGAGCACTGTTCAGGAAATGGTGGCCGTCATCGAGGACTTGGTCCACAAGGAGGCTGTGTGTCTCTTTGTATATGTGTGTGTGTGTGTGTGTGTGTGTGTGTGTGTGTGTGTGTGTGTGTGTGTGTCTGTGTGTCTGTGTGTCTGTGTGTCTGTGTGTCTGTGTGTCTGTGTGTCTGTGTGTCTGTGTGTCTGTGTGTCTGTGTGTGTGTCTGTGTGTCTGTGTGTCTGTGTGTCTGTGTGTCTGTGTGTCTGTGTGTCTGTGTGTCTGTGTGTCTGTGTGTCTGTGTGTCTGTGTGTCTGTGTGTCTGTGTGTCTGTGTGTCTGTGTGTCTGTGTGTCTGTCTGTCTGTCTGTCTGTCTGTCTGTCTGTCTGTCTGTCTGTCTGTCTGTCTGTCTGTCTGTCTGTCTGTCTGTCTGTCTGTCTGTCTGTCTGTCTGTCTGTCTGTCTGTCTGTCTGTCTGTCTGTCTGTCTGTCTGTCTGTCTGTCTGTCTGTCTGTCTGTCTGTCTGTCTGTCTGTCTGTCTGTCTGTGTGTGTGTGCGTGTGTGCGTGTGTGCGTGCGTGTCTGTGTCTGTGTGTCTGTGTGTCTGCGTGTCTGCGTGTCTGCGTGTCTGCGTGTCTGCGTGTCTGCGTGTCTGCGTGTCTGCGTGTCTGCGTGTCTGCGTGCCTGCGTGCCGGCGTGCCTGCGTGCCTGCGTGCCTGTGTGTGTGTGGGCCTGCCAAAGCCAGTCATTTGCTCGAGCTTAATGCTGAACTGCTTGACCTGTTGCCTTTCGCCAGGCAGAACTTCAACTCCAGGAAGTCTACGAAGCCATGGGGAAGGATGCAACGATGCCTCTCAATCGCTCTGCGGCCCTTGAGGCGAACACATCCCAGAATCCCTCAACCTGGGCCCAGTGAATCCGGGAGATCCATTTTCACAAAGTACCATAATTATGACAGGTGATCGACATGTACGCTTTGCTTTGAACTCGGTCTCTTGCACCATGCTGCAGTCGGGGTGTCGGCTACACCACGTTGCGGCAGAACTCAGGGTCTTCCTGGTTGCACGCAACATCTCCGTGGCAGACCCTAGCAAGAATCGGAAGAGGCAGCGAATGATCATGTGTAATGTATGCAGGCAAGCTTTTCAATTCGGTTGAAGGCACAGCAAGTGCAGCAACGCGCCAGGTTGCTGGGTTTCAGGAGAAAGTATCACGGCTTCGCGGAGATGCACAGGCGCCCTTTTTTTGTTTTGCAGAGTTTTTTGTGCGGCTGCGTGAGTCGAGCCTGAATTGCGTCACGAGTGTCGCGTGCAGGTGGCTAGAGGCCCGGGCCTCAGAGACCCTGAGAGCATTTCGGCATATCTGCTTTGGCGAAGAGTCGCACCCTTTCATCATCTTGCGTCCTGGCGATCGTTTTGCTCTCGACCACAGATGCTCGCAGGGCTTGGTGGAGGAAAAGTTGAAGATGGGCCAGGATGTGGAGTTCCAGCGCCTCAAGGAGGTAATCACCTACGGTACCTCTTCCGTAGCCTTGCTCCATGTCTGCGAAAGAGTGATGCTCAGGTGGTGTGGGAGGTTGGTGACCGATACCCAGAGTTCAACGACCAGGAAAGCGAGAAAGAACATGTGAAACTCTCTGTGCCGACTGTTGTCTCCTTCTGCTCTCACAGGGTTCTTTCGGGCTGCCTGAGTATGTGGATGTGACATGAGGAGTGCCACCAACTGAAGCACACGCTCATGGGCATGGAGGGAGGAAGCCGAAAGCCTGGGCGAATCCCGTTGGTAGACTTCTACAACAAGCTGGGGCGCCTACAAAGACTGAGCACTTCAGACCACGTCTTCATTACCAAGAGCAGATTCGCTGCACTTCGCCGTGAAATGTCGCTTCCCAAGGTCCAATCACAACCACTGGAGGTCCGGTCCTCGTGGCTCCTTTCAGCACGTATGGACTACTACTGACTAAACTGACTACCGGTGCTACGCCGAGGTTCACAGAGAGCCCTGCATGGGGCTTGGGATGAAAGCCGGTGACAGCACAGATCCCGTGCGTGTCCTTCAGCATGTGGATTTGAGGAGTACCTCCGTGACCTGGTCATGGGCCCCAGCTTTTCAGTTGGGGGGCGTGCATGCCGAGCTGGTTTGATGGAACAAGACCCTGAGTCTAGACCAAACATTTGTGCAAACTCAAAGGGAGGCGCCAAACCATTTTGAGGCAGGTGGCCGCACGGCACACAAGTCGATCTGAGAAGAGTTTTGGGGGAAAGGCCGGAATGGGGCAGCACACTCGACGTCCTTCAAATGCAGAGAGGGGACCACCGGACCAGAAGCGGAGGAACAGGTCGGCTCAGGGCCGCGTTGGCCCGGTGGCGAAACCTCCTCTGCTGGGCTTTGCAGGAGTGGCCGATGCGTGGCATGCTGTTGCAGTACGCAGTTATTTGGCTGGCGTCACGCAGAGCTTGTTTGCAGCGTCGTGCCGTCATACCGGTCATACCGTCTTGCAGACATGCCAGATTATAAGCGTCACCAACCTCATGTCGCCAAGGGTGCGCTGGACGAGGCCGACCCTCAGCGGCCGCATGTCCTTCTTGCCAATTACCTCAGCAGCCTGTCACCGAGACGGTGCGAGAGAGCAATATTCTGCAGTAACACTTTGTGTGCACGATTGTGCATACGCGAGGGTGAAATTGACCTCAGGCTTCAACAATTGCCTGCGGGCCACGAGCCTCTATGCTGCCAGTGGCCTGAGCTTTGCAGGGTACAGTATGTGAATCTGACAAAGCGCATTGGGCTCCTGAGGGTTTTGTAGCAGTTTTGTGCTTCTTCAGGTCTGCTGCCGGAACCCCTGTGAGGGACTGCTTGCGTCCTTGGAGAAGGAGGCTGGAGACTGGATGCTACTCGTATGTATGCTATGTATGCACTGTCTGCTCTGTGTTTCATGTATGCCCCTGGCCATCTGGTGCCAGGTCGGAGGACCCTATGCCACTCCGGACCAGCTTGCTGCACTGGTGGCGAATCTCTCCACCGATACCATGCTGTGGCTGAGTCCTGTAGACAAGGGGGCGCCCGAAGAACCGAACTCATTGTTGTGGCTGTCTCAGGCCGAAGCGCTCGGGCCCAGAGAAGCTGGAGGCCAAAAGAAGGACGCAAGCGATCCGGAAGCGTAGTTGAACTGAAGAAGCTGGAAGGCAAAGCTCCTGGAGCGCCTGCGCTCGATCGGCAGCCAGGAGCGCACAGCATCGCATCACAGCCAATCAAGCTTTGGAACTGGAAGTATTCAAGGGGCATAGAATCAGAAAGGATGTTATTGCATCGGCCAGGTGCCGCTGCACGGACGTCTCTTCGCCCAGTGGATGCGGCCTGGCAGAGATGGCAGCAGAATTCATTGCAAGCCTGCTTTCTTCATGCACTTCCGAGCCCATGCGAGCTCTCTTGCTCGCTGCACACGCTTGTTGAAGAAATTGCCGGGAGGACATAAGCAGTCAGCGAGGTGTTGAATCATGTGTGGCCGAGATGCTCTGAGGCACCATGCCTTTCCCCGCGAGTGTCCGTACCCGCATGCCGCCGGCGTTGGCACCCCACAACCGTCAAGCAGAGAGTGAGAGAGCAGTCTGAACATGTCTGAGCGAATTGGCGTGTAGTGGACTTAGACGACGAATCCGCAGACACCCGTCCACAGCTCAGGGCCGTGGCTTCACACTCAGACAGATTCACACACAAACTCAAAAGACCGGCTACACGTCTTGCAGGACGAATGGATGAAAGCCATGGGTAAAAGCACATCCATCTCCGAGCAGCAGAAGCAAGCGATCGCAATTCGGCCGCTTTTCATCTGGGCTTTTTGTCCTCGTTTTCGCTCGTGGCCCTGCCCAGGTCGAAGCTTACTGCCCCTCGGTACCAGAAGACCAGGCTTTGTTCGGCTTGTTCAATGCTCCGCATGAGCACGTGCTAGCGTTGCATGTGCGAGGCATCGAAGGAGTGTGGTGCGCGGACCTTGACATGCGGCACCCCTTGGCGAGATGGTGCGTGAAGTTGTTAAGCGAAACGAGGTTGAGACTGCAGAGCTGCCCTGGAACGATCGGGAGGAGCAAGTGGAGCAAGTGCTTGCATGATCTTGCATGTGCGAGCTTCGCCTCGAGCTCCTCGCCTGTTCGCTCCGAGCCGTTTTTGACCAGGAGCTGCTCGAGGTGAACCGTGAACACAAAATCTCTGACAAGACTTCAGCTGGCGCTTCAGACAAGTTGCTCATCCAAGAGGTGTTCTGCTCACGGTCAGATGAATCTTCGCCATGTCTACCCATGTCTACTCATGACACGATGACTCTCAAGCCTAACAGATGCTGAGGCAACGCCCGCAGACGAAATCACGACCAATGAAGGTCAAGCCTGCTTCAGCTGGGCTAGCTTGGCGAAACGCATCGCCGGCTTCTTATTGCTTTCGGGCTTGGCCAGTGTGTAATTCCGCTGGCCCAAAGCCGAGGGCATTATCTTGAGCAGCCTGGTCTGAGGTCCCAGGTTTAGCCATCCTTCTGGGGCGTCGTGGACTGGCAAAGCTTCGACATGGCCTTGTCGTCGACACTCGGCTTGCACTTCTGACTTCTGACCTCCCCGTGATACATGTAGTTTTGCCTTCCTCAGGCTCCTCTTTTCTTGGTTGCGTTTATCTGTGTTACTCATACTGGAGCAGAGTTCAACATGTTTTTGTTGATTCAGTAGGTGTCACTTGTGCAACAGCGCATCGGCGATCGGGCCGATTCCAGAAACAATGCCTGGTGTCCTTGTCCGATTGGCAGCCGTTAGTTTCGCACTCTGCCAAGGGACTTCTGGCCTGGGTGGGCATTGCCTTTGAGATTCTGGACATTCGGTATCGCAGTGGACTTCTTCAAATGTGTTGATGAGCAGCACGCCTTTATCGAAAGGACTTCCGCGTTGTTGTGGCATCGGGCCTGCTCTACATGCTCTGGCAAAAGGCAAGCTACGGTAGCGAGCGTACAGTGTACGACTTCCTTGACTCGAGAAAGCAGCTGCAACCAGCTGCATGGATGCATATGGATGCTGATGAGTTGCTTTTGTCACTTTTGTCCGGAGCGGTGGAGGCCACGAGCCCCTGCATTGAGATCGGTGAGATTCGGAAGACGGAGAAGTGTGAGGTTTAGCTTCGCAGCATGCAGCAGATAGTAGCAGGTGGTAGCGGATCGCAGGAGTCAGACGGTCCAGCCTAGCTGGCATAGGCTCCTTGATTATTTTCCCTTGTCCGAAAAAGCTGCCATGTCGAGTTGAGCTGTGTGGCCGCAAGCATCAGCACCCCCTTCCAGAAAGCACGTGCTCAAGGAAGAGTTTCACACACCACTCAAGATTGCCAATGTGGCCTGGGCCATTATGGCTTACAGCTACGGACAACCCTTCCGACCTGCTTACTGTTTCCATAACGAGATGCAAGGCCGAAGGGGTCAACATGGGAAGGGACGAAGTGAGGCGCGTAAGAGCGTCAGACCAGTGTCAGGCTGGCTTCTCCTCTTCGCCGCGAGTTTACGTTTGGGTGCCGCTCTTCCGGCCTGAGACATAGAACTCACAGAACGCAGCTGTGTTTAAATGCTTCTTCATGTCTTTCGAAGCACCGGCTTTCCGAAGGCGGAGGGAACCTGTTTGTTACACCGGTGTCTCGATGCCGGCAGGAACGAGGCCTTTGGACCGTCTTGGATCTGGATGACGTCTGCGAGCTGCGCCAAGGCACCGCAAATTGAAGAAGGGCTTCGCGATGATACAGCAAAACAAGAGAGCGCCAGAACAACCACTACTGCAAGCAATAATTTGTAGTTCGAAGGGCGAGCTTTGGTGTTGCAGAGTCTGGGTGGCTTAGACACCTGGGCGGCCTAGATAGAAAAGACATTGCTACGGCCAGAACAAGTCTTGTATTCCTGGAGGTCGCAGGGCCAGTTGCGCCTTCAGTGCCATCCAGGTTCGAGGTCAACGCGACCAGGAGCGAGCACTCGTAGCGTTTTCGCCGAGTCGTTAAGTGTACCTCCCATTCCTGTCAGGACGTGGCCCTGCTTTTGGATGATGAGGCCGACATGGACATGGAAACAAGCGCAGCAGCCGCTACAATATTCATGTCAGCTGAGCTTGAGGAAGCACAGCTTGTGCACAGCTGCCTGAAAGTGTCCCGGTTATGTGCTGTTTTGCTCGCTAGTGACTGCTAGTGCTTCGCCGACAGCGACCACTACTCCCTGAGCAGCACCTTGCGCACGACAGCCCGCTCGGAGGACCTTCACATGCACGTCGTTTTCTCGTTGCCTCGAAGGCTCAATGCATTTGAAGCCTTGGAGTGTGAGCTTTCTCGCAGGCCAACCATACCAAACACGATGAGTTCTGACGCTACAAGGGCAGAAAGTCAAGTGCAGCGCTGTACGCAAAGTGACCTGCCTCTGCGAAGGCTGTTCAGTGGTAGAACTTCCGAAACGGAACCCAATTTCCGAACACAGGGAAATCGCTTGCTTCGACGAAAACAACTCCGAAGGCTTGTGTAGAGCATGTTCGTTTGCCACAACTGTGAAGTTTAAAGAATTGTCCAGAACCTGCCTTTACGCTACGCGACCCGCCTCGGCCTGAGCTTCTGGAACAAGGCAACCGAAACTGGAGGAGGGGGTCGGGGGGGGGTTTTTGGGGGGGGGGGGGGGCCGGGGGGGGGGGGTGGGGGGGGAGGCCTCCTCCCCCTCTTCCCCCAATGTAACATAGAGGGTCCACTGCCAGATACCGACAGGGCCAGGTCCAAACCCATCGACCTCAGCGTGCCGCTCGGAAGCTGAGTCCCCACTCTTCGCCAATGTGTCTCGTGAGAGCGGGCGATGTGCATGTCGTGATGTGTCGTGTATGTCCGGCTCAGAACCCAGTTGCTTGCGATGTAGCAGACTCCGACGGCATGGGCACGGTGCATTCGGCTTCCTGCGGGTGGCAAAGGCAATCTCTGAAAATCGCGACTGTGACATTGACCCAAACTTGTTGACATCAGGAAATGCTGTGTTGCGGCCTCCGCTGACGATTGCCTTCCGGAGTCCGTGTCGGTATTGGAGACAAAGCATTCCGAAGTGAAGGACATCACTTTTAGATGATGAAGCTTGCTTAGCTTCCCTGCGCGTTTTGTTGTTTGCATCTGCAGGCTGAACGAAGGCGTGCGTCTCAGTGAAGTGACCAGCGCATGCAGACGCAGAGTAGAAGCAGCCGTCACTCAGGTCGGCCGCTCCTCAGGCCGATGCACTTGCATCCAGAATCATCTAGAATCCATATTTCAAATGTAGTTGAAAGGCGGACAGACAGAGACAGAAAGAGATAGAGAGAGAGAGAGAGAGACAGAGAGTAGTGAGAGAGAGAGAGTGCTGCTTACAAGTCGAACGGGTATTGGCAGATAAGCAAATCGGATCTTTTTGAGTAGGTCCCTGGTGCCGCCCAGCAGTGGCGGCCACCGATCAGCCAGGATGTCTGCACTTGCGTGCCTCAGTCAGATGCGCCACCCCTTCACATATATCCATAATATATGTAATATATGTATATGTGACATAAACAACATATGCTGCTACATAAGCTGTGACACAACATAGTCTAGCATGATGCGCCTTTCTTGCATACTTAGCATCGCTTCACAGCAGGACGACCTGAAGAAACTCCAGATTCAGCAAGAGGAGAACCATCGCTGGCTCATGTGTCTCGGCTCTGTGACATGGATCGGCTCAGGACCATGGTTACATCTTTTTTGTGTTTGAGCGACTGCCAGGCTGCAGCAGCAACGCCACCGAGAGCTCTTGGAAAAACGAGTTGCTGAATCACAGCAGCCCGAAAGCCAAGATTGAAAGCCAAGTGCTGGAAGACCTAAGTCATCTCAGACGGATGTGAGACTTGCCGCTCTTTGAGGCTTGCCATGAAGATCAGGCTTGAGCCTTCAAGAGAGACAAGGAAACAGAGAGTAGAATGAGAGGCAAACACTTGCTTTAAACAGGAGGGAGGATTCGGTTCTTGCTTCTGCTTTGCGCAGGCACTTCCAAGTGCCGCAAGAACATCGAGTTGGCTCTGCAGACCCTCGTGGGGAAGTTGCACAGCGGCATCCAACACTGATGCAGCACATCCATCTTGCAAGGTGCCTTCTTTTTAGGCCGCAAGCTGATTTTCACTCAATGATTTGCGTTCAGAGGTTCCGCGTTCCCGCTGACTTTGGCGCCTGTGTCTGGACCAGGTGCCAGCCGAACCAGGCTCACATTGGCTTTAACATGGGCCGGAATGGCCAGAACGCGGCGCTGCAGATGCAAGGTGGCATGGCACCGGCATGTGGTCGAATGTTTTCTGCAATTTGGCATGCCAGGTCCATCCGTGGCCGTCGCTGGCAAAACCAATCCTGAGCAAGAGCAATTGCCTCAGAATCAGGCCCTGTGACCACCTGTACTGCCACAGCCGACAAGTTTTGAGGTTAACCGTGACCCAGCTCCCAATTGTCATGTTCGATGACGACTGATGCGTTGGTGTGTAGTGGAGTCGTTTCACGCACGGTAGTGGAATGGAGTGTCCGGCACAACTCGACTAAGCTCCTGAGGGGTGTGGGCTCCCAAATCCGGCACGTTGTGTTTCACGTGGCTGCCGAAAAAAGGTATGCAAACCTGATGCCACACCAATGCCTCTGCCCTCGCTGAGCGCATACAGCCTCGCTCGCCGCCTGCTGCCGCCGAGCTCGAGCAACTGCATCGCGCATAGCCAACAGCCGACCGGCCAGTGGCAAAAACATCAGCACTCATACCAAGCATGCCAAGAACCATCTTTAGGAGTGAGCGCCCATGAACGCAGGCTTCCTTGTGCAAGAGAACGCACCTACAGTTGGTGCCATGGCGAGATTTGATGACGTCGCAGCTGCCATCAAATCAAGCAAGTAACGACGATTCACATCTTTCGAACGCGGCCAAGGCCTCCAGCACTCAACGAGATGGCGCGCCATCTTCATCGACATATGCAGGTGCCCGGTCGTCGTCGACCTATACATCCGATACCCGCGGATATCCGACAGAGAAGGCGGCGGGTTCTGCTAGCAAACCATTGACATTGCGCGCGGCCATCAAGGCATGTGACGTGGACAGCGTGCACCTGGCTTTGCAAAAACTCCGGGACTTGAACGCTGAAGCTACCGAAGCCGCTTTGGATGCCACGGATGGCATGGGCCGCACTGTCCTCCACATCTGTGCCGCCAACGCTCGGCGAGCTGGCACTGGTGACGTGGTCAGATTGTTGCTGGAGAGCAAGGCCCGAACAGATGTACGGGATGCGAACGAGAAGAACCCTCTCGACGTGGCGGTGGCCGCTGCTTCAGTGGCAACAGAAGCCACAGAGTTCCCTCCTGCTACCGCAACCGTTTCTCACTTACTGGCTGCTCGAGCATGTGCTTCTCGAGATTGGGCTGCGTTGGGACCCAATGAGACCCCTAAGATGGTCTGAATATGTCTGAAACATCAGAGAGACCGAGGAGAGCAACGGCAGCTTCTGCAAGAAGGCCTGGCAGCTGCATCCCCGGAGGCCTGAAAGAATCAAACTATGGGGGGTCGGGGGGCAGCGCAACAAGCCGGACGTTCTTCGGACTCTTCCGTTGTGATTACGTACCTGCCTCAAGTCAAGCTCCTCAACAACCTGCAGTGCAGGACTCAAAACACAACATGACCATGCCCGTTGGAACAGCCTCTTGCAGACCGTTGCAACAGGCATGCTAATCAAAAGCGCATGAATAGATTCGGACACACTGGGCAATCTGAAGAAGGCTGTCTTGCGATTTGTCCTGCCATCCCTTGCAGGTTGTTTTACCTCGCTGACCCTCACTTGTGATGGCCTCTACCCTACCCACACGGAATGGGCTTCATACCCGAACATAGAAAAACAAGCAAGACTCACCAAACAAACAAGACACGAACAACCCAGAAACACAGACTCAAGGAAACATCGGCCAAACAACAAAAAAGGACCTGCGCAATCGCGGCAGAGCTGTGCAGTATGGGACATGTTCAGGTGGTGTTTGCAAGACAACACACAAGGCGGGCAAAAGGACTTCTCAAATCAGGCCCTCATGCGGTCACAAAAAAAATTAGAAAGGGGCAAATCTCCGCGAAGATGCTGTCCAAGACGGTGGAGATGTATTCTATGTGCGTCCTTATACAGATTTCACGAGAAGCTCTAGAATGCAATGCATCCCTCGGGGCAGACTCTCTGCTTCTCACGCCCTGGAATGCGTGTAGCTGCAACTTGCAGAAGTCCCAGATGATGGCGATGTTTGCGCTGTTTGCACGGGCCTTTCTTCAATCAAGACATGCAGCGCCTGGCGATGCCCTCTTCCGATGTGTCAGACATCACACCTCACACCGACTGCATTCCTCATGGCATGATTCCACTTGGTACCACCACGCCTCACCACGCCCAAAGGTGGAACATGGCTTGTCGCAGATATTGGCATTGCTCGCGCCGCCGCAGGACAGGTCCCGTGCAGTCGCTTGAAATCACAAATTGCAACACATTGTAACATGATTGTGCGCAGGACGCCCCTGGCATGGTTGCTGAAAAGCTGATGCAAGCTGTAGATCACCACGATCCGCAAGCTGTTCAAATCTTCTCCCAGATACGAGAACGAACAGATAGAACCACCCTGCTTGAGCAGTGCATGCAAGCGTTGCAGGTTGCAAGTGGTTCTCGGTTTTTCTCTGATTGCTAAATGAGGCACCCTTGCGTTCCCTGCATCTACCGTTGCCGTACACTTGAGGTTCGACGTCGACGGCAACACGCTGCTGCACAGGTTCATGGCTGGGCCTAGCTCTCACACGGACAAAGATGTGGAGATCCTGCAGCTGTTGCTGGAATCTGCTTCAGACATCAACAACCGGAATCTGCTCGGTGAGACGCCCCTGTTGGCCGGTGCCAGGTCAGGTGCAAAGCTGGAAATGCTGGAAGTTCTTGCTGGAGCTGGGGCCGATGCTTCTTCGCCCGACACGATCTCACATGAGACGGCACTGATGGAGGCGGCCTGCCGTGGCGACGCTGATCTGTGCCGACTTCTGCTCAACCACCGTGCAGACGCTGCAGCGCGGAACATCCATGGATGCACAGCTTGGGATCTCGCAATCGAGAACAGGCACAGCCACCAGACCATGAGTTCAGAATTCTTTTTTGGGCCCCTCTTTTGCCAGAACTCGGACATGCATTCTAAAGTCGCCCTTTGGCAATTTGGCACGGCGGAAGTTTGGCGATTCGGGACACGGCTTCTGCGCTTTTTACCCAGGTTTGGGAGGGTGGGTGGGTGCAAACAGTCCCCATTGCAATTCTACGTGGCAAGCCATTTATGGTCACATAGTCGCGTTTTGCTCGCTGCTCAACAGTATCTCCTGCCTGCGATGCTGCTCAGAGGCTCAGTTTTTGTGTCGCATGTCAAGTGTCTACTCCTTACCCTAGCCTACACGGTGCAGCCGCAACACTTTCTCCTTCCTTAGGAGCGGCTAAGTTGTTTTAAACATCGTGAAGCGGCTGAGGCGATGTTGTCCAGCTGTTGGCAGAGTACGGCAGCGTGCAGCCGCCGAGCTTGAACACCGAGTTAGTGGCTGCGGTTAAGGGGTCCGACCTGGAGACAGTACAGGGGCTCCTATCGAGCCTGGGGAGTGTTGAGCTCGAGCGAGTCTTGGCGCGCGGAGTGGATGATGCCGGACGACAGCTCTTGCATGTTGCTGCAGCCCAGGGTGCCCAGGGAGGAGCTGCAGACATGGTGAGGCTGCTACTTGAGTTCGGGGCTCCGGCAGACGACGTCGACTTCGCCGGCGACACTCCGTTATCCTTGGCGGCTTCTGCCTCGGTGGCCGCGACTCAGGGTGAGAGAGAGTCAGCCGACGACTCTGGCGACAGTTGGGCAGCTTTAGACACCGTTCGCGTCCTGCTTGTGGCTGGAGCAAGCGCCGATGCAGGCGGCAAGCTCTCTGCGCCCACATGCGTCCTCGCAGAAGCCTTCCAAGGTGGTGGTAGCCGTGATCTTTGCCAGTTGCTGCATGCATTTGGGGCAGCTTTGCCATGGTTTGAAGGCAGTACATCTCAAACGGATGCAGATGACAAGGATGTTGGCCATGTTGGTCAGGGCACCTTCGAGGCCCAGTGTGAACAGGAAGGTATACCCTCGGAGACGTTGGGCGTTCTGGGTTCCAAGGCAGTGCTGGCTGCCTGCATCAAGTGGCGCGAGATGACAGTCAAGCAGCTGCGTGCCGAGTGCGCGGACTCTGGGATACCTACCGATGGCTGCGTGGAGAAGAGCGAGATCATTTCGAAGCTTGGCTGTACTCATCGTGCGGTTTCGGCTTAGATCAGCTTAGCAGGGCTCTGCAGGCACGATGTTGCTCAATGGCCGAGGCGACTACGCCAGGTGCATGTTTGGCAGGCATCGCCGCTTGATGTACTTCGTGAGGCCAGCTGCCTTGTGGCACTTTGCCAGAGAGTTTGTGGCACATGCCTCCGCTTGACGGTGCTGCTTGTCAGTGCTCCTTGTGCTGTCAATGGCCGTTTGAGCAGGAAGTCAGCAAGCACGGCCAGGAAGCAGATCGCTTATCGCGTCAAGAACTCGAGGACTGATTGCAGAAAAGCGATGCTCTCTGAAATCTGACGGCAAGTTCCGATTGCTTGGATGACTTGCGTCTGCCATTAACCACTTGGGCTTGGATTGTTTTGGCTCCGAGAACTGTTCCCTTTCGCCACGCCCCTCATAGATCCTTTGTTAGACCTGCGTGCCATGAGCAAGAAGTGCAACACCCAATCGATCTTTTTGAAGGGCGATGTGGTGAGAGAGGACTTCGGAATGGTCGCAGGGCCGCCTCCTCGAGGTCGTCAGGGCAACCAGCTCGATCGGCCATTGTCGGGTCACTCGTCATGACTTTGTTTGAACCAAATGCTGCATTTCGGGATTTGTCGGGTTGCGGAGCTGACCCAGTGCGGTGTAGTACCGGACAATGATTCCCAATGCAACGCAGGGGCGAGTCTAGGAAGGATGATTGTGCTAAGTCTTCTAAGCGCATTGCTGACTGAAGACTGGACCATGATGACAGAAATGGAACCGATCCGATATGGGCTCCGTGTTTCAGATGAGTTCAGTGCTTGCTTTCTGCTGAGTGTGCTCGTGGCTCTGAGGTCGCCAGGAAGCGGAAGCTGGCGGCATGCGCGCATGGAGCGGCTGGAGTGGGTCCCGGAGGGACGAGATGGAGGAGAGCTGGGCGCCCAAAGGCTCGAGCAAGGGCTGGGGAAAAAGCTGGCGCAGCGACCCCTGGGAGTCCCCAAGCTATGGTGGCTACGGCTATGGCGACAGCTATGGCTACAGCGATTACGGGTATGATGATGGCTATGGCTACGGCAAAGGCAAGGGAAAAGGAAAGGGCAAGGGGAAGGGCAAGAGCAAGGGTCCATCCTTCTACTCCATGCACGATGAGCGTGGTGGCGAACCAATGCGCGAGAGATCACCACGCCGTGCCGGTGGATTTGGCGGGCGTTGGAAGCATGATATGTATGACGAGAAGGACCTGCCCGCAGGTGAGTTCCGAAATTTTGGTGGACGAACCCTTGGTGGTGGGAGGAAAGGCAAGGGGAAAGGGTCGGGCAAGGGCAAGACCAATGGCAAGGCCAACCCCAAGCAGCTTGACCAGCAACTGAGCCGCTACTTTGGAAAGGAGGACGATGGCTTGGACAAGTCGGCTTTGGACACAGAGCTGGACTCCTACATGGGCAAAGAGAAGGCATCCGACGAGAAGGCTTAAAGCATCGACCACCTGAGTGCAAAGTTGCCCGAAACGGCATGTCTTGATAGGCTTGACTAGCAATGCAAATGCGCTGACGAGTATCCATGCATGATATGCAGCTCAGAAATCTGACTATGAAGTGTACAAATTTCCAAGACGCAGGCTGGCAAAAAAACACGCGACTCCCACATGACACTCGCCAGTTGCACATGTTGCTTTGCCAATGAGAAACCGCTGTGCGTGGCTGTGGGGCAGCGCAATCGGGGCAAGGAGGCGCTGCTTGTCGCCACGTTCAACGCCCGCACCCGCCGAGATCGAGTTTGGGACACGCTTGTGCGCCCAGCCCGGAGCTCGAGGCATGTCTGCACTTTGCCCGATGTGATCGCAGGAGATGTGCAAAGCCAGACATGTGCCCATTGACAAGTTCAATGACCTGGACAAGGCAGTTTCAACTGTGGGCACATTCTGATTTGTGTTCTCTGGCCACCAATTTCACAAGCTCCGCTCGCACGTCGGTTGAAGTTTTCGGCACCGAACCTCTGAAGTTAGACTTCGTACATACAGCACCTGCCACGGGGCGGGTGGTTGGCCTAGTAACGAGTTGGTAGTTCTTGCTCAGTTCAAAGCCATGGCGTTGCCTCAGTTTCCTCTGCCTTGCCTTCTCCACTTTGTTCCACTATTTCTGGCGGGCATCGCTTTTGCCAGCGGCGACAGCCATTTGTGCTTAGACGCTCTGGGAGGGGGTGTCTCGTTTCTGCAAGCCTCCAAGAAGCTGTGGGCAGCACCTACCTCAACTTCCTCGTTGAGCACCGATAGCCCCGCGAACATCACGAATGCTTCGAGCGAGTCAAGCGTGGCAGCACCTACCTCAACTTCCTCGTTGAGCACCGATAGCCCCGCGAATGTCACGAATGCTTCGAGCCAGTCAAGCGAGGCAGCACCTACCGCAACTTCCTCGTTGAGCACCGAAAGCCTCGGGAACGTCACGAATGCTTCGAGCGAGTCAAACGAGGGCAACGTCAGCAACGTCAGCACCGACATGAAAGTGCCAGTCGACATCACTGAAGGAGTCAATTTCTCCGAAATTGAGGACTTCGGCGGCGAGGTGCAGAGTGAGACGCCCAGCGCGCCATACAGCGAGACCAACAGCACTCAGGAGGCAGAACCGATACCACTCATCCAGCCCGTCAAAGATGCAGTGCCATTGCCAGACCTGGATGCTGAGAATTTGACCGGAGACTTGCGCGACTGCATCATGGGGTCTTGGAGTGAGTGGAGTGAGTGTCGTAAGGCGGCGAAGAAAGGAGGGTCCGGACTGAAAGGGCCCCATCAAATCCGGCAGCGCGAGATCATCCAACCCTGGCTTCCAAATGGAGCGCCCTGTGGATCGCAATCCGAAGCCCGGGAGTGCGAGGTGGAACACCACCCTTGAGAGGCATCATTCGCGAGAGACTTGGTGACTTGCAGACTGGCTGAACACCAAAAAGAAGAACCGACACCGAGTGACATGCCCGTGCCACGATTGTGCCATGTGTGCCTGCTGAGTGCCCACTTTTGCTGCTCCTCCTCCTCCTCCTCCTCCTCCTCCTCCTCCTCCTCCTCCTCCTCCTCCTCCTCCTCCTCCTCCTCCTCTCTCGCGGCACAATCTGGTCAGGCGGAGATGGTGCTGCAGCAGGTCCAGCGCCTCGAGCGCGGAAGCGTGGGGGACTTGAAGCGTGAGCCGCCGGGCTGCACAATGCACGAAGCTCGAAGTCACTCGGCTAAGTCTGCTAAGTGTACGAAGTCTTAATTATAGTCAGTGTACGTGCAAGGTTTGCCAGGCGCAGTTTGACGGTGGAAGCTGGAATAGAGACGTGACTGCAGGAAAGGGAGGAGGGGAGGGCAAGCTTGATCTCCTTCATTCTGGTGGTGACCGAAAGCGGTTCGTTGCAAGCGTTGGCCCGTGGATGAAAACCTATCCAGCTAATCCGGTGACTGAGGAGAAGCAGGAGCCAAAGATTCTGAACTAGTACGTGAGCAACTGGATTTGAGTCAACGTGATGCAAGCTCCCGCTTTGCAGGAAATGATTTCCAAGCTTCGCGATGTTCTGGTTTGGGAGGAGTTGCCATTGCCAGGGTTGCAACAGATCTGCCGCAACTCGGCCTTTTGTCGTGTGTTCTCACGAAAGTGAGCCTTTTTTCAAAGGGGGACTTGGGCTTGCAGCGGTGCTCCATCCATGTAGTGCAGATGACTCTTTCTTCCGCGAGTATCTCAGGCGATCGTGGTCTCGGCGGGCCTGTTGCAGCTTCCCGCGATGCTTGGCCATGTCGTGGTCATGGCCGCTTTTTGCGGGCAATGTTCCTTAGAATTTCATGCTTCACCGTGATTCTCCACATCAGCACCCCGAAGGAAGAGCTGATCAAGCGGCTTCTGACTTCTATAGGCAGAGGGTGGGAGCATTGAGGATTCTGTCTGCTTGCCCCTGTGCGAAAGAGTCGCCTGCAAGCTGGGCATGCATCGCATGCAGGTCAGACAAAGGCAGCTGAATCGCGGTTCAAGAACTTCTTCACATACGGCAATCCACAGTCCGCGCAGGATGGAGTGCGCAGCCGTGGCAGCTCTGAGCTCCATCACCAGACACCAGACTCTTGTGCAGGAGCCTTCGAGAACTCCGGGACCGGGTCCACAACCAGGTCCACAACCGTCCCGAGCTTTAAAATGCGAACATGCCGGGGAAGAAAATGGAATACACAAATCGCGGCACTGAGCCCAGCCCAGGAGCCCTGGCAATCGTGGCTTTGGGGACGACTTCGAGCGCGCGTGGGAGGCAAAAGCCGAGGAAAACCGGCGAGCTTTTGCTGCAGGCACGGGCGGGTGCATGTAATATGCGACATACTTCTCGCGTGCTTATGCGAAAACCTGCTCACGCCTGTGCTGCTGTTTCGAAACTCTCCGTCTTTTTCCTCAACCTTTGCAACATTGTCCCGAAGACCTCAGGCAACCGGAACCATTCCGGAATGCCTTCGGGGCAACGGCGCTATGCTGGGTCTGGCCCAGGCTTTCCCGGCTCCGGAAAGCAGAGGCCAAAGTGTTGAGGAAATGCGAGCAGAGTCTGTGACCGCAATCTCTCCAACATGACCTTGGACACATGAGGCCGGCGGCCCCTCAGCAGCCTCCGATCGAGCGCTACTTCCGTACCTTGGGACTCCCGCCGACCGCGACCCACAACGAGGTCCGCAAGGCGCAGCTGGCGCGGCAGTCTTTGTGAAGTGCCTCTTCGGCCTGAAGACAACAGCGCAGTGGAGGTGTACCGGCAGCTTGCTCTCCAGTACCACCCTGATAAGAATCCCGGCCAGCTGCTGGTCCGCAGTGGGACTGCGTGCGCCTTTGTCGCCTGGTGTCACGTGCAAAGTGGCGCTTTTCACTTGTGGCAGGAAGAAGGCAGCAGCTGAGATTAAGTTCCGAGAAGTGGCCGAAGCTTACGACAAGGTGTGCGAGTTCTTGCGGCAGAAGAAGTAGGATACGAGGCAACGCCAAGTGGCCTCATGCCGAATGCAACGCCTTGTTTCGACCACTGCCGACTGCTCACAGCCGAAAGGGTTTTCGAGCCATAGGATGAAAGGTGCGTGACATTGCGTGACTTCATGGTGCGGCACTTCAATTGATGATCTTGATGCATGCGGCAGCTTGCGCCGACATCAAGAGCCATTTGCGTGGAGTTGTGTGTGTAGCTGCTAACTTTAGCTACTTTCAGGACTACTTTGTATGAAAGAAATGTGCTAAAAGTTGGCTTTTTGAAGCTCACCAGACATAGCTTGCTGCCAGAGCTTTGTGCAGCCTATAGATAACAAACTGGAGCTCTTTGGCCTCGAGCCTCCTCGGAGAGCTCTGGCATGACATGACGGGAAGGCAAAAGCGACCTCTCCACGATAGTCGTAGTACGCTCCCGCCCGTGGTCGAGGGGGCTGATTAGGCTGATTTGGGACCGCTTCATACCGCTTCCGCATGGCGAAGCGACGTGTTGGTGTTGTCCACCGGAGTCCGCCGTGCTTTGCAGCTTACAGCTGCCCAATCATGTACTTTACTTCCGATGGTCTGGCGTGAGGCGGCAGAGACCTGTGGCACGTGTCGCCTGAGATATCTCTGGTCGTCCAGAGCATGTCTATCCGAGTCACGCATGTAATATACGTAGTGTATTCTAGCCTATGTTCAAAATCGCATGCTGCCAGCCGCTGCGGCAAGTGCTGTTCACTGCATTGCCTACGAGCCATTTGCCAGAGATTCGCTACAGGCTTCTAGCTTCTAGCGCACCTGCCTCTGAGCAGACAAACAACAGCAGCTGGACATGCGAGGATTGCTTTATAGAACTGCGAGCATCATTGCATTAGCTTCGGCGTTGTAGGATGTTGAGACCTGAACACACCCCCCTGCCTAGGAGGCCTTAGGCTTAGCAGAAGTTTGAGCCCGATATGTTGTCGAAGAGATGGCTGGTCGTGGTCGTGCTTGGTGCGGCAACTGCCCGCGCGGCCCCGCAGATGCACGGAGAGTTGGGGTGACACAGGGTCAGTAACACACAGCGCAAACATCGCACAAAACGCACAACACATCGGGAAGCACCTGAACCATTGGTAGCGCACATGTGCTTTGTATGTAAGCATCCCATAACACAAAGCAAGTTTCATTGGGTATTGTTGGCATCTGGGATTGCCTTCGACACTGTGCCAAACTTTACGTGCGGGCACTGAAGCTCATCAGGATTCCCCCTCCAGCGATCGCATCTGAATGCAACAGCCGAAGACGCCCCCGAAACCGAGGGTCCATGCCCCAGAAACGTCCAAGCGCCGGACGCTGCGCCCTGTTAAGGCTTGGACCCGTGGCTCCATCGAGGCCCGCGCTGACCCCCGGCTTCGTTCACGGAGAAAAAGCAGTAAGACGTACAGCGGCAGAATGCCCAATGGACGCATGACATTCTGTGTGTCCTATTCTCATGTTTAGTGTTGTTTTGTGTTCTTGATTAGTTTTGATTTTCCTGGTTTTGGGCGAGGCAGGATCTTGCTTAAGTGCGATCCACATTGTCATTTTTGGGTCGTCGGTTTTTCTGGCAATGGCAGGTTCCCGCTGGAGGGGCTGTCTTCCTCGCGAAGTTCTGTGTCTTGACGTGCATGCGACATGTCGTGTCTCTGCGTCGAAGTCCAGTGAACACAGGAGAGGCTGCCTGCCGAGGTTTTGATTGGAGACCTGATGCAAGCTCCACAAACGCAGTCGGAAAGATTGAGGCGTGCTCGTTTGTGAGGAACACATACCTTGACTTCCGCATTGTAGGGCTGTGCCAGGCAACTTTGCACTCTTCGAAGCCAGCAGAAGGCTTGATGAAGTTTGTGCTGCGTCCTGGCTTGACCAGTGGCTTGAACATAGTGGTTCGTGATAAGTCCAACTACTCACGAGGGCCAAAGCACTCAGTTCCGGCTGAAAAGCTCAACATGTCAGGCCAGGGCCGATGGACTAAACTGACTAAACTCTGGTGAATGTTCACTTTAATACCATCCTAATAAAAATCCCAATGCCCACTGGTCTTTCAGAAGGTCTTTGGTTCAACCTTGAAATGGGGGGGGGGGTACACCTGAAGGCCAACATCCTGTCAGGTTCGACGACGAAGCCAAGTCCTATCCTGACGCTTCTGATGCTGCCTTGCGGGCCTTCGGCTGCGAGTCCGAAAGGCCGATTCTTGACGCAGCCCCAACTGCACGTAGTTCGGAAGAAAAAGGTGCAGGTCTCCTGATTGAGAGAAGTTTCCCGAATTGTAGGCTGAAGCGGGCTGCACGCTGGACACAGGCCCGCGCCAAGCGAGGAATCCGACAAGTTGGGAACAGTGTCGGTGTCTGTGCCTGGTGTGTGTGTGTGTGTGTGTGTGTGTGTGTGTGTGTGTGTGTGTGTGTCTGAGTCTGTGTCTGTGTAGGCAGGGTCGACTCTCTTGGCTCTCTAATTTGCATCTTTCGGCGCTTGACAGTTCCATAGTCCGCGGAGGTTATCAATGCATCGGAATTGGTATCGGGAAAGACACCATTCGCAGACACTCCCTTGCAACACAGGATATTTTTACTTGCGCCGGTCACAAAATGGAGGCCGCTTTCAAGGGCGAAGTTGCTGAAACAGGGCGAGCTCAATTTATAAGGCATCTTGCAGCTTTGCACTCGTTGCACAAAGAGGGCGCGACATGTGCCGCCATGACGGCAGCCTTGGGCCTGTTCTCTCTGCACTCCCTTAAAAACACATCGTTGAAGAGGTCCTCCTGAAGGCAGTGCTCACAGTCCAGCTAAGGACATCTACGAAAAAATCCGCCCGCGATGGTGGTATGCTGCAATAGTTGATTGCTCCGGGCATCCCAGACGCTTGTTCGGCAAGCAGCACCTCTCTCCCAAGGGAAGATGCCATTGATTACCGAGTACCAAGGAACGATCGACTACAATGTACCGGCCACAGCCCATCATGGACCGTGCAGAGAGACTGTCCACTGCGGTCATCTTCCTACGTGTCATACGTCATAGGTCCATAGGTGTCACGGAAAGGTGCACATGACGAACGTGAAGCTCGGCTTCCTTGCAGAGTTCTCGTTCGATCGAGTGGGGCTTGTTGGTGTTTACATCTTCATGGGGGCGCACCGTGGGCTGCAAAGTGGTTTCGCAGAGCAGCATTGATGCCCGCCAAGGCCCAACGGTTAGTATGTTTCCCTAGAATCGTAGAAGGTGTCGAATGCACTGAGGTATTCGTTTCTGGCCGCCTGCCAGCTGATGGCCTTGCTGAAGCGGACAGCGCGGCATACATATTTGTTCAAAAACATTCTTGAGTCACCAAGTGCAAGATCCTGCTTCTCATCCAGGAGCACCAGCGCAAAGACACAGCATCCGTGCCCTTCTTGGTATAGACCTGGTCGGCGCATCTGAAGCCTGAGACCCTAGATCGTCTTCAGCCATGTAGCCGAGGATCCGGTTGATGCTTGGGATATGCGTTGGGGCTGCTGCCGACTGCGCCTTAAACGGGTGTGCTTTGAGGCCATTGTAGGCGCCGCAGCATGTTCGCATCATGTGCTCGTCAGAGGTTGGCACGCTCTGCGTCCTGCTGAACACCCTATGGTACGCGTATCACGGGGAGGACCAGGACAACCTGTATATGGCACCAGCCCTTGCAGCATCACCAGCTTTTTTTTTCAAGCGTGTGTAGCCACCCACACCGAGGCAGCAAAACTACTCAAAGCCGGCTCCAAGTACACCCTTCTCGCAATCCTCCTCCTGCTCGCTCGCGGCCGACACTTGCCTGCGCAAGGTTGCAGCTGCTTGTTGCGAAATACGTTTTGGACGTAGGTTGGCAAATGTGGTACGGTAAACGTGCAAGTGAGGCTGCATCTCTGTGCCGTTGCACGTGCGAGATCTGTTGCAAGAAGCGCGCCGCTCCCCTGGCCCCTTGTGGCTCCTGCTTCCTTTGCTTCTCCTTTGCTTCTCCTTTGCTTCTCCTTTGCTCCCTGTTGTGTTCTCTGCTTCCACTGGTCTCGCCGAGCCATGTACAGAAGCCGAAGTCGCCCCTGCGGCTCAGGCATCTTGGTGCCGCTGTACATCGCAAGCGTGACGCTGGAGGCAGCGTAATGACGTAATGCTGCCCGAGTCGCAGTGCTCGCCCACTCATGTGTTTCCAGGAGCCGTTGCTGTGTTATGAGGTACACAAGCATGCCATGCGACTGAAGTGAGGGAACTGGTTCCAGGGCAGACATGCGGAAAGGCGAAAACCTTTAGACGGTAGAGGCTTCTGCGCAGGACGGAGTGAAAAGGAATGCAGGAACCAACAAAGGCCTGGAAGGAGAGCGGTCGCGGCGCTCGCCTTCGAACAATATGCCATCCTGCTCTGCCAAACAATGCCAGTCAACGCTCTTCTTCGGCCACTGCGGCCTTCTGATGCCTTCTGGCACCCGCTTTCAGACTGCTTGCGCTTGCATCTTGCTTGACTGCAAACTGCAACATCTGTAACTGCGGCGCTCACCATGCCGCCTGGTGTTGAAACTCCGGGAGGGCGCCCAACAACTTGGGAGGCAGGGGGGGGGTCAGGAGTCAGCACCCTCACAGCAACTAAAGGGCTCTCTGGGTTCACAGAGAGCGGAAATCGGAGAGCATGGACCAAGTGCGGCATGGGCGCGTGGTAGCTTGACACTCAGGAGGTGCTCTTTGAGTTCAAGTCTTTAGTTCAGCACAGTCTGTGAGGTTTGGGGCGAGTTTGCGCAATCCCGGACGTACACGACAGTTCCGCACTCAGGGCGCAGTGGGACAGTGGCCCAGCACATGAAACTCCATCCCAGGACTCGGTCTACCGGACATACATCGGTGACGTCATCATTTGCATTGTGACCTGTCGTAACCTGTACTTGATGTGATACGAAAGATGGTGAGGAACCCACAGCAAAGGACATACTTATTCTCGCGCTGTACCTTCGAAACTTATGCCGCTCTTGGAGTGCCGAGCTTCTTTGCCGCAGTTCTTGTGGCAGCTGATAAGCTCGGAAACTTTGAACATGAGTGGGCTGAGGACAGACACGCCCAAGCGCATCTTCTACAGAACATGGGGCTTGACCTATTCGGGTGCCTTCCTACTCTTGCCCGCATCTTGCCAGCACATCATCGCGCTGAAGCAGGGTGCATGCTGAGCTGCCATGTGCTGCTTAGATCTCCGTGGTCATATCGCAGTGCGTAGCTCCTTGGGTACGATCTGAAGTGATCTTCTTCGTGTCATCATCTCAGTCGTCAGCGCAGGAAGGTTGTGCAGAAGTCCCAGCGACATGACTGCGAAAGGTCCAACACGACTCACTGTTTCTTCCTGGGCTTGCTGATTATTGGGCTCTGGCCCGACTACGCCCAACCCGCCTTCTGCATCGACCACCCTTCAGCAGGGATGCCCGGGCAGAGTGCTTGTTTAATGCATTGCCACAAAAAGTACTTCACTTGCGCTTCACTGCAAATGAAGTGCAAGTTTCAAGGCCCTGGCCACCACTTTCGGTGTGAAGACGGCCACTTTGCAGCCCGCAGAGTTCAGGGATCAGAGCCACCGTGAGCCACCGAGCCCCATTTCTCGGGTTTGTCGGAGTTTGAGGAGCTGCTGACGGCGGGCGAACAACGAGAAGAGCTTGACGGGCCAAAGGAGCTCTCGTGGCGAGGCTGGCAAGGCCCCCTTTTTGAACTTTTTCGTTTGGCGGAGCTGCGTGTCTCAAATGTGTCTCCATGTGCTTCTTTGCTGAAGGTGACATGGAGCTTAAAGCCTGAGGATCTTCACCCGTAAGTTCCGTGCAGTGTTCCCATTACGTTTCATCGAGGGTGATTTAGATCAGGTGTGCGTCAACCTTGCGAAGCCTCAAAATGGGGTTGCGCAAGCTGTGTGGGGGGGGGGGGGGGGAGGGGTATTTCGTACCTGTCTTGCTGTGTAGTCTTAGGCCTGGACAAAGAAGAAAAGGAAAGTGCTTGCTTGCTATCTTGCTTGCCGTGAAAGCAACGGCTTCAGCGGAGAGACAGGATACGGACATTGCCTGCAGCGAGGGGCTTCGCCTTGAGTGATCATGACTGCAGTTGGCTCATGCAGTTCAGTAGAGAGCGGTAGCGGTACAGGGATGTTGAAGCTGCCCCTTGCAGACGACTACAAGGCCAGGACTCGGACGCTGCTGTAGCTAAGCAACACAGGCTTCCTAGGTCTTAGACTCCTGGAGCCGTAACAGTAGGTCAGGTGCTCCCTGCTCGACAGCTACTCGTAGTTCGTTGTTGCGGACAGACGGACGTGCCAGAGTCCAAACATTTGAAACCAGAGCGCGTGGGGTGCCGGGGCGGGGCTTTGGATGAGTACTATATAGTACTCAAAGATTCATGCAGCTGCACGCTGCAAGGACTGTGTGTGCTCTTATGCAGCATTTCATTGTCCGGATTCATCCTGCTGCCAGTTCGGCTCATACTCCGGATTTTGCTGCCGGTTGTCGTTTTCAAAACATGGGCTGCGGGCCGAGCCAAGCACGTGTGCTTTCCCAGGCACCAATCTCGTCGAACCCTGATGAGTTCTTTCCCTACCAAGGGTCTGGGCCGTGGCATACCTCCAGGGCCGATAGTGTGATGCAACCGAGGCTCGCCAAGAGTGGCCCAGCGAGCTCTGAAGATTGCCCACCCGTGACACTTCAAGAGCTCTTGAAGAAAGCAGCAGAGGAGAAGGGTGACAAACTCGCCCTGAAAGTTGAGCGGCCTTGCCCCAGCTTGGGCAGTGATGGTGGAGCTCCACCGGCGTTCCCCGACGAAGAGTGGAAGGCCTGGACATATCGGGAGTATTATGATGAGTCCAGGCAGGCGGCCAGGGGCTTCATGAAGTTGGGCTTTGAGGCTTTCGACACCTTGGCAATCTGGGGCTTCAACACACCAGAGTGGTTGCTCAGTGCTTTGGCCGCCGGCTTTGCCGGAGGCAAAGTTGGCGGGCTGTATCCCACAGGCTGGGGGGTTGTGGGAGGTTGTGGGCTTCATGCTTCGCTCTGGTCTAGAGTCTAGAGAATTTGCGTTGTAAAGTGTAAAGCTGGCCTTTCCTGGCTTTCCCACCTAGCCAACTGGACACGAGAGGCCCGATAGACTTCGACCTAGTCTTCAGTCATCTTCAGTCAGTAGACAGGTATCTGAAGCACCTGACTTTCAATTGATCTGACTTGACACAGATACGCCCGAGACGGCTGCCTTCAAGATTGTCCACAGCGGCGCGAGCGTCGTTGTCATTGAGGACAAGGCCAAGTTGGAGAGGCTCATCCCAGCGTTAGCACAGCGTGGTGAGGCAACGACTCGCATCAAAGCCTTCGTTGCCTACGGGTTCGAGCCCGAAGCGCAGCAAAGTGTCGAGGTAAAGGGAAGTGCAAAGCCGGTTTTGAGCTGGTCGCAGCTCATGACCATGGGCAAGGAGGCCAAGGACTCAGTCACGGAGTCCTCCGCGGATCCCTTGGAACTCCGCCTCAAGGCCGTTGAGCCTGGCCATTGCGCCGTCCTGGTGTACACATCGGGAACAACTGGGGAGCCCAAGGCCGTGATGCTGTCACATGATTGCATGGTCTTTGAGACGCGGACTGTGCTCAACCTCGCGCGTGCACACATGGGCTTGTGTGCACAAGCCGAGCAGGAGAGAGTCTTGTCTTACCTGCCACTTTCTCATGTTGCTGGCGCGATGGTTGATATTTGCTTCCCTTTCGTGGCCACCGCGACAACACCTGCTTGGGTGACAATTTACTGCGCCAGGCCTTATGACCTGAAAGTGGGGTCGCTTGGTGACAGGCTCCGTATTGCAAGGCCCACCATCTTCCTTGGCGTGCCCTTGGTGCAGCTTGGCTTCAGAGTGCCAACAGGGGCAAAAAGTGGAGGGTGACGGGATGTGGCTTAAATAGGATACTGTATACCGCATACCGCATCACGGAGTAGCCGAGGTGGGAGAAGGTGGCCGACAAGCTCCGAGCAATCGGTGCCGCCAATTCGGGCCTCAAGAAGAAACTGGGGAACTGGGCCAAGAGCAAAGGCTTAAAGAACTCCAAGGCTCGCCTAATGGGCGGTGATGGAGCGGCGCCCTTCGCGTATGGCCTTGCCAACAAGGCGAGGAAGCTGTGTATTGAGGATGAAATGTACGAAGCAAGAAACTAAGGATCAAAGGATCATAAATGACGAACCTCACACGCAAACACTGCTGAGACTCATGGCTGCAGGTCATCTTGTCGAAAGTCAAGGCGAAGTTGGGCCTCGATTGCGTAAAGTTCGGTGCCACGGGCGCCGCGCCCATCCGAGTCGACACGCTTCAGTACTTCGGGTCCCTGGGAATCACGATCAACGAGGTCTACGGCATGTCGGAGTCCTGCGCGGCTTGTACGGTCTCGACAGATCAGGCCCACCTCTGGGGTTCTTGTGGCTTCCAGCTCCCTGGGGTGGAGGTCAAGGCTTTCAAAGTTGACCCCGCCGACATCAGCAAGAAGGAGGAGTGTCCCCGAGCACCGAGCATGGATGATCTCGGAGAAGAGTACCAGGGCGAGTTGTGTTTCCGCGGCCGCAGCATTATGATGGGCTACTTGGGTCAGCCAGACCTTGGCGCAGACCACGTGCGCGAGATCGAACGGAAAACCGCCGAGACCATTGACACGGAAGGCTGGCTGCACTCCGGCGACAAGGGGATGATCACCAAGCATGGAATGGTCAAAATAACGGGCCGCTACAAGGAGCTTATCATCGGCGCCGGAGGCAGGATGATGAAACGTACACATGCAGAGGCACAGAGAGAGAGAGAGAGAGAGAGAGAGAGAGAGAGAGTGGGCGCGCCGGAGAGCACGGGGAGCGAGCCCTCAGAGAAGAAGAAGCAGCAGCAGCAGAAATAGAAGAAGAAGAAGAAGAAGAAGAAGAAGAAGAAGAAGAAGAAGAAGAAGAAGAAGAAGAAGAAGAAGAAGAAGAGCAGAGAGTGTCACGCACGGAAGGGCGCGACGAGACTCCAACAGAGTGACAGAGTCTAGAGACATGCGGAACTAGCAATCCCGTCCGGCAGAGCAGCTTGCGTGTTCCAGAAGAAGAGGAAGAGAGGTGTCGTTGCAATGGGGGTATTCGTATGCTAGACGACGGGCTCAGGTGCATGGTCGCGCGGGAGAGTATCCTGAAAGAAACGTAGAGTCATAGAGAGGTAAATATTCGGATGAGAAGGGGCGCCTTTGCCAGCTGCCAGGCGAAAATATAGCCCCTGTTCCGATTGAAGACCACATCAAGGCTTGCTGCGATGGCGCCCCAGCTCTACATAGCGCGCGTATGCTGAAGCCAGCGGTTTCCAAGAGGCAAAACTGGGTAGCAAGCAATGCCTGCGTAGGGGGAGAAAGGGGTGCCCATCTGAAGCCACTTGAGAAGCCTCCGAGGCGTCAACGAGGTGATGATGATCGGCGACAAGCGCAAGTACAACGTTGCGCTGATCACCTTGAAGGCTGTAGGTGCCAACGGTGAGACGCCAGGTACTGATCAGCTGGACGCAGGTGCCCGGAGGATAAATCCAAATGTCTCGAAGATCAGCGAAGCCCTTCGGGACGACGTGTGGATCCAGGAAGTTACAGCAGCCGTCAAGAGTGCCAACGAGAATGGGAAAGTTTGTCCCAACAATGCCTTTAAGATCCAGAAGTTCATGATCCTCCCGACGAACTTTTCGGAAGAGCAGGGCTTCCTTACGCCCACGAAGAAGCTGAAACGACCCATCGTAGAGAGCCGTGGGCTGATTTGGTTCTTCGGGTCCAGGCGGGTCCAGGGGAGACTGCAGGCGATGAAGGGGTTTAGAAATTCAAGGTGCTTTTAACATGGCGGACCTTCGTACAGAAGCAGAGAGCGGTGCAAAGTGTTTGTGTCGAGAGTGACTCACTCACGGATCTTGTCTGTTCTCGGCGAGTGCCGTTGTGCAGAAGATAAGTGATGGCTGATTCCCATGAACCCAGAGGAGGCGAAAGGCTTAAGCGGCTTAAGATCTGTCGCTTCCAGAGCAAACAGCTTTCTTCCATTGTCCTGATTATCTGGTGTTGCATAACTTCGCATCTTTTTACTCCTCATCCTGTTTGGTTGGGCATTGGGGACCTCTGTGCCACAAGATGCGCAGCAATCTTGAGGCCCATGAAGAAGGGGATTCGTTAGCGTCATGAGTGATCCACTCGTCTTCCAGCCAAGGAATGCGTTCAAGAAGCAGATCGACATGATGTACAGCTCAAGTGAGACATACGTGCGATATGAGGACTGAGGGCCGCGTGCGGCTACCCTACTTTTGCCATGCTTGAAGCCAAACTAGCTTCGGGCGTGATGATTGTGCGAGGCGATGTGCGCCAAAGGCGTGAATTGCATGCCCTTGCCTTGGCCGTACTGGGCCGGAGCTGCATACGGCACCCCATACCCCGCCATACCCTACACGAACGCCTCCCACTCCCACAAAAGGGAGAAGCTTCGAAAAAACAAGTTTGCTGCATCCGGGGTGGAGTGGATGATGCGGGTGTAACATGTATCTTCGCAGAGATTGCCTGTGATGAGGCGGTTCTCCCGTTTGCCTGAGGACAGGCCAAGCCCAGCAAAGGAAATGCAGCTGTTAAAGACAACCAGCTGCCACAACATCTCGTTTTTTCTGCACAAGCTGGAGTAAACTTCACAGAGAGAGGCTTTACGGCGCGGAGCTGCTTCATGTGGTATCTCATGTATCTCGTGGAAGGTTCTCCGCGCAACTCGCGTTTGAGATGACGAGGCCCCTCTGTTTGACTTTTGCCGCTTTGCTTTGTCGTCAAAAGCAAAAGCCCAGCGGTAGAGCTGTGCTGACCACCACGGAAAATACCTCAGAAGGGTCTCTCGTCAGGGCCAGGCTGGGCGATCCGGATGCCCACGTTGTCCAGGTAGAATCCCAGCACTTGCGACGGGCGGTGTCACATTCGGCTTTTCTCCATTTGGTGAAGCATTGATGTAGGAGTCTGTCTTCGAGCAAAACCTCGCTTCTGCAGGCCAAATCGCGGCTCTAGCGCCGCAAGTTGGCGAGGGTTCCAGCAATTTGACTCAATGCAAAGTGTCTCATTGGAGGGCGGCCTGCCCTAAGCCATCCATTGCCTGGGTTCGTGGCATCATGTATTTGTATCTATCTCCACCCCGCACCCGGCAATGTTCGCACCCCTGCCTGATATTTGTAGGGATAAGTCGCAGCACTCTGGAGCCCATCTGTTCACAACATGGGGGCTGCACAGTGCAAGATGTGCTGTGAGGCCGGGACAAAGCTGCATCCCATTTATTGTTATTTTTTTCTTTGGGGGGGGGGGGGGGGAGGGGATTGCATGTCTTTGCGCGTAGCAGGATGAGACTGACTCGGGCCAAATGGTGACAGTGGAGACGATGACCACAGTTGCGGATGCCATAAGGATCCAACAGGAAGAGAAATCAAATCCGCTGAAGCAAGGCCTGCACTACAGTACATGACTGCTTCAGCATGCCATTAAGATCTTTCATAGTGCCAGTGTGTGCAAGACAGCAGCGATCGGTCGTGAATGAGTCTCTCTAATGAGGCCTTTTCGGTGGCACGTTGCAAGGCAGGTGGCGAAGGATGCAGGACAAATGCCTGCTAGGAATCTTGTCTGCAGCTGTCGCTGACAGGGTTGCCGTCATGTTGGTTGTCGTCAGTGTGTTGCATGTCAGCTGCCCAGGCCGAATCCAAGACAATAAGATGATTTGGCAGCCTTTGTATCAACACCCGCCGACGTTGTTGAAGGCTTTGGGGGAAGACAGGCCCCCGTCACACAAGTCCTTGGTCCTTCGGAGACCAGTGAGGTCTAGAGTCTAGCAGTCAAGTGCAAGGATCCACTGCATCATGGCAGGATCTGCATGGATCTTGAGGGCGTCCGGCATGAAGGTATGGTGGTGTACTCGGCGTCCAGCAGCAAGTTGCTCATCAACTGGAGTGATGGCTCCTCGGCCCAGCAGAAACTGACGGGGTGACAAATGGGTTACTAGTAGCACAGAGAGGAGACCGCAGCCTTGAATGCCTTGAATGCCTTTGAATGCCGCGCAAGGTGAAGTGTGGACGAAGGAACTCTAGCTCAGCCGTGCTCAAATATACCAGGAAATCTGTTTCACCCTCCTGAACCTGCACCAATGGCCATCCGCACCACAAACTGCGTTTTGAACCTAGATGTTTTGCGAACGCGTTGGTAGAACAGCAGCTGCAATGCAGCAGTGACTGCGCCTGCGCCAGCCCTGAGAAAAGGATCTGCAGTTTGAAGCTAGGGATCCATGGCGCTTCTAACATATCTGCTGGCAGCTGTGTGCACGTACGTGAGATCTTTCCATGCTGCGCTTGGAAGTCGTGCCAACTGCTGCATGGAGGTCTGCCAGTCTGCCCATCATGGCTGCGAACGTTTGATGCGAGCATGTCAGGCCTTGTGGCGGATTGCGGTCAGCGCCTCAGGCATGTGTCATCATCGTGGAGCTGCGCTGAATGATCTGAATGGTTTTTCAGCATCCGAACTCGATCCTTGCCCGATCCCATTAACAGCGTCGATGTCAAACGATCCGGAGAAGGTATCGTGCTGTGGACCACTGCCTGTCCATGCACTGGCTCCTCGCAGCGACTGCTGCCTGCCATATCAAGCAACCCAAGCAACCTCACCTTCAGGGAGAAAAGTGTACCGGGGGAGGTTTAGACACCACGAATGCGGCCAGACAGCATTTCTGCCCCAAGAAGAAGACAAAGAAGCCAACCACAAATCAAGCGAGGCAAACTTCCATGGTACATGATAAACAAGCACAAAAAAAACAACCACGCACGCTCGTTTTTGCCAACCTGTCCACACGTGCAGTCTGACTGCACTTTTTCGTGGGCCATGTGTGCCTGAAGCATTGTCTTGTACATGGTGGGCCAATGCCGGGCCATAGGACCAACATAGCGCTGCCATAGCATACTGATGGAAACAGTGCGGCGTGCAAGTGTGCTGAGAGTGTCAGATGTGCGCCTGTAGGAAAAGTAGGAATACGAATCTTCGCTTATTGAGCTTTGACTGAGCACAATCGACACAACTGCTACGCTGGTTCTTGCCTCTTGCCTCTACCCTGCCTGGACGGCTGTGCATGAGCGGTGCAGCTGAGGTCTCCTGGTCTCCTGGGGGGGCAAGACAAGGGTCCGAAGTCCAAAGGCGAGCGAAGAGAAATGCTTTGCCCGAAGAGCTTTCGCTTTCTGCTGCTGCCTTCTTCCAGATGTCTTTGGAGTCGCTTTAACAGGTCCCTCGAGAAAGGTGTTCATGCTCGACAGGTTTTGCCGCTGCTTTCACGCAGGCATGGGATGTGTTGTTTGGGCTAGGATACCAGGGGGAGCTGTTTGGCAGTTTCCTTTCGTGAAGGGAAGTGGCGCTTGGTGGCTTTGGCGTTGCACTGTTTCTGGCAAGTGTGTTTTCTGTTTCGTGCTCGCAGGATTAGGGTTTTGAGTCTAGAGTTTACTAGTTTACTAGGGCTGGAAATGTCCGAAACTCGCTTGTCAAAAGTTCTCGGCTTGGAGCCGACTCACTTTCCCGAAGCCCAAAGCCCAAACGTGCAGTGGTGCTGCTGCTTCAGGGCTCTCAAGAAGCCTGACATCGTCAACAGTCCAGGATGCTTAAGATTGTGAGCGTCACAGCCGTCTATGCCTTCGCTTATTGGCTTGGAGCTTGGCAGCTTAATTAGCAGGGCAGCCATGACTCTCGCAGCATTGAGTCTGCTGCTGTGTCTGACGGCCCAGGCATCGCTGTGGATGCCTTGACTCAAATGCGTGGAACGTGTTGCAACTGAAGCCCGATCTGGCAGGATGCCTCTGCACAGATCCCCGAAGGGATGAGTTTGCTCTTTGGCTGCACAAGTGCCGCTTCCTGGAAGTGCGCTGCGCAAGTTCTGGCGATGTTGGTCTTTCGAAGCCATCGTATGCCTGAGCCAGGACCTATTACAACAGCCTGCCTGCAACGAAGATCTTGATTTGGGGAGGCGACACCGGCCAGGGTCTAGAACTTTCAAGGGCCGGATGCTCAGCGCATTGGGGGTGGCAGGGGCGGAACCTGATACCTTTGCATACTCAGTTCGTACATTCGCGCTGCGCTCTACTGCTCATCGTTGGCAAGAATGCGGAGGTCGGAGGGTTCATCATGTGGACAGGTGTGTGTCAGAGGAGTGGTAAGGCAAGCAGGGCTCAATCATGCTGAAGAGCTCGGCAAAAGAAGCAACTATTGTGAAAACAAGCTTGTAACGAGGATTCAAGCTCGGGTTGCTTCTTTTGACTGTGAATGGCAAGCTTCTTCTGACATACAAAGGGGCCTAGTCCGGGAGTCCGGTCTGTCTCTTCTCTTTTGGCAGTTCCGACGAAGGTGCTGCACTTGAGCTTCCACTCGAAACCACGAATCCCTGAACTCCATGCAACCATGCAACTTCTGGAGGGGCGTGAAGGTATTGATGCGGGGGGGTGGAAGTTGGCGAGAGAGATCCCATCCCTCTGCGTGATGTTTTGTAGGGCGTGGCCTTGTCCTCCAGCTACAAAACGATCGTGTCAAGCGTGAGCTTTTTTTAGGCATGACCTTCTCCAAAAACAGCTGTGAGAAAGCAACGGCCGGCGCCAGGACGCAGACGCTGCGGCCACGATGCTCTTGGCAGAGCCCCCGGTTGCAGGTACGTGCCCCCCAGGCTTCGGCATCTGTAGTCTTGCGCAGGATTCTGCACAGGGAGTTTTTTCTCCTTTTGCTTCAGCCGTCGGTGTTTGGGCCAGGCGTGGAGCCGGTGGTGCACTGGGATGCTGGTGATATACACAATTTGACGCCCCATGCTTGCAGAGCAGCACTTTTTCACATGGACCCCACTCTCCCTTGCAGTTCCCGAGTTCGCTCCCAGGTATGTGCTTCACTTAACAGGGAGGCTGGGATCGCGCTGCCAAGTCCAGTCTTAGCCAAAGCTTGAGGATGAGATGGCGTGAGGTATTCGTCGACTCTTGGAGGGCCACCTGATATTTCCTGGAATTTTGCGGAATGATTCATAGCCCATTAGTCTCATACTCGTAGAACTCGTAGTACGTCTCACAAAGTGACGCGATGTTGCTTGACCTTAGCTTTTGCGGGGCAGGCTTGCTTCGCAGAGTGCTGCTCTTACTGCGGCCACAGTGCAGGCACGTGAGGCTCGTGACCACTCTTCAAGTCCCCCGAGCCTCAAAGAATGATACGAAGATGTTTGGCAGCGACTGAATGCATCATACAAACTCAAGGTCCAAGGTGTTTTTTTACGGGCAAGACGCCATCATGTACAGAAGCCTGCCGCGAGAATTTCTAGCACCTGTACAGTGTAGTGTAGTGATCGAGCAGTTGTAGCTTTAGCTCATACACTTCATGGGCTGGAACTGTAGGATGCGTGAAAAACATCTTTTTGCCCTTAGGTTCGTGTAGTTCGTGTGAGCAGCGCCAAGTGGATGTCGTTCAGCCAACTGTGCATTGCAGCCTCCTCCGTCGCAGCCGTAGCATCGAGGGCCAGGACTGCAATACGCGGGCCTCGCCTGAATGACGCATTGTGGGAGATGTCGAAGAGACTTAAGGACACACGCGACGCAAATGACACACACACACACATGCGACCGCATGCATCTGCGAGCCAAGCAGGGAAGTGCCGTGACGGTGTGCGCAGCTGCGCATCTGAGGAGGGAGGCCCGCAGCCGAGGAAGAAGAAGCCCAAGGCGCTGCTTGTACTTTGTACCAGAAGATGCTCATGATGATAATGCTGCATCATGCCCAACTTTGTGCATTGGCATGCTTTTGCCTGGATGTTTTTTTTTTCTCTTCGTCTCGTTCGACCAGAGGCCCCAGAACCCGATTGCGAGGGCGAGCGAGGCTTTCTTGTCACAGGACAGACCTGTCAAAATGCATTGCGAGGCGCCAAGAGCGGGAGCTCCTGTGTTACACTCCCTGCATGCCGTGCCAACAGCCGAGACGATTTTTCGTCGTCCATGCAGGCTTGAAAGACCTGCGGTTGTGGCTCGAAGTGGAGGCAGAGGCAACAGCAACTGTGCTCCAAGCTTATCCAAGCTTTATGTGCCTTCCGCTGGGAGCAGCTGAGAGTTTTGCTCAAGTCAGACTCCGAGAGGTGGAGACCGCAGTGACAGAAGCGACCGAAGCGAGCTCGCGACCACGGGGAGTGGCAGAGAGCCGCTTGATGCGGAGTGCATTCATTTGCCTGGCGGACTTTGTTTGGTGTGTGGGCGTGGGCGTGGGCGTGGGCGTGTCCGTGCTTGCGTACGTGTGGTAGGTATACAGTACACTATAGTCTTTCTCCTTGCTCGGCTGCGTTCTTTCTATAGACTTAGACATGTAGATGCATTGTCGGCATTGTCACTGCATGAGGCTTGGATGCCGAGCTCTTGGAGCTGCGGAGCGACCCAGCTCAGAGGCTCGACGTGTGAGATGCGTGATGCAAGACCGCCCGCTGAGTGATCGAAGGCGCTTTGTGACTGTCGGGATGGTGTGCAAGGAGGCACGAGGGCTGTGGACTCCCAAGGGAAGAGTTTGCCGGTCATGGTTTCACGGTTTGCGAAATTCCACACTTGCTGAGAAGTGCCTTTCCCAAAATTCTGCAAGCCTTGTCCGGATGTAGTGAACAGCAGAGGCGGAGGGAGACCTTTTCACTTTACCTTGACGCAACTTGACAGACTACCAAGCGGGGTGTAGCAGGCAGGAAAGCAACCAGGCAGCAGGCAGCAAGCTCAGCAGCTCTGCACCGCATGAATATAAGGTAGGCTTCTGAACAACTTTTTGGGCAGGCAGATGATATGTCTGAGTGGGCAACCTTGCACCAATCAGAGGAGGTTGTGTTGATAGAGCAGAACGGGGAGAAGCTTGGAAAGGGAGTCAGCAGCGCAACACAATATTATCTCCTCAAGACATGTAACGAAATGCATGCAAGACCGACGGGTAGAAGCGTTGAGAGTTGCGAGGGGAGCCCTGCCCCTGCGTTCAGGTAGCCTTCCTGCGCTTGCAGCACAATGCAGACGTGCCGTCGAGGTGGCGAGAAGTTCTGAACTCCGAAGCACTGGTCACACACGCTGTCACACGTTGGGCAAGGCTGGCTCGCCAGTTCCTGGCCTTCAGTGCCAAGAAACGCTTTGTCTCACGCTTCGCGGACCGTGCTTGAACCCTGGCGATGACATGTGCTGACTGCACGTTACATTCTGAATCCTGGGGTGTCAGCATCTCTTAAGATCCTTCCTGTCGACGGGTCCGCGCGCCCAAAGCCAGAAAACTTCAAGTGCAGCATCCTCAGATCTTGCAGTGATCATCCAGATTTGCAGAGCCCGTGTTGGCTGCAGGTCTTGCAGAAGGCTGGGGTGAAACCATGCACAAAGATGTGCTTCATCATGGTGCCTGGTTCACCTTCTCAGAATTCTCACTGGACAGACACTCTAGCCGCTCACGCTGGCCGGCCATGGCGCTTGCTCTATGAAGCCTTTCGGGGCGGATGGAACACCATTTCGAAAGAGGCAACGCTGCAACCTTCAAAACGACAAAAGCCGTGACAGCGAAGCAACGTGTGAGGATGCAATGGAAGCCTGCAAGCAGCACCTGGGACCAGATTGCCAAAGTGCTTTGACCTCTGACGTCGCGGAAGACATCCGAAATGTGTTCTGTGAATGTTCAGAGTGTCCGAAACATTCTGTCCAGGTCAGTGAGCCAGAGGTGACGGTGGTTTGCACGGTGCAGCCGAGATTTGTAGGCCAGCGACATGTGCCTAAGCAACTCCAGCATACTCAGCATGCTCAGAATCCCTCACAACGAAACTTGTTGCAGGCTTGGCAGTGGTTGAAATGGACGTCGACTGCTTTCGGGTGGACGACGAGTGACGGCGTTTGAAAATACTGTGGCGGGGATGATCCTCACCGTGATCACCATACTAGTAGCCCTTTGCGGCTGTGTGCAGCCATGTCATGTGTCGCAAGTTGCGTAGCCATCTTAAGCCTCAAGCCAGACATCACTGCAAGCACAGGGCCTGAGCTCTCCCAACAAGAGATGTCCAAGAGCGCATGAAAAGTCGCATCGCTACGTCCCAAACATTGAGGGCTGCGAGGGGCGGGGCCCCCCGCTTGAGCCAAAATGTCAAGTCGACAGCTTCGCAAGCTGCGCGAGCTGCACGGCTCCGTCCCAGCCGAGGCTTCCCTTCTCAGCGCTCTCTCGCTCTCTGAACTCTTCTGAGCTCTTCTGAACGCTCGGATTCCTCCAAGAAAGAGAGCCGTGGGCAAATCGTGAGCTGTTCTGTGAGGAGCCAGATGCCGAGCACAGCGAGCAGGACGGAGAGCAAGATGAAGGGGTCCAGAAGGCATGGGACAGGGCATTCAGGGATCGATATAGATGTTTTGCCGTGCTCCGTAGGAGTTTTTTCGTGAGTTTGAAGCAGGTCAGAAGAGTACTGAAACATACAGTCTCGATGGGGCTCGTCGTGGCAAGTCATAAGGTTAAGGCACTGATGCTATATGGCACCGGCAGTGCCATAAACACAAAGCCTCGGAACTATGGCCAAAGGCCGTGGCAGAAGCCTGCAGCATCTGCAGCATCTGCAGCATCTGCAGCATCTGCAGCGTAGCAGATCCTGGCAGGTGTCGGCCTTCCACGCTTTGGTTGACTCCGAGTCGGCGGAGTCGGAAGAGGAGCCGCAGGCGCCAAAGGCTCTTCGCTTTGAGGAAGTTGGGGATCCCGCATGTAGAGACACATTGGTTTCTAAGGTGGTTGAGTCATTGAGGCGATTCTGTTGAAGTCTGCTGAGTCTGCTGGCTTCGACCGCTCGCATCCGCTCGCACGCCGAGGACCCTCCTCCAACACTGCCAGCCCCTACAGCTGACAAGCCCCGGCAGCCTCGCAAGCGCCGCGGAAAGCGTCCCAAGGCCGAGGAAGCAGGAGCGGAGCCAGCACTGAATGCAGATCCTTTGGAGGCATCGATGTCTCCAGAGTCCCCGGAAGCAAATGGAACCATGGGGCCTCTTGCCAGTGAGGAAGAAGTGCCAGAAGTGCCAGCACTCGAGGCCCAGGCTCCGTTGAGCATGTGTCGGGCTGACTTCTCCATGGAGACGGAGCGGCAGCGGGTATTCGGAAGCCGCGAGAGAGGCCATGGCCTGCATGGCCATCGAAAGGCCGGTGCGAAACCAAGGGGTCAAGTGGAAGGTCGCACGCTGCATCACCGGCGACTCTTTCTCGTTTCCTTGACTCCAGATGAGCCCTGGGCCAAGCCAGAGACCTCAGCCCGGATGGTGACAAAGCTCGACCAGGATGGAGCCGTCATCTTTGGTTTTGAAGAAACTCCCGCGTCCTCCCGCGACTTGACCACTTTGAGACAAGTAGTGAGCCAGGAAGATCCGCAACTACTGCAGCAGTACTTGCAGAAAAACCCTTTCTCTCTGGATGGCCTGCTGGTCTTGATACAGTACCACCGGCAGCAAGGGTCCTACGATCAAGCTCGGGAACTTGTGCGTCGTGCCGCGTATACGCTGGAGTGCTCCATGTCCCCGGACTTCTCTCCCTTCCAGACAACAGGAATTGGGCCTGGAGCACAAAGACCACGGGTTCGGCTCGAGATCGACAACATCGAATCTGAGGCGTGGTTTGGCTGGAGCTGGCTGCTGGCACTTTGGCACCACATACACTGCCTTCGGGGCCAGGGGATGCAGAGGACGGCGCTGGAGGTCTGCAAGCTGCTGCTTGCCACTCGGATCTGGCTTTTTTAAGAGAGGCAAGTAAATGCCAATCATATATGCATTGTGCACCCCTCTTTGAATGGTCAAACGGTCAAGCCTTCCTTGCCAGTGTGAGTGTGAGTGTGAGAGTGAGTGAGTGTGAGTGAGTGAGTGTGTGTGTGTGTGTGTGTCTCTGTGTGTGTGTGTGTGTGTGTGTCTCTGTGTGTGTGTGTGTGTCTGTCTGTGTGTGTGTGTGTGTGTGTGTGTGTGTGTGTGTGTGTGTGTCTGTGTCTGTGTCTGCGTCTGTGTCTGTGTCTGTGTCTGTGTGCTGCCGCAGCTGCATCTTGCACGAGGTGTGCTGTCGGGTGTGCATTGTAGAAGCAGAGAAAGGCGGAGGTTCCAAGACTCCAATTTGAAAGCAGCTGTTTCAGCTCATCAAGAAAAGTCGAGAAAGTTGAGATACTGATACTGCAACCGACAAACCCTTTCGCTGCATCAGCCGAAACCCCATTCTTTGAGTTGTGCCAATCCGAAGGCATGTACGCTGCCGCACGACCCGGCACATTGCCTGCTCTTCTTTGACTTCCTGTGCTTGCGGTCCCGGAGCTTCCAAGCCCTCCAGAGTTTCGTTGAGGGCTTCGCTGGCTATGGCTTGGGCGGCTCTGCACCATCCCTGTCACGCTTCGCACGGCCGGATTACTCTTTGCCAAGCATGGCCTATTCCCTGGCACTGTGCACTCAGCTGGCGCGCGGACAGGGGAGCTGCCCAGACCTAGCTGTCTTGAGCCATCTTCCCTTAGACTCGATACTGTCTGGCACGGAGGACGCTGACTGGGAGGAGGACATGCGGGCACACGCCAGATTGATGCGCGCGCTGTTGTTCTTCCCCGGCTGCTTACGACCACTTCTAGACGAGTGTGGCATAGGCTTGCAGTCCAAGCCAGGTGGTTCAACAAGCTCAACAGAGACATGGGCAGAGCTTCTTGCATCTGCCCCCTTCTCCAACGCCATGGAGTTTACACATGAGCAACATGCCACAACGCATGGTCGTCTATGCATGGCCTACGCCAAGCTTTGCAGTTCCTTCTGGAAGGATGCGATTACATGGTTGCATGCGTGTTGTAGTCGATGGGTGCGTCTGCATTCCAGCTCGGTTTTTGTCAAAGACATCGAGGAGTCGCGCAGATCTTGGGCAAGTAGCAAGCTGGCATTGTGTGAGGCTTTGGCCGACTACAAAGACTTGCACCCCAGCGAAACAGAAGAGAATCCTGCCCCACCTCCCATCCTGGAGCGAGCGCTCGCAGCCAGGCTGCATCCTCCAAATCACCACGGTCACCCCTTTGCTTTCACGGGAGCTGGTGGCATGGACGGTATGCACATGCAGGTCCAACCAAACATGTCCTTGCACTCACCACCAGGATTGTTGTTCTTCCAGTCTTTATTACCGTGGAGCGAGCTGGACCACACTGGTGTGCAAGTTTCTCCACTGTTTTGGCGAGATGTCCTACAGGGAGCGCTTGCTGTTGCTAAGGGCACCGGTCTTGTGGCGCTTGGCGGGTTGGCAGACGTTTGGCGGGCAGTACGTGCGTTGTTTAGCCGGTGACGCATCGCCTCAGGCCAGTCGCGGCCAATGCGCTGCCAACAGCTCAAACAGCTGAGGATCATACGTTATGGACAGTGACCGTTCTCCAGGAACCCCGACGGTCGTTTTCGCACGTTTTGCTTTCAGCCCCGAGATGTTCCAAGCTGCCTGCTTGGGACGCTTACAATGTACAGCCATGAGATGTGGGCCCTTTCGCTTTGAGAAAGCGTGTGATTGTGATAGTCCGAGCTGCTCTAGCTTCCCTCTAGCTTCTGTAGAGCTGCTTACAGATGACACGAAGGCAGGTTCGCACAGCAGAGAGAAGGGCCAAATACAAGTATCTTCTCTTGGCTTTAAGTATCATCTTCTTCCATTCAGATTCCGAGAGATTGCGAGGAAAAAAGAGAAGCTGCAAAACAAAAACCCGTGGTTTTGGCTCCATCAGCTGGTGAGTTAGCCGCATCGGCTCCATCACGCCGGCGAGGTGCCACTTTGGCCAGCAGAGCTTTGCAACTCAGTGGTAGCAATCCCCTAGTGACTCCCCCCTGGTGCCAAATGCATATGTTAGCGCCTAATGTGTGTTGGCCTCTATGTTGCGTGTGGCTGATGACAGCGCGGGAAGGCGGATGTCCGACGAGAGATTCGAGAATGGGGCTCGTGTGGTGTGCCTTGGTTCTGATGAACAAGTTGGTGCCAGGAGCTGGCCTGAAATTGCACGAAGCCTTGCGAAATTAGAGGCGTTTCTGGGCGGCAGCTTTTATGGACAAGGGTCATGTGGCCTTGCAGCAGGTTAAAGGCGTTGACTTGTCCGGGGACAGGAGACCATGCGAAAGCGTGCTAAAGATCGCTACGACCGAATGGCCTGCTAAACCGTTCAGTTTATCATGACCGTGCTCGTGTGTAATTGAGGATCCGTGGCATCGATGGAAAGAATGGAGCTGAAGCCGATGCTCTGCTCTCTAAGACTCAATTTTTTTTGGCGTGGCGTGTGAGGGCCCTGCAATCCAAATTGTCGCGTTCACCTTGCTCCAATGGACCAACAAGTGGCCATCGGAGGAGATCGTCTCGTTCGACGATGCTTCTGCTACGTATGAGTGCAAGCTGCTCGCAGAAGACTTCGACGGGGAGAAGGTTTTCTGCAAGGCCTTCTCTCAGTTTGGGCCGTGTTTCATCCGACAGTCCGCAAAGAGCATGTCCCATGAGCGTGCGCAAACGGTAGGCGGAGAGCTTGGAACGTGTAGTTGTTTGGAGCTTATTTTCTGCTGGGTGGGAATCTCTTGTTCCCATGGTGCCAGCGCTTCTTAGAAGATGATAAGACATGCCAAGGATGACAAGGCCGACGATCCAGAGAAGCAGCTCACTTAGCTCAGCATGCTCTGACAGACCGTTGCCTCACGTTGCTCCACGTGACAGTGAGCACCACGCGCAAGACACCACACGCAAGACCCCTTCCATCTCTCCTAAAAGGAGGTTGGCGAACCTGGTGAAGGAAGCCGGCAGGCGCGAGAGCGGCGAGATTTTGGGTAAGTCGGAGTCGTCTCGGATTCCTGGGGGGGGGGCTCCCTCTCCGTCCTTTTAAAGGGGCACACTCTTCTCTCACAGTCTTCACATTAAAGACATTAATTAGGGGAGGGAGGGGGAGGAGATGTGCTCGAATCTTGCAGGGAGAGGAGCGCGAGCAGCTCCAAGAAGCGCCGCTCCGACACGCCAGTTTCAGCATTCAAAGTACTTCTTCTCCGCTTGAGAAAGAGAACTGCCCCCCCCCCCCCCCCCCCAAACACACTCTTTTTTTTCAGAGTGTTGGCTCCTTTGGGAGCCTTTTTTGGCTCCCAAGAGAGGTGTGAGAAATGATTGCCTTCAAGTGCTGAGTCATATATGAGAGGGCATATATGCAGATGACCAGAGTGTGGGGTGTTCACGTGGCCTTTGGTGGCTCTGTGCCCGCTCCGAGTCAGCAACATGGCAGGAAAGAAGGACAGCAAAAAGAAAAAGAAGAAGAAAAAGCTGCTTGGCGAATGCGCCAATAGCTTGCAGAACCTGCCCAGGACATTTTGGACAGAATGTGTGTGTTTGTGTGTGTTGTTGACGGCGCCGAGGAAAAGCAGCAGCTCGGACTCCAGCAGCAGTTCGAGCAGTAGAAGCAGGTTGGCACAGTGTGGCTGCATGGGACACATTTCGCATTCGAACCAGGCCCCCTGGTTGTAAGGCCCAGGGCCAAGGCATTATTAGCACAGCGGCTCTTGCACAGTGAAGCCATTCAACAGCATCGTATATCTTGTCTAGCCTTGTTTGCTGTTGAAGCGGCTTGTTCTGTCATGCAACTGTGCAACCTTTGCCGGCTTGCTTTTTGCAGTGTGACACGCGCTTCACCGAAGTAGCCAGTTGGTTCTGCATCCTGGGCAGGTCGAGCAGCACCAACGCCCCGAACCGCAAGAAGCGCGGGATGATGTTCAACAGACTCTTGTCTGAAGTTGCAAAAAAGCATTGGAAGACATTGACATGAAGCACTCAGCGCCCTCTCTTCTCAGAATCGGCTTTAGAGATCGCCGAGAAAGACAAGAAGCGCCACCGAAGAGATCGAGAAGGCCCCGGGTCTTTACAAAGCGCCCTTCATCGGTCCGAGGGAGGAACCAAGGCTCTCTGAACGTGGATGAAGAAAGAGGACTGGGAACTGGCCCCCCAAAAGCTGGAATCTGAGACGGGAGTCAACTTTTGCCCAATTGCCTCAGTCAGTGAACATGTCGAAGTGCACAGCCCTCCTGCGCGGGTAGGAGGAGCAGCTGCAGCAGCTGCCCTGCTTGGACTACGCGGCCTGGCACGCAAGACTTCCACGTCAGTTGGACTTCGTAAAAATCGACATAGCCTCACAGCACGTCCGGAACTCTTGTGTATAGGGTTTTTGTCGGCCGTTTGCTCGCATCGGGTCAAGCCACAGTCGTTCTGGCCATCCCCCACGTCTGGGCGCTCACCTGTTCAGGATGATTCGCTTGGCACCCTTCGTGTGGCTGAGCTGATGCAGAGATATTCTGTGGCTCCCAAGCCCTGCATATGCTGCATGTTGTGGTTACAGCATGAGATGGTTTTCAGGTGATCGAGGTTTGTGCCGCCCGAGCTTCAGTGAATGGGCGCAGATTATGCGAGGCCCGGCAGCAAAACAGAGCAGCTGCAACCGTGATTTTTCCCTATGTTCCTGCACACTGCATCGGCTTTCAATCTGCTCGGAACCCCGCGGCGCGACCGTTTGTCAGCATCTGTGGACGTTGACCATTGGACGCGACAGAAGCTGTCAACTATGGACTTGCAAAAGCCCAGGCCTTGCAAACGCCACATATATGTAAAGACGCAGTGGCGCGCAAATGATTATTCAAGCTCATACCTCTCAAGTCTTTTCGCCGTAGAAGTGATGCAATGGGACTTTACCTGCGGTGGTTTACCCGAAGTCCAGGCCGGGGACAGTTGAACTGCTCACTGCTCACTGCTCGGGGTGATGGTCTCCAGCTTTCTGGCGGGTCGAGTCTAAAGCAACTCGAGGACAGTCATCAGAACTGAAAATCCCATCTCGCTTTACGGGTATCATGATGAATGTCATTCTTGAGGCAGACAATCATGCCGAGGCTCACTAGCTAGCCAGAATTCTTCTCGTTGCAAAGGTCCGTGCTCTCTACGACAGTTGAGTTGCAATCCGCACTTGGCCTGGAACTGCGCAATTCAAGGGTGCATGAAGATAGCGAGAAGTCCTTCTTGCGCGTTGGGGAAAAGCACCCTGGAAAGAAATGGCAGAAACGGAGCCTTGAAATCCAGCAGGAGCGGGATTGAGCGGCGTTCCCTGAGATTCTGGATCAACATGTCGTTCTTTCCTCCAGGACGTGCCTTCCAGAGCCGTGGCTTGGCACGAGGCCATGGTATCTGCTTTGCCTTTATAAAGTATACTGGAGTTTTGACAGCCCATTGGTTTGAGGCACAGTCCTGGAGCCACAAGCTGCAGGGCGGTCGTTGCAACTCCACGATGCGATGGAGGGGCCTCTTTCCCGGCTCACCAGCTTTGCTCACGCGTAGCTTCACCTTGCTTCCCCTTTCTGAGCGGAGACCTGTACTTTGGTCACCGTCGGTCGCGTGGTACATTTAAGCGGAAGTTTCCTCAATGTTTCCCATCTTTACTTGCACTTAAGCCCCAGATTCTGCCAACCTTGCCCGTGTTTGTGTCTCCTTTGATGCACTATCCTTACTCCACTCCTTTCTGGGCCTCCGCCGCGGGGTCAACAAGCCCAGGCTGGCTGCAGAAGTGGCGGGCTTGGAGGCGACCCTGCGAGCGCCAGCAACAACGCAAGATTTCTGCCGCGCGTGATCGCTCGTGCTCTCTCGCTCTCTCTCGCTCTCTCTCTCTCTCTCTCCCTCCCTCCCTCTGTGTCTGTGTAGGAAAGGAGCAAATAAACAGTTGATGCACCCCATTGCTCGCAAATGCCATACTACTTGCGCAATCACATGCGACAGATGTCTGGCTAAAACATGTGGGAGGCCAAAGTTGGAAGAAGCCCCAGGCGACGGGCCGCAGCGCGTCCCTTGCCGAGAAGGCCGCAACAACAGAAGAACAGAGAACGAACACAAAGAGGAAGACAGATAATCATAAGTTTGCATTGTTTCGGGCAGAAGTTGGTTGCGAGTTTCCTTGGGCATGGACCCAAACGGTTCTCGAAGCCAGCTTACGTTCTCACGCGTTGCTTCTGCATCTTCTGGGAAGGACTGGTCAGCTTCGCGAGGTGCCCGAGCGACAGGTGACAGTTTGGGAGGCCACTGCTGGGCCTTTCCACTTTTTTTGAGTGAGAGGAGTTTGTTGATGCAAATTGGACAGAGGACTCCCCTGCTCTCGCCCACGACCCCTCCCGGGGCATGCTGATTCAACAGCAGGAGCCAACTCGCTCATGTCGTTGTGTCGGGCGAGATGTGAACAGACTGAGGGTGGACTCAACTCTTTGCGTGTCTTTGTGGTCAGGAAGAGTGGCACAACAGGTGCTCTGTGCGTGCATGGGGTGTGCGTGGGCTCTGTGTGTGTGTGTGTGTGTGTGTGTGTGTGTGTGTCCGTCTGTCTGTCTGTCTGTCTGTCATTGTGGGTGAAAGTGAAAGCAGCTCGGTGCGGCATGGCAGGTTAAGTCAGGATCGGGTGATGGAGTGGAGCGGCAGGCATTGTGAGGGAAGCGTGAGTGCTGCGCAGCCTTCAGCATCCTGAGCTGAGGCTGCGTGCTTTCAACTCAAAGTTGCAGCAGGCCCTTTCTGCCTTGCAAAGAAGGAGCACAAAACACCGAAAATGCACAAACATGCCTCACGCCATCTCCTTCCGAGGTCTTGCACCCGCCAGAGGCAGCGCCTCAAGAGGTGAAGCTCCCTTTGCCGCTCGTTCAGGTCACGCTCCCAGACTCCCCGCGGCAATACCATCATCATCACCAGATAAGTCAGAGAGAAGTGTGTCTCAACCGACAAGAACACGTGCAAACTTGGTGTAGGGACTTCTTGTCAGCAGGATGTTTTCGACTCGCTTGCGGAAGACCCGCACGCCGAGATACAGGCTCGTGTAGAGGCAAAGAAGCAGGAATCGCTTGGGACTGAGCCTGAAACGAAGGGAAGAGCTGAGACCTGAGCTGTGCACCCCTTGCATGAGGTTGGCCCTCCAGACTTGCGGCTGCACGCAAAGTTGTGAGAATCCAAGCTTTGATGCAACATGCCTTGACTTCGCGACCTTAGGATAGAGCTCATCTTCGCAGACCCGCCTCTCTCGCTACAGAAGGTCCTGATGTCTGGTTCGAGGTGGAAGCCCGTTGCTCTCGAGATCTCCGGTGCGCCAGGCCATGAAGTTGACGGGCCCGATCCCGGTTCGAATTGCCAAGGCTGGCGAAGTTTTCCCATACTTTTATGCTTGGGACGAGAATTTTCCTCGCCGAGGTCGAAGCACCCTCGTGGCATGATGGGCCTCACACCGCCTCTTGCCGATCGGGTAGCGCAGTATAGAGCAATGCCAACATGAAATCTCAGAAGTTTTCTTCCCAGCAGCGGCTGCCGCTACCCCGAGAAATCCGAGAAAGACCATTCAGGTGTACTTCCACAGCGCAGACGACGCGAGGGCGAGACTCGAGCGCCGGCTGCGTCGAGCTGCTCCGGCGCCCCGACTCTTAAGGCATTTTCTCTCAGGATATACATCTTTTTCTTGCATATATATATATATATAGAATCTCTTTAGGGGGGGGGCTTTGATTTCGTTGCAGTTTTGTTTTTTTGCAGCTTGTGTCAAAGCCCGTTTAGACCGCCGCCCCCCAGGGCCTGAGGCTTGAGGTAGACCAACAAGCAAAACCCAATGTCGACTTTATGACCATTTGAGCAGATGCGCCTTCCAATCTTCCCATCAAGAATGGCCTCGATGCATCTCGATGTATGATTGTTCGCGGGTTTGGTGTAGGAATGTTGCGAAGCTGCACAAGCGCCGGGTTCCGACAGCACTTCCTCCAGCACGTTTGAGCACCATTCTGTGTCTCATCGAGGTGTTGGCTGCTGCAGTGGCACGGCGGCTGCTTCTCGGACATGTGCGAGCATTAACTTTCGTTTTCGCCTCGGACGTGGAGGATTTCACAGGCGCCCCGGATGTGTCCACTGAAAATTGTCACTTTGCAGGTCTCGGCGAATGCTCCAAGCACCCTTGACTCTGAGCAAGGTCGGCTTGTGGAGTACCTCTGAGGGTCTTGATCAAAGTTGGAAAATTTAGCACCTTGGCCCCCTTGCCTGTGAAGTGGCCGCCAGATGCCCCTCACGCCGTTACCCTGTGGCGGTCAAGAAGGCAAATGAGGACCTCACACAGACCGACACACCGGTTCGTTCATAGATGTTCGACGATGTCTCGCAAGTTGTTGGTGCAGCAGCTCTTGTTCACGTGTGTGGCGCTGAGGAGAAGAACGGTTCTAAGTGCAGTGAGGTGGCCATGGCTTCGTTAGACTGTCTGACCTGCTCTAAGACTCTAAGACTCTAAGACTCTAAGACTCTAAGAGTGGACCAGTACAGGGCTTATTGTCAGATTCCGGCTGAGGTGAAGGATCTTTTGCTTGACTGCTGTAGCTGTGCGCAGATTTGCCACTCAAGGGTAACGAGGATTCTTTATAGAGTTCAGCGGCCATGGTGCACGCTCCTGCCCCCCGACTGCACGATCAAGAGAAGAGTCCGTGTGAAGCACAGCAACAGCAAGAGTAGCGAGCGTCGAAATCCGCAAGGTGCCCCTTTTCCTCGCCTATGGCGATCGCCATGTGGAGGTGTTGAGTACCGCCGGCTATGATGGAATCCGCCGCCAGGCTCCGCTGCGCATAGCGTCTAAACCTGCAGACGTGACGAACGGCTTCAGTCGTGGCTGCAGTATAGATGCATGTATAGGTTGGCCCTTGCACGAGGCTGAGGAAGTTCTTTCCCTTCATCCTGAAGCATATGACCTGTGCGATGCACATGGCAAGGTGGGTCTTCTCTTGGAGTAAGATCGAGCGTGAAGGGGATAGCGTGGTGTTGCGTTTCCATATCGGGGGCTAACTCTAGGGCACCGGATGTTGCTGGATGTTTCTTGGAATCTTGCTGGCTCAGCAGGTTGAGGAAGAGACTTTCGAGCGCGCAGTGGCATGCGCCAAGGGCTTTTGCGTCTTGCAACTTCGCGGGGGACCTCAGGGTGAGCCCATCTCATCTTATATCAACTTCACTTTGTTGCTTGCACCATGTGGCTTCACGCCTCAGTTCGCTTGAGGCGAAAAGCCGGAGTGGAAGAAGATCAGAGAGCTCGAGACACGGCTCAACAAGCTGGAGCAGGTGCCTGCGAAGCCTGAGATGGAGGCTGGGCACAAGGTCATTGCTATGTTGACTTGCCTGGCTTGCCTTTCATTTCGTTGCCTTGCAGCTGCAAGGAGGCTGAGACTCGAACATGGCTCCGCATAGAGACCATGGAGAAGATGATACAGGACCTGGCGAAGAAGACTCAGGCCGATGCTTTGGATGCCAGAGTGGAAGCTCTTGAGAAGGAGATGACGGAGCAAAGCATTACAAACTCCGCGTTGAATGGGCACATGGAATGCGGCATTGCCACGGCACAGAGAGAGCTGAAATCCTTGAGGCAGCACATGTCTGACCAATTGAAGAGTCTCGATGAACGGCTGCTAGAAGCAACTCATCAGGGATGTGGTCCGCTTAGCCCGCTTAGCCCGCTAGTTGAGAAGCTGGAGCGGGTGGAGACTGAGCTGGCAGAGCAGAGCATCACAAGCTCCGCAGTCAACGGTCACCTTGAGCATGGCCTGGCCACTGCTCAGAAAGAGCTCCAGGGCTTGAGGGAGTTTACTTCAGACCAGCTTGGAAGCCTTGATGGAAGGCTGTTGAGCGTGTCTGAGTCACTCCAAAGACTTGAGGCTACGTTGGATGAGCAAGCTGTGACCAACTCAGCCTTAAATGGCCACTTGGAGTGCGGTGTAGCCACATCCAGGAAGGAGCTGGAGTCTTTGCGAGTTTATGCTGCAGACCAGTTGAAGTTCCTGAACGAGCGCTTGGACGAGGTTCAAGCCTCTGGCAAGATACCAGCTGAGATTGGAACCCAATGGTCAGACGGCTTCACCACACACATTCTGAAGACGAAGTCGAATCAGTCAAGCCTGAAATCCTTGCAGTTGGGTGCCCCGCTGGCCAGAGTCAATCCAGTCGACCGCCTTCTTCATCTTCATGCATCGAAGTCTGTGCCGTCATTGCCAGCGATTCGCTGATCACCGTGGCACCGATGTCTCACCCTGGGATTCACTCTGTACTGCATCTCTTCAATGCACATGAAGGACTCACTTAGAGACTTGACAGCATCGCTCCTTGCCGATCAAAAAAGGGCACACCCCAAGTGCATCCGGTTGGTCGGCGGTTGAGCCCGGCCCTGAGTGGCATCTTGCATGCTGCGTTGGCCAGGTCCTGGACAACGTCCATGCACTTCTAATGGCGCTGTGCGGAATCCAAGAAAAGAGTGGAACGCCTCAGCTGCCTAAGCTCTTGCGACGTGCCTCAAGCTACATGTGCCTGCGCTGGTCAGGGGAATCTCATGTCTTCACTGCAGTTGCGGTTGCTCTTGTACTGTCGGCCGCCCCTTACTGCTGCTGATTGAGCTCAAGCCCAAAGACAAGTACGTTCTACAACAGGCCTTCATTCCATCCGGAATGTCACGTTCTATCTTCATGTTCGCTTGGCTGGCTGCCACTGTGGCTGCCGCGACCAAGACCATCGGCACCGAGGCTGCAGAGGACTACTGGCAAGGAGATGTGTGGCAAGATGTTCAGCTGATTTTCTCCTTCATGTTGGGCATTCTCTTTGTACGGTCCGCAGAAACAATCTTTGACGATCCACAAGCTGCAGACAACCGACGATTGAAGAAACTGGAGCTCTACCCCCTGCTGGCCTAGACGCCCAACTTGACAGCTTCGAAACAGGTCTGTGCTCAGCGAGCTCCGCAAAAAGATGTGTGGTGTTGCTTTTCTTCAGTTTTGTGCTGCTCTCTGGTAGATATCCTGGCCTGCGTGCTTAGGTGGTTGCTCTTGTACTGTTGGCCGCCCCTTACTGCTGCTGATTGAGCTCAAGCCCAAAGACAAGTACGTTCTACAACAGGCCTTCATTCCATCCGGAATGTCACGTTCTATCTTCATGTTCGCTTGGCTGGCTGCCACTGTGGCTGCCGCGACCAAGACCATCGGCACCGAGGCTGCAGAGGACTACTGGCAAGGAGATGTGTGGCAAGATGTTCAGCTGATTTTCTCCTTCATGTTGGGCATTCTCTTTGTACGGTCCGCAGAAACAATCTTTGACGATCCACAAGCTGCAGACAACCGACGATTGAAGAAACTGGAGCTCTACCCCCTGCTGGCCTAGACGCCCAACTTGACAGCTTCGAAACAGGTCTGTGCTCAGCGAGCTCCGCAAAAAGATGTGTGGTGTTGCTTTTCTTCAGTTTTGTGCTGCTCTCTGGTAGATATCCTGGCCTGCGTGCTTAGGTGGTTGCTCTTGTACTGTTGGCCGCCCCTTACTGCTGCTGATTGAGCTCAAGCCCAAAGACAAGTACGTTCTACAACAGGCCTTCATTCCATCCGGAATGTCACGTTCTATCTTCATGTTCGCTTGGCTGGCTGCCACTGTGGCTGCCGCGACCAAGACCATCGGCACCGAGGCTGCAGAGGACTACTGGCAAGGAGATGTGTGGCAAGATGTTCAGCTGATTTTCTCCTTCATGTTGGGCATTCTCTTTGTACGGTCCGCAGAAACAATCTTTGACGATCCACAAGCTGCAGACAACCGACGATTGAAGAAGCTGGAGCTCTACCCCCTGCTGGCCTAGATGCCTCGTGTACTGTATAAAGACGAGATCATCGTCGAGCTTTCAGATCTGTGGAGGCGAAGGTGGGAAGTAGCTCCATGTGTAGTGCTGGAAACGAGCTCGGAGGTTGTCTGAGACAGCCGGGACAGCGGCGCTCTTTGAGGCCTCTCAGAAACAGAGATTGCGCCTTTTGGAAATGGACGCAAGTAGATTCGCAGGATGATTTGGTGCGTAACGTGCAAGCAGGAAAGGTGCTGTCGTATGGGAAAAGTCAGAGTCGGATGGCACGTGTTGCACCTATTGCACTTGCCCCTCCGGCTGCTCTGTCCCTGCATGCCCTTGCTACGTTGGGCCCAGGAAGAGCAGCATAGCATCGCCCAATGAGCGTAGGCGCCATGGATCTCCAGCCGATCTCAGAGAGTTTGCAGCAGCTGGCCGTGGATGGCGCGGTGGAAATTGAGCGTTTGAAGCAAGTCCTCCTGAAGATTGGAATGAACGGCTCAGATGCAGATTCTGTGTTGCAGCTCTGTCAGAGCGACGGCAAGGTCCAGATCTCAGAGTTCATGGCTTGGCTCTCCGCAAAGCAGAGTCAGCCAAAGCACCAGTGCGTGGCATGGAACGACAACTTGATCTTGGCCACTGACAGTTACAAGTTCAGCCACTGGAAGCAGTACCCCCCAGGTACAGAGTACGTGTGGCTTGGCTGAGAAGGTAGGCTTCCTGCAGAGTGTTGGAAAACAATGCTTAGTCCCGCACGATGAAACCCCCCATGTTTCTTCTTACGTTTCTCTGCAGGTATAGCTACTTTGAGAGCCGCGGCTGCGACCGCGGGTGGGACAACGTTGTGTTTTTTGGCCTGCAATACTTCTTGAAGCGCTATCTTCTTGGGACAGTGATCACGCGGGAGAAAATCGATGAAGCGGCTGCCCTTTGCTCGGAGCATTTCAACGGAGAAGGCTTGTTCTACAAGGAAGGCTTCGAGTACATTCTGGAGAAGCACGGAGGCAAGCTGCCGATATCTATCAAAGCCATACCCGAAGGGATGGTCATGCCCACGCGTACGGCTCTTTTCACAATGGTGAACACAGACCCGAAGTGCTTCTGGTTGACCAACTTTCTTGAGACTCTGTTGGTTCAGGTGTGGTACCCGATGACTGTTTGCACGAACAGCCGGTACCAAAAGCTGTCGATCCACCAGGAACTAGAAGCCACTGGCAATGATTTCTGGGCCATTCCTGGAGGCTCTGCCTTCAAGTTGCATGACTTCGGCTTCCGTGGCGTCTCGTCTGTGGAGTCTGCGGCGCTTGGAGGAGCAGCACACTTGGTCAACTTTCTTGGGACAGACACGGTGGCAGCTTTGCTTTGCACAAAGAAGTACTACCACGCCAAGAAAGCCGCAGGCTTTTCCATCCCAGCATCTGAGCACTCTACCATCACCTCTTGGGGTGTGGAGGGTGAAGTTGATGCCATGAAGAACATGTTGTCACAATATCCACAAGGTTTGGTGGCATGTGTCAGTGATTCCTTCGATGTCTTCAAAGCGTGTCGTGACTATTGGGGATCCAGCCTCAAGGACATGATCAAGGGCCGCATTTCAGGGGATCGTTGGGGTCGGCTGGTGGTGCGTCCTGACAGCGGCGATCCCACCGAGACGTGCGTGCAGATTTTGTCCATACTCTGCGAGCAGTTCAAAGAGGATGTCGCTGTCACCAATGTGTGGGCCTCAATCCATTCTGTGAGTTTTTGTGAGCCTTAAGGCCTCGTGGCCAAGCGGCCGAGGACCCTCTAGCTCTGGAAGACAGTTGGAGGGTTGGGGAGGCCAGGGAAGGGGGTGAGCCGAGGCAAGGACAGGGGGGGGGGTGTGGGGTGGAGAGGGGCTGTTGGTTTTTGAAGGGGAGAATATCTGCTGTATGCTACCCTGGCACCAAGCACCAACGGCTCGACGAAGCCTTGTTGTTTTGTCAAATATTCACTGTCACTTAGACTGGCCACAAGCTGCTGCCACCCTATCTCCGCGTCATCCAAGGCGCAGTTGGGAAGTAGACGAACTGCATGTTCCTTGAGCTGTCAAAATCTATCTGTCACACCCTCAGGTGACGGTGTGGACTTCGAATCTGTACCGAAGATTCTCGGCGCGCTCAAAGATGCCGGCTTTGCCGCAGACAACATGGTTTTCGGCAGTGGCGGTGCTCTGCTGCAGAAGCTGAACCGCGACACCTTCAAATGTGCTTTCAAGTGCTCTGAAATCACCGTGAATGGAACGCCGCGCGACGTTTTCAAGGCCTGAATAACGAAACATCACTGATCAGGCAATATGTCGAATATGTCTGTCCACCAACCATACCACAGATTCGCAAAGTCCAAAGCAGTCGAGGACCCCATCACCGACAAGGGCAAGGCCTCGAAGAAGGGGCGCCTCACCGTCCAGCGCGCGGCAGACACAACAGGCAACGAAGAGGCCAGACTGATCGTTGAGATCTAGTCATTTAATTGCAGAGTCAATCTAGAGCCTTACACAGATGTCCTTTGAGATGTCTAGGGCCTCACTGTGCCAACTCAGATGTTCTGGTCAGGACAAGTACAGGCCACGGAAGGATGAGAACGGCACACCGGGAGGAGAGGGATTCCTTCACTACACGGCCGATGGACAATATGTCACTGTGGCCAGTGGTAAGGGCGACCCCACCAAGGACGGGCAGAGCCAACAACCAATGGTCAGAATCTGCATTCAGAGATGAACCGTTGGCTTTGCCGGCAGGATTTGCTTGTCGAGGTGTTTCGCGATGGACTCAGCAGTTTGCCCAAGCATCCTGAGCCCTGCTCAACATGCGCAGTAGAAGCAAAAGAAGCTTCAGAAACGTGACTGCTCTGAGTGAGGCGATGGAGTTCTTCTGCGAGATTGGACACTGGATGAGGTCAGACAAAGAGCTGACATTCCAAATGGCCCGTTCTCTCAAACAGGCTAGCCTAAGCCATTAGCCGAAGCGTCTTCGGTCATTGTTTCACTGTCTCGATGACAACAACAGCTGCTTGAGTCCAGTAGCTATGCAGTGTCTCCTACGAACTGGAGTCAAAGATTGACCCAAGCACGCAGGCCAGACAAAACTGGTTGCCCTCTTATGCATGCAGAGCGAGCAGTTAAGCACCATCTGCCGTGCGGTGTGTGACGTCGTGTGAATATGCATGTCACGGGATGCAGAATGCCTCGCATGCCTGACGTGCTCGATGGCTCTGTGGTGAGTCAGATTCATATGAGATTTTGCTGCGCAGTTCAGCTTCGAGATGATGGAAACAGCCATGCATCATAAATCCGAGAGAGTGATGCAAGCAAGCTAACGCATGCTGGCGCCCCCAGACCCAGACCCTCCACCTTTGAGCTCATCCATGCTGCATGTGGCGCAGACGGCTTCTGAAGTTGTGATGCGTGACTGGGATTGATTTCGACAATCTGATTCTGCATGTGTGCATGCTCGCTGGCCTGCGTGACTTCACCGTGCAACTGAGACTCGGGGACATGTACCTTGTCCTCCCCCTCCCGCTGGTCTTTACAATCGCTTCATGTAGGACAGCGAAGACAGTCTTGCTGTTTTGCGGGGTCTTGCACGCTCTGGGCCATTTCAGCGATCTGATTCTGGCAATCATGTATCATCATTCTGGCCGCTGAGAGGATCGTGTTATCAGCACAGAAGAGACAGCATGGATCACAGGACTGTGGCGAGGCCCTGTGTTTTTTTGCTTGGGTGTGTGCATGAAAAATCTAGTCTTATTGAGTGCGGGATTACGAAGACCACGGTCGTTGCTCTTGTGCGCCTGCGTGGATACGCATAGCATGGGCATTGATTGCCTATGCTTGAAATCGGGAGGTTGCAGGCTGCTTCAATTGCGATCAGGAGCACTTGTGGATCAGGGCGTGGCAACTTCAAAATCTGAACTGTAACCGAAATTGTCGATGCTCCCCCGGCCACCGCAAAGCTGAACAGATGCTAAAGGGCACGATTGGTAGAGGACATGCACCAGCCGTGTCACTATGCCGATGTCTCCGTATAGGAGTACCCCAAGTGCTTCAGTCCCTGCAAGCATCAATCGGAGAATTGCACAAGTTCTTCAAATTGGCAGATGTGCCTCCAGTGCGGTTCGCCCGGAGTTAAAGGAAGAAGCCGCGCCAACACAACAAAAATCCTGAACATCAAACATCATGTCGTAGATATCGCCAGTGGTTTTTTTTTATCACTCTTACTGGCTCGCACATTTCAGCAGTCGTGCGCTGCTGACAATGGGTTTGGGCACGGCGAATGGCAACAAGTATGGTTACAACCTTGAAAGCCGATAGGATGCCAAAGAGGTGTCCACTCGGCCATCCTCGAGGCGACACACCTCGTCAGCACTTGCCGAGATGTGGGACCCACAGACGCGTCTTGGCTTGGGCTCCATGAACGAAGCTCCAGTACAGCTGCTGGGAACCGAATTTTGATCCAACATGAGGCTGGCATCGTTTTCGTCGTCTCAGAAGGATGCCCTCTCGGACATCTTTTGCGGCTATTGCCCTCAATTTTCCCGAGCATTTCGGCAGCTTGGCTGTGTCAAAAGTGGCGAAGTGTGCTGAGAATTCTCGGAGGGTGAGAGAATACGCATACGTGCTGAGAAGCGTTGACCTCAGGTGCCAGTTGCTCGGAAGCCTGGCCTGATTAGCTTCTGCGACTTTTCACCCATTTGCATGTGGCCCTTCCTTTGAGTGCATTCGCCCTCTTTCATTGTGTGGGACATTCGTATAAAAAAGCCAAGCCTATGTATATAAATATAAATATGCACATACACAAACAAACAGAAAATAATGTTTTTTTCGCTCCATCGCCAAGGTGAGAGACGGTTTGAGACGGGGTTTGCGCGCTTGCACAAGCTGGGAAGAATGTACTTGGCCGAAGAGGCCTTCCTGGCACGGCGCCAGGCAAGCAAAATCGAACTCCGCAAAGACATCGCACTCGGAGTAAAACTCGCTCTAATATCTCGCTAAATTTTGCGCCCTTTTTCTGAGAGTCAGGCTCTGTCGATGATGCGCCATGTCTGGCGGAATTACGAGACGCATGCCTTTGCCAGGGATGAGCTCAGGCGGGGGCAAGCCGAGCTGCCAGACGTTTTGGTGTCCCATCTCCACCCCTCAAATTCCGTCAAGTTCTGTTGAGGCCTGTGTCGGGCAAGGGCCAAGATAGCTGGGGCGGCATTGGCCAAACACTGGTTGATGCGTTGGACACCCTATGGCTGATGGGTTTCAGAGAGGCCTTGGGCCATTGGGGTCTTGTGCAGGTTCACATAGGTTTCCGCGAGATCTCATGCGCTTGACGCAGGAATTCGACCGAGCAGCTGTTTGGGTAGAAACATCCTTGAGCCTCTTTTCTGCGGTAGAGTTGCAAAGGTCAAAGCTTTGTGGAGCTGAAATGATCCTAAGGCTTCGCGAAGGACTTGAATGTCAACCTCTTTGAAACCACGATCCGCCATTTGGGCGGGCTTCTTTCTGCCTTTGCGTCGCCGGCCTGCAGATAAGCAAACAAGCAAAAATATCAGCACATAAGAAAACAAAGCAAAAACAAAGTTGACTAGTAGCCTTTTCATTGCATCAGCCAGGAACTGCGCATTTTCAAGCAGAGTGGGTCCTAATGGTATTTTCGGGCGGATTCGATTGGTTTTGCCAAAATGAAGTGGAACAAGAACCTGCTTGTGGCAACAAACAGAACCAGGTGAAGAACCAATGGGAATGGAGCTAAAACCAAGCGGAGCATCCAGCATGCGGGGCGATTGGGTCGGCGAACAGTCTGCGATTTGTAGCTTGCACAGGCCTCCAAATGCCTTGGCAAGTTGGCGCTAGTTCTTCACCAACTTCACAGATCTTCACAGACTAGTTTGTGAAGGTTGCTGTGAACTTGTATGTGCAACCTTTGAATACTTGTGTGCATCGGAATTTCGAGTTGAGTTGGGTGTTTTTTTTGTGTTCTTGTCGCGCGAAACCAAGCCACGTCATGGATGAAAAGCCTAGCGAAATCATACCTGGCGCAGAACCTATACGCAAGAGAGCATCGCGCCCCACCCGATTCCGAGTATATGCCGCGCTGACGCTCGCACATGGGCATTTTCAATCGAAGCAGATTCGATGGGCAGATTCAAGCGCAACCCTTTTTTTCTCGCAGCGGTCGATGGTGAGGGCATTTCAGATGCCATATGCCTCAAAGGCCAGTTGTGCCGACGTGAGGCTGAGCGGCAGGCCCGGCCTCCTGGCCAAGGCCGTGGACCTCGGGGATCGCCTGCGGCTCGGACAGCACTTGAAGGCAAGGTCTACAGGTCTACATGACATGAAAGATGCTCATAAAAGAGTCCAAGATTCAAGGACATCCAGCACTTGGGACACTCCAAAAAAGATGAGTTTGAGTGAGAGACCCCAGGATCAACGCCTTTCCGAGAAGCTCACTCTTGGCTTTAGGCCTGCCCAGTCTTGCGCCTAGCAATTCCAAGGGCACAGCCGCGGCAAAGTGTGTTGTTCTCATGGGCCTTGGGGGGTGCAGGCGACACTGGGACGGCGACAAAGCCTTCGTGGGGCACAGGTGATCTCAAAAAGCTACTGCAGCAGGTTGGCTTGGAGTCAGTTCTTGGGATGCTCGGCTGCCTTGAGACACGACAGGCGCACAAGTCTTGGCATCCTGCTCGGGTCGATGGCGAAGCTGCCATCAATGAATTGTGGTTCCTTTGACAAAGAACACCCAGGAATACTAATCAGAGACTCTAGTCATCACGTCCTCAATGTGCTCAGACGGTTGACAGTTCATTTGTCGATTCCACCATCGGCTGGGCGACGCAGATTTCCATGGGGTTCACCTCTTCGCCACTCCCCCTTGAGCCTCACTGAGCCTTTACGCTGAGCCTAAGGAGCGACACCAAGGCAAAAGTCAGCCCGGGCCTGCCATCCTCAGACGTGAATCTGAAAACCGGAGTCCCTCAGCAGCACAAGCTGCAATAAGCTGCACAGGCTTAGAAAAGGAGCCACTGCCGTGAGACCGTAAGCAGCTACAAAGCGGACTTGCTGCTGAGCCTTCTAAGGAAACAAAAAATCTTGCTGGCTTCGTCTCCCTCGCTGAAGCATATGTTCCGATGGACCCTTGCAATTCCAATCTAGGAAGGCAGGTGTCCGATGAGAGATGCCCAGAGAGCAGCCAAGACTCCGGTGGATTGTGGTGAAGGTGTTGGTGTAGTTGTGACCATTGTGCTAAGCAAAAAGCAGGGTGTCCTGCTATCTGTCCAATCCCAGGAGTGGAAGTATTTGACGGCGGTGACTGGCAACTGCCACTTGCACGAAGCACTCAGAAATTCAGCCCCCACCCTATCATTCTCTCTCTCTCTCTCTCTCTCTCTTCCTCTCACTCTCCCTCCCTCTCGCTCTCTCTCGTGCTCTCCCTCCCTCAGCTTGGAGGCTCCTATTCGCGAGCCCAAGATCTGGTCCTGCGCACCCTAAATCGCTCCTTGGAGCTCCAGAACCGTGGTCTGGCAGCCATCCTGCTGTGCCTGGACCGAGAATGAATGAGAGTGAGCTAACAGTACGATTCCACTTCGGTTCAAGCAGCAGAGTTGTTTTGAGAGACATTAAAAGGCAGTCCCAGCGGCTTAGGAAAGCCGATGGCACGGCCTTCGGGTCTCCGGAAAATCGTATTTCCTTGGGAAGTCGCGGCGACTCCTTTTACGAGTATCTTCTCAAAGACAGCCTGTTTTCTGGACAGGAGGCCGATCCTTGAATTTTACTTGGCTCATGGACAGTTCATGAACGAGTCTTCTTGAGATCTTCAGCAGCCAATAAGGATCCATTGGCATGGACGTTATGGAATTCCTTCAGGCCCTTTGGCCGCGGGTCACGGCTACGGAAAAACGTCTTTGTATCCTCGTCTTGTTCTTGTGGGTTTCTTTGCTTCTGTTGGCTGCGCATGGCTGGCTGCAGGCGCAAGCTCCCGGACCTTCTGGTGGAAGTCGATCCGAAGCTGGCGGACCTTCAGCTGCAGCTTGCGGAGTTTGCCAAACCACTGTAAGATTCATGCTTGTCAGTGCCTGTCAGCAGAACTTGGCTGTGTTGCGTGCGTAATTCCTTGAGGCGAAGGCCCGAACGAAGCGGCGGCGGAAGCAGAAGCCAGACGAGGCCCGCGCAAGGTAACAAGGTAGGGCCGCGGTGGTAGACGTCACGCAACCGTAGGAAACCATACTAAACCCTTATCGAACCCGTATTGCAATATGCATTGCAATATATTGTAAAGCAGTTGGTGTGAGAGGGCTGTGTTTTGTTACTGTTTTGGAATCTCGAGTGCTGGCTATATGGCTGAAAAAAGACCTTTCAAAGGCACCACGAGGATTGGGAGGATCCCGTGGTGGATGGTATGAAACCTGGCGCGAGTGGCCCACGCCGTGGTTGTCGCTTGGCAGTCACTGAGAAGCGCTGGAGCAAATCTACCGCCTGGGGCAGCAATAGGCCCCAATTCATGTTTCCGCGCCCCTTGCAACATGTCAGGTTTGTCAAGGAGGTTTCCCTCAGCCAAACAATTCCGAAAATGGACCATTTGCCTTTCGGCGATGATAACCAGACAGCCATTCCATGCAAATGGTGCAGATGATGGTGGCCGACTTGAAACGGTCTTTTCCGGTACCGAGGATATGTTTCCTTCCCGGAGCTCTTGCGCTTGAGGTATTGCATGAGCGAAGCCCAGACAACCGCAAAAGCAGGGTCCATGCCTTACTTATCAACAAGGAATCTCGACCAGTAGGCAGGCGACAGTCTATTCGATCCTGCGCCAGGTCGATCTGATTTTAGCTCACAAGCTTGTCGAGACTTGCGTTCACACGTGGCTGAGCCGCACGCCGGGACATGCCAGAGCTGAGTCTCGCTCAGTCCTTGCAGATCAAGTCCTGTACATTTCTTGTGCTGTTTCCCGCAGGTACTGGCGCACTGTGTCCGACTTGGCCCCGGAGATCACGCGGTTCAATGCGTTGGGGTTGGTGGATGACTTGGGTTCGATGCACAACATCCTCCGGCCTGAGACGTGACACCCGCGACTTGAGACTCCAAGCGTTTCTGAGAATGGTTTTCTGAATCAGACCTAGCTAGCGCCAGCCTTGCCAGGATAGAAAGTCTGTTTGTTCTGTGGAGGACCCGCGCTTGGAGCTTGAAGAAATATAGGATCTCGCAGGACCCCTGAGCTCAGTGAATTCAGGACTACGAAGAAGCAAGTCTACAGAAATTGGGGCCAGCGAATGCTGTGCGCCTTCTACCGCTCGAAGACGCCGTGGCCCGAACTGAACTAGGGGTTTCTGGTGTGGCAGTGTTGCACAATATTGCACACATTGAATTGATGATTTATTGTTGGTAGAGGGTATAGCATGCGCATAGCTCGCGGCAAACAGGCCTGCACGAATCAGCATGTCGGAGTTAGGCTTTCTGATCAAGTCCGCTTGTGGGGTCCGTACATGTCACTTCTCTTCAAGGCACACCCATTGTTTTCTATGAACGCTGGCCTGGAGCTCAGGTTTGGATTCGCCAGCTTGCACAACGTCAATCAACCATCGAAGATGCGTGATGACATGCCGTCGTTCTTCGTAGCTGCAGCTCCGCGATAAATTCAAATCAGGGACTCAGTGTACGAACTTTGTTCCGAAACCATTGACACTTCGAAGCAGGCAAGTGCAAGGCAGTGATGAAGCATCCCCGAACGTGCCATTTCAGGAGACTCTGAAGTATTTGTTCCTGCATCTTGGCTGGTTGGTCAGTGTGATCCGGACGCCTATCTCCAACCTGCTGCTGGAAGTTGCGAGGCTTTTTTCCGATGATGCTGCCTTGCCGCTGGACCAGTTTGTCTTGGGAACTGAAGCACATCCGCTGCCCATCCTCCACACCTTGGAACAAAACGGAGACTTGGACAAGCTTAGGGGAACTGTAGCGTATGAAGCATAGGTGCTGCTGAGCACTGTAAATGGAGCGTGCTTGATGGTGTCTTTTGTTGAGGGCTGCTCCATGCTAATATTTCTTCGCTTGTGCTTCTCGTCTCTCACATCTAGCTAGCCAGAACGGGATGGTGTGATGAGCCCCCGGTCTTGCCCGCCTGCGTGTTGTCGTGGTCTTGCACAGTCTGGGTCGGTGGTTTCACTGTCTCAGATGCTGCTCTCTCTTTGCTGGCGCTGTGTGTGTGTCTGTGTGCGTGCGTGCGTGCGTGCGTGCGTGCGTGCGTGCATACGTGCGTCTCTCGGTCTCTCTGTCTGTCTGTCGCTCTCTCTCTCTCTCTCTCCATCCCTCTCCCTCTCTCCCTCTGCCAGTGTGTGAATTCAAGCAAAACTCTTTCTTCTACTTGCAAGAGCATGCAGGCTATTGCAAGCATGCATTACCGCGCACATTTGGGACACAGTATTTCTGCCGTTCTATTTTGCCTGAAGGATCATCGTCTTGGCCATGCGGAAGAGGGGACATCTTCACGCAGCAAGAGCATGGGCATCTTTGATAAATGGCAAGAGGTGTTTTGCTTGAGAGCCTTGTGAACTCGCCTCAGACGTGTCCACAGCTCAGTGACATTCACTGTATTATAGCTATCAATACATACCTTCTTCATTTTTAAGCATTACTATGAATGAAATCGAAAATGAAATAGAGATCAACTACACGTTTAAACCGAGACCGTGACAGCCAAAAACAGTAGAAGCGGACAAAACCGTGACAGCCAAAAAAGTAGAAGCGGACGAGACCGTGACAGCCAAAAACAGTAGACGCGGACGAGACCGTGACAGCCAAAAACAGTAGAAGCGGAAGAGACCGTGACAGCCCAGAACAGTAGAAGAGGACGAGACCGTGACAGCCAAAAACAGTAGAAGCGGACGAGACCGTGCCAAAACCAGTAGAAGCAGACGAGACTGTGACAACCAAAGCAGTAGAAGCGGACGAGACCGTGACAACCAAAAACAGTAGAAGCCGACGAGACCGTGACAGCCAAAAACAGTAGAAGCAGAAGAAACCACCATGATAGCGAGACCGTGACAGCCAGAAACAGTAGAAGCGGACGAGACTGTGACAGCCAAGACCAGTAGAAGCGGACGAGTGCGTGATAGCCAAAAACAGTGGAAGTGGACGAGAAAATTCAGTTTTGAAGGAGACAACACTTGGGTAGACCCGGAATCAGCTGATATTTTCAAAAGTTTTTTACAAAACGAAGACATTAGAGAATATAACAATAAACTTTGTCAATTATCACACCCTTATTACTGTTCTACGAGAATGCAAGCTCTAGCAGGAAATCAAGTAGTAGAAGCATTTTGACAACTAGAGCTGAGCTCATCAGATGTTCGCTAAAATGATGATGCAAGGAGCACGAAAAGACGAAGCAAACGAAGGCTTCGATTATAGATGTGACGACGAAGTTAAGACATTAGTTAATAATGTCGGCTCTGAATTCATCCCCGAAAAAATTGCGTAAACAGAATAGGGTTTCAGGATAAAATGACACTCTGTTTTAAACCATTATGTGGTCTCTTCTCTCAATTTAAATACTTACCCTTCGAATATATAGGGAATTCAACCTTCGAATTAGAATTAGCACCGAATGCTACTGCTTGCATTCTTGATTACCGAGATGACACCTCAAATACTGATATTGGAAAAAGATCTATTAATGATGTTGAGAATGTAGCAACACGTGGGAATTCAACAATGCTCGGGGATAAATAATGAACGTTTGGCCCTTTTGCAGTCACATCTTTCATGGGCTGAATCTCCCCCCCACCCCCGGCTGTTGTGTAAAATCGATCCACCAGAGCGTCCATTTTGCAACCAGACATGGCATACTCGATATGAGAACGCCCATTTTGCAACTGGACAACATGAGAACACCCACTTGCAGCCGGTCTCTGTCTCTGTCTGTCTCTCTCTCTCTCTCCCTAGTTCGGCTCTTCAGGATGTTTATTTAAGTATGGTTACTCCCCATAGTCTAAGGCCTAGTCTAATGCCTGTCACTCCCCAAACCTCATCCTAAAGCCTCTTACTCCCCGAACCTGATCCTAAATTACTCCCCAAACCTTACCCTAAAGCCTATCACTCCCCAAACCTGATCCAAAACCTGTTTACGCCCCAAACAGTACTCCCCCAACCTTATCTCAATGCCTAGTACTCTCCAAACCTGACCCTGAAGCCTATTACTTCCCGAACCTTATCCTAAAGCCTCAACCCACAAGAGCTGGCAGCAGCTGCTCCCAATTTTCTAAGTTTCTTCCTGTCCGTGTTAAACCTAAAGAAACAGAAGTCCTAACTTAATGGCAGTATTGAATTTGGTTTGCTTGAGAACGCCCACTTTGCAACCTGACTCAACTTATTCGCATGTTGGTGCGGGGCAAAAAGCTTGATGTCAGCCAGCCAAGGGCTCTCCTGCAAGCCGCACTCTCAGACTCTCAGATCAGTAGGATCAGTGGCTGCGCACCTCTGCAGCCGAAAGCACTGGAAGCACTTTTGAAGAGGCAGAGGAGCCTGCGCCGGAGCCCGCCACGGAGCTTCGCAGCGAGCTTCCCGACGAGCGGAGCAGTGAGCCCGTTTCTTCGCAGAGCGTCGCTCTCTTGAAATTACGGAGTTTGGAAAGTCTGTAACAGTCTGTACTTACTGATGATTTAATGGTATATGTTTGCAGAAGTTTTGTGTCTTGCCGACGCAGCAGTTTTCGCCAGCAGCTTCTGGCCAAGGACGGCACGCCCACGAGCGTCGCATCATCCGAAGAGGTCCAAGCAGAAGCCAAGGTGAGGGTTCTGGGAAAAGATGTGCAGGGACGGAATGGCATACACACAACTGTAGGCGCGTTGACAACTCACGCTCTCTTCCGAAGCTTAGAGGCATGGAAGGCAAAGCAGGGCTGCAGTCGCATTTCCTCTCGATCGCCTGTTTCACAGAAGCCTGTAGTTCGCACGCATCTTCTCACATCTCCTTGAAGGCTTCCCTCCCAACTCCTGCTAGGGTTGAAGGATTCGTACTCAGGCTTCTATCCCCCCTCCATGTCCTCCTGGAGTTGAGGGCATCCCGGTTTTGGGTGTAGCTTGCCACCCCCACCCGGTCTCGGTTAAGAGTTTATAACGCTTGGAGTGATCTATCGCATACAGCGGCCAATCAGGTTTCCCCCACTGCATATGGCTTACGAAGCGCTGCAAGTGTGTCAAACCTGCTGCCCCGCAGTCCATGCATCAAAAAAGGGGTTTTGCAGCAGACGTGGGCACGGGAGAGTTGTGGATGTTTAGCAGGCTTCGGTCGTGCGTGTTGGGGCATGTGTCCCAGCTTCGGAACCGAAAAGAAGTGCAGGAGCGATTGTGTCGGAAATTGCAGAAGGCATGATGACGATGAGGTGGCTGCTGTTGACTGTTTTGATTTTGGCTTGGGGAGGTTTGCGACCGAGAGCGTCTCCAAGAACTTGCGCTCCGGATCCAGGCTCCAGCAACCAGCAACATGATTTGCACTGCAAAGCACTGCAACCGAGAACTCTCTCCCTGCAGAATTAGCACCACGTTTCTGCGCATCACGTGGCCGCTCGAGACCTTGAGCTTGCTGTGAGATGTTTTCGAGCGATTGTTGTTCCAGTGGGCAGGAGCTGCAGCATGAGCTGCGGGAGGAGCATGCCTCGTGCTCAGATGCAGGCGATCCAACCTGCTGGGTTGGCGGCTACAGTTACCAGGACCAAGACTTCTGTTGCAAGCGCATGCGCGTGAGGAAAACGGTATGAGTCAGACTGTCTGTCGACGTGTGAGGAGTGCTGCATTCCGCCGCCCGGAAACCCGCTGTGCTGGGATGCAGACTTCACTTATGCGCGCTGCTGCAGGCCGGATGTAACACCTGGGACTGGGAGTCTGAGAATTCGAGACCAAGCTGCTGATAGCCTGTGACCCCTACAGGTGATCGGCAAACGCGGCAGGCTTGGGTAGTAGCCAAGCCGCGTGAATGCCGGCAACATGCGTCGAAGCGAAGAAAAGTTGGATGCATGCATGGACCGTGGATGCAGGCATGGCCCCCACAAAATGGAATCACGAAGCCCTCAGTCACGAAACCGTCAGGTTAGAACTTAGAACACTCGGACGTTGCCATGTCAGCCTTGGGAGAGCAGAGGTGCATATATCAGACCTTGTTCCAAGCCTGGGAGATGCGAGTTTTGCACGCGTATCACAAACGCAACCACCTAATCGTCTACGGTAGTTAGGACTGGCAATCCTACTACCAGCTACCAGCTTACAGATGATATCACTTCCTGCACGCCTCAGACTCCTTTGCCATCTTGCACATGGCTCTGCAGTATGCCACGCCCTGGCCGCGTTTCGCAGACTGCGCCGCTCATCGGTCCGGCCGCGGGAGCTGGCTGTGGCCGTCTCGGCGGAATGTGCAGTGGCCATCCTCACTGGCGACTGCGTGCTGCGCCGGAGTTGGCGTTGCTGTTTCTGGCAGAAATGCGAAAAGCTTGAGAAGGCAAATGAGGCCAACACACCAGGAAGATCTCCGGGAAGATCTGCCAGAGGCCTTGGCAGATACCCTGACGTCCATTCGCCGGATCTTGAGCACAAGGCGGCCTCAGCTTCTCGGCCGCTTCATTGAAACACGTCATGCAGAAAAACATAGAGAAGGTAACAAAGCATATGTGTCAAGATGTATGTATGTAATTATGTATGTAGGATTGTAGGATTATGTAGGTCTGTTGCTATGTAGGTAGGTAGGTAGGTATGTATGTATTGTACGAATGTATGTATGCGCTTGGGTCGCCATTTCCTCTGGCTCCATGGTTTCCGTGAAGTGTTTCTTTTGCCGCTCGCCGAGGAGGCACGACGGAATCCACGACCACGAGCTGGCGCCGTTTGTGTTCAAGCACTGGTGGACGCATCTCGCGGTGCTCCTGCACCTGGCTCCGCATATTGCTCTCGCGAGTGTTTTCCGCTCTCTTGCGGGTGGCTCTCCGCGTCAGGCTAAGTCGGCTAAGTTTGCGTGAGCTGTATGAGCTGCGTAAATACTATGTTGAGGAAGGCGAAGGAGGAGGACCCTGGCCCACTGCCGGGCGATGCTTGGATCTCGCTACGCCTGGATGGCTGCCGCCACTCACGCTGGCACATCACAGCACATGCTTGAGCATCATACAATATCATATACACTTAACGCTTTCTGGGCACACCCTTGCGGGATGGGCAACTTGTGTGCTGGTCCGAGGATGGGGGACGATCATGTCTCGTCTGAAGAAATCTGGAATACTGGATGAGGGCTTTCGGAGTGAGATTGCGGAAGCCATGGTTGACACCTGCCGAGCCGCACCTTGTCCTCCAATGGGCTTAGCGGCTGCGGCTCAGAGGCTTATAGCTGAGCTGTGGCTGTTTCGCAGGCCCGGGAGTGGCTTCTGAGGTCATGTGTGAGTTCGGCGGAGCGCTGGGTTATACACACAGCATCTCGGCGTATGCCGTCCAATGCCACGCGCGCGATGTAGTTTGTCGCAGGTGTTGCATGATGTTGCCAGGCTGCCACTCAATTCACGCACAGTCTGGTTCATGACTTCCCGCAGCGCGGCCAGGTGACGAGATGACCATACTTGTACCTCCGGGCGAAAGAGTGTGCGAAGGTTCTGTGTCGTGGTGGGTGAGCACTGCAGCAAGCAGCCTGGCTAGCAGCGAGCGGAAGACACGAAGATCTGCGCCATAGGACATGTTGAGTCTCTCGGGGCTTGCTCGCGAGCTCATTCAGCGAACGCAAGTCACAAGTAGTCAACGACTTACCAGTGACTTACCATGTTGCTCTGAGGTGTCGCCAGCGCTGCATTCAACCGTTGCTTGACCCGGCTGGCTGCTGGACGAGGTGAGACGGGTGTGGGAAGGGGGGGGGGGGGGGGCGGGCAGCTTGCAGCTGGACACTGGAATGCAGCAAGGAGACCCATGCCCCTCCTGAACACCACGCATTCAATTGCGGATGTATGTTGTTTGTTTTGTTTTTTTTTTTTTTTGGGCTTGCGGTTTTGCCTTTAGTTCCTTTCCTTTCGCCTCTTCCAACTGTGTTATGCTTTCATTACTTATGGCCGTGTGTGTTGTATATTGGTATCTTGTGTTTTGCTTTCTGATTTGTTCTATGTTGTTGTGCCTTCTGCTTTTCTGCTTTTTGCATTCATTTTTGTGTTGGCTTTGCGATTTGTGTGCTTTTTTTCATGCCATTTCTGCTATGCGTTTCATGCTGCATTTTCCTGCAGCTTCCCCCCCCCCTCTCCCTTCTTTTGCGGACTGACGCGTCGCCACTCCTCAGTAATTTTTCCGACGATGCAGAGGACAGGGGTTGCAACAGAGAAGCTCGGCGAGAGCGTCCGGTAGTGAAAGCTCGTCCAGAGAATATGGGGGGCTTGGAAAAAGGAGAAAGTGGACGAGTTCGTCTTGAAAGGAAAAAAGAGGAGAAAGAGTATCTCTCCGATAAGCCAAAAAAACTACCACAACAACACCACAGCCACCTGTGGATCTCAGGTGGCACGAATCAGATGCGGCAGTGAAGCATGTTCTCACGTGAAGCAATGCCAGCTCCAAAACGCCGCGGGGGCCGAGTCGGGCCGAGGAAGCAGTGGGAGTTCGACCAGAGGCCGTCCAGCGCCCCTCCAAGAAACTGTTTTAAATATTGTAATGGGCTTGAAACCAGAAAACAGAAGAGTTCCCCAGGACCTAGAGAGCATCAATCTGAAACCTGGACCTATGCAAAGCGAAAAAGCTCCCAAAAAAGCTCCCAAACAGAATCCGGGGGCCTGTAAAGAGCAGCCTTCGGAGGTTTGCAGCTCCCGGAGATCGTCGTGGCACATTTCGACTGCCGCGTCGGGGTCTTTGCCTCCGCGCAGGAAGCCGAGGGCATGGTGCTCTGGCGCGCCGCGGTGCCCAGCCTCCAAATAGAGAGACACAGATGAAAACATAATGCAACATACTCGGAAAGCAAATTGACACGAAAGCATACAGGGACCCTCAGAAGTTGAGACTTCAAAACATGCGCATCAAGGACTGCAATGTCAACTCTGCGTCGGATGCCATCAAATTCTCGGATGCACCGTATGCTATTCGTGACTACAACACCATCCAGAAGCTGTCGGGTCCCCAAGATCGGCCACGTCGCTTTCTTCCATCGGTATAATGCAGACAGAGAGATGCGCTTTGGACGAGCAGGTGCTACTTGCAAGAGCACTCGGTTCTCCCACTGCAGAGACATCAGGCATACGGGTCGCTCATTGGAAGGAGGGTGCCTCAGAAGCCTCCAAAGTTTCATGTGCTTGCGCCCGCTTGGTGAACCTGAGGATCGCCAGTGAAGGTCGAGGCAGGAGGGCATGGCAATTCGGAGACCTCCAACCTACTGATGTGCGATAGAGTAGGCAAGGGCTGGGGGTGTTTGCTTTTTTAAATGACTTGCTGCAGACGTGCTGGTGCTGCTCAACGGTGGCTGCCATGCGCTGCCGCAGCACATCCTCAACCTTGCCCGGCTGGGCCCGCTCATCCCCAGCGGGTCAGGTCGGCCGAAGCATTCTTAGACAACTCTTCGTGGGGTCGATGCGGGGGCCTCTATTGAATAGTTGCTGGTAAAGCTACTTCATTGTTGAGTATAGGGTTATTCGACCAAGTGCTGTGAGTCCAAACAGGGTCTGACTACTATTCGTGGTTTTGAGGTTTGCCGGCCTCAGACCAGCCCCAGGCTCCATCAAAGTGTTCTTGTGCTTTTGCAAAAGATCTTCGGAGGTCGCAAGCAACGGGGGCCACCGAAAAAGTGGCGCCTGTGGAGGGGTCCTTGGAGAAGGTGGTTTGTGAGGCTGAGACGAGGCTCTGAATGGAAAGCGGTGCACACACCTTGGAAGTTGCAAAAATCATCAAAAGTCCAAGTGCCTTGGCAGGACTTGGACTGATTTCAGGCCATGGTGTTCTGCGGCACTTTCTTTTTTTGGTTGGAGTTTGCATTTAACATCCTTTTCAGCCTTAGCGTCTGGGAGGTCCTATATGTGAGCAGGCCTCCAAACTTGGTTTGATGGACTTCGTGGTCTGGCCAAGCACGACCCCTCAATGCCTCAAGGGCTAAAAGAATGGACGGTGTCCCTGCACCTGGCAAAACTGTTAAACAGGCTTCGAGCACAGCTGTGCAGTCCTGACAATCAGTCGTTTTTGTTGCTCAAGAAGGGGATTTCCAAAGGCTCTTGATAGCGCTGGGCAGACTGCAGCCCCGGCGCTGATGGTGTGTTGAGGCCATGTCTGAAGCAATACAGCCGCCAGAGCTGTCCTGGGGTTGCATTGCGCACCGTGCATGTCAGAACTTGCTCGCGGGGTCTGCACATGTGAGTCCAGATGTGGCGGAATTTCTGCTGTTCGATCAAAAAGCAAAGCAGCTTTGGCTTTGTCGATACTTGGGGCACTTGCCCTCTTGCAAAACGCACGCCCTTGCTTCTCCAGAAGAGGCCGCTTTGCAGAACCCACGACAACTGCAGTTGTGTCCGCGGCGCCCTTTCTTTGCATCCCTGGAAATTTCTGGTGGCCGTGCCAGGGCTGCTGTTTGGAGGATTACAGGGGCCATTGGTGGTTCGCAAGCCTATTGCGCAGCGCCGGCCATCTCAGGTGCGGAGTCTGCACGGGCCATAGGTTGGGCCTCAAATGAGACTCGGGTGAGCACGAAACCAGACACTGCCGTTCTGTGCGTCCTGCTTTCCGCGCAAGTGCTTCTGGTTTCTGTTGCAGAAGGCCCCCAAGGCCTTGTTGTGGAGCGGTGCCTTCGGCTGGACACCGGATTTCCAACTGCCTGTTTCGCTTGGTCGAAGGATGGGTCCCAGCTACTGGTCGGTGGTGCTGGGCAAATTCTTTGCTTTGCTTGGACCAAGAATAAAGGGCACGAAAAGACCGGAAGCCCAGAGCATCCGCTGTCCAGACACTTCTTGTGCAATGGCGGTTGCGTGGAGATTCATGCCGTGCACTCCACCGGCTTTCTATGCCGGGTAGACCAGAAAGTCCAAGAAACGCAGATCTCAGCTTTGATGTTGCCAGGAGGTTGCACTGCACCTGTCCTCCAGCAGCCTTTAGTGCAAGAGGTGGGCGAGTCAAATGTGATCGACTTGCGGGAGGATGGGCTCTGTTCGGCGCCCGCAGACCGGCGAAATCCGGCGGAGTCCGGCCTACAGATTGTGCCCGGTCATCGCTGCCTACTGCCACTCTGCTGCCCTGACCAAGCCCGGCCGGTCCAAGACGAGCCTCGGCCAAATCAGCAGAAAGAAACCCAGCGCACCTCAGCAAACTGTAACACATCACGACGACGAGAACAGCCAAGATTCAAAAGATTCACAACTAGCTCCCGTCCCCTCACAAGAGCACGCTGCCAGGCAGGCTTGCCACGCTTGCAGTGCGGGAGGGAGCTGAAGGTGGAGGGCGAGTTCGTTGCGGTTGCCGACGGCTCTGGGAAGGCCTGCGTCATCGTCGGGTCCTTCCGGCATGCTGAGATCTCGGTCTTCAGCTTGGCACCACCTCAGAGCTGGAAGCAGGCAGGTGACGGAGGTGACGGGGACAGCGAGTGGTGCCAGTTGACGAGCGTGGACCTGTCACCACCCTCGGCATCCATGCGCCTTTCAGGATGCCTATCTTGGACCACTTGTTAGCCCTAACTGAGCTGCTTTGCTTTGCCGCTTGCCTTTTCTCTCTGTCTCCAAGCCAGTAATTGGGGAAGAGTGGTGTGGCTGAGGGATAGAAAACTTCCAGAGTGGATACTCAGCTCTTCGAAGCCCGTGTTTGCTTCCAGGCCTGGCACTTTGGGGCTTAGAAGTGCATGCCCTCCTCTCCGAGCCCAGCGAGGGCATACTCGGCGCCTCCATCGCGCGGGAGCTTTGTCACAGGCACTTCACGAGATTTAGGGTCCACGTCTTGTTCAAGATGAGGACCTGAGGAGGTTTGAGCAGTAAGGTTGCTGAACGAGTAGCTTTGACGGATACGTGCAGTGACGAGCACAGTTTGCGTCATGCTGGCTAATGTACGGAGGACGGAATGACCGATCTGCAATTGCTTGTGTCATTTCTTTTCTCTCGCTCGGAATTTGTTCTTCTGCCTTGGCTTGCGACGGTTTTTGGACTTGTCTTAGGCATGTCTTAAGATTCCCCTGTGCCTTTATTCGTATGCTAGCCGCAAGTGAGCCATCTTGGCAGCGACACGTCACAAAGTGAGTGGGGTGCCTCTTAGGGTTTCCTGTGTCGCCACGCTGATGCATTGCAGGTCTCAAAAGCTGGGCGCCGCTCAGATTCAGATCGAAGAGCTTGGAAAGCTATCTTGAAGCGTGCAGAAACACAAGTGTCATGAAGTGTGGGCTAAGGACCACTTCGCCAGTCAAGAAGCTGCCCCTGTGCGGCAAGCCCATGAGAACCGCAAAAAGTTCACTTGAGGAAGTGAGCCGAAATCAGCTATGTAAAAACGGGAGAGTCTGGGAGGGAGAAAAGGCCATGGCACCTGCAGCGTCGCTTGTCGTACAGTTGTACAAAGCAAGACCTAAGGACCTAAGGGCACTCACAGTGACTTAGGGCAGCTGGGGCCCATCGTGCGGCCCATCTAATTGCAAGGCCTCCACAATTTGGGGGGTGAGAATTCTCTGCCAATGGCGTTGTTAGTGTCATGAGCAAGGACGCATCGGAGTCATCGGAGAACCCGAAGTCGCGGGACCAGGACCCGTTGGGAGGTCTTTCCGTCTAGCGGGGGTGGCAGCAGCTGGGGCAAAGAGCGCATTGACCTTGGGCCAGGCCTTGGTGAGGATTGCAGACGACGTAGCTGGCATGCGCCAGGAGATGCAAAGCTTGCGAGACCCCTGGCCGGCTTGTGGGGGTTGCAAGGTGAATCGCCACGCAGCATTTGCACATATTTGTCCATACAAATGTAAGAGATATACGCACGGCGATTACAAGAATCATGTACCTGCGACCATTTCCAGGAGTGCTTTGTGGAGTTCAGTCACGACTTCAAGCGCCTGACTTCTGCTCTGGAGATCTTGGCGAAGAGGTGAAGAAAGGAGGTTAACAAATGAGGTGAGAAGAGGAGGTGAAGAGTTTCGAGGTGACGAGAGGCCAGCACTGGCCCAACGAGTCCAAGGCGATGATCACAAGGAGATGTCGGAGTGTCAGCGAGTTGGACTGCTCGGGCCGCTCTTCGCTGCTTCGCTCTGAGTCCAGTCCATGTCGGCTTCGAAGAGGACCAGGATGGGGCCCATAGCCCCGCCTGAGAGGCAGACTCAAAATGCACCGGTGCTTGACCGGCTTCACACAGGATGTCTTCACCCCTAAACTGCAACTACATCGCAATGCCAGACTCACGAGGCCAGATGCTGATGGACGGCGGGGGTTCTTGGCCCAAGCTGACGCAACAAAGCATAGGCGCGCAGCATGCAGACATATGCGGACATGATGCACATGGGCTCGTAGGAACGTGTAGGTAGGTAGCAGTCTGTGATGCTGTTGGCCCCCCCTAACATGCCACATCTTGGTGTTCGCTTATTCAGCATTTTTACAGGGCCCCATGGCCCATGGATGGCAGAACTCGACGAAACAAAGTCGGGTGTGCCATCGATGCAGGGCGAGATCGGCCAAAGGACTTGGGGTGAAAAAAGAAGTTAATTCTAGGCCTTGACGGGAGCTCAAGCGCGAGTGAAGCGCGAGTGGATCCATGCACATGTGGGATCATGTGGGACGTGGGATGAGGTGCTGCCAACACGCCCAACGCCAAGCTGACGCCCACTGCGAAGCCGAAGGTGAAGCCTTCACCTCGAGCTGCGCGGACAGCAAGCCCTGCGGTCTGCGCGGGCCCTGCTGCATGCCCTGCTGCAAGCCCTGCAGGCTTGCGCAGCTCTCCCCAGCGCACTCCGCGGCAGTCCTTGCAGCTGCAAGAGATGGCCTCGACATGCGAAGACGCTGTCAGGCGCATCGATGAGCTTAGTGCTGCTACACAGCATTTGCTGAGAGAGCTCGGCATCGTAGGCATAGGAGGGACGAGTCCACGCATGAATCTAACCAAGCCACCGCGGTCGAACCCCTTTTTTGGCACGCGACCTCCGGCAACGAACGCCGTCGTTGCCGCTCCATGTGGAGCAGCCCAAGCAGAAGTCCCACAACTGCCCAGATATTCGCGGCCGGAACTTGCGCCAGCAATGCAACCACCAGGTGCTGAGCCTGTCACGCAGAACGCCAGCATGTCGTTCATACCGACCTCTGCCCTTCAGTCTTTGGAACAAACTATTGCTTTGCATAGACCTGTTCCTCTGAGCGCTAGCCGGGTAGTGCTTGCATGCGGGCGTTGCATTGATCTGAAAGAACTGTACCCCGAGTTTGCGCGCAACATTGCTGCAAATGCTAGCCAAAGACAGCGGATCTCGGAAGATCTTCTGAGCCGCCAGCTCAGCCAAAAGATCCTTGGCATCTACAGTAGATTTGATCCGACGGCATCAACCCTGACATGGTCTCGCGGTCGACTACGGGACTTTGTGAAGGCATGCTTCACAGACCTAGCGTTGATGCTGCCCACAGACTCGCAGATCTACAAGATGTACACGCACTTCGACCCAGAGTTAAACATGTCTCTCACGGCGCTCGAAAGCATCTGTCTAGTTGAGGCCTTGATACGAGCATCCGTGGGCATTGACATGGAGACCATCGAGCCCATCGAGCCTATCGAGCCTATTGGAGGGCCTATTGGGCATTCCGAGCGGGACAACACATCCCTTGAGTTCGAGCCAGGCTTCGACCATCCGACATTCTTGGCCGAGCAGTGGGTTTCCCAGTATGTGCCTTTGCCCGTCGATGGGACCGTCAGCATTGCCTACTCGACGGGAGTGGCCATCCATTTTGAAGACTTCTCGAGGATGCTTCAGAGCTTGGCTGCGCTGAATGCCTCGCAGCGAAGCAACATACTCTACAAGATTGCAAGTTGCGACCTGCTCAAGCACGCCTTGGAGATCTTCAGGCGCCATGATGACGACGGTTTTCTGACGTCACGACAGCTCGAAGGATTTGTCACAGAGGTCTTTGTTTCAGAGGGGTTGGTGCCACCAACTGCAGAGCATGTCGCAGCTTTCTACGACAAGTTCGCCGGACCGCAGCAGAGACTGAATGCCAGTGAGTGCCTATGTTTGGTAGATGCGCTCTTCCGTGCTCTACTGCATGCCGGCACTCCTCCTAGCCAAAGACTTGCTGCTTCGGAGGCTTTCATCGAGGACTGACCAGCACACATTCTGAACTGCAACCGTAGCTTGACCGCAACCATCCTGAACCCTAGTTTGCCCCCTGCAGAGGAGCGCGCTGAAGGCGACCTGTTTGAGATGTGGCTGCATCGGCACAGCGGGGTTTTGTGAGTGCGGCCGTTGTTTTTGTTTTACCTGGTCCATACATGTAGATGACACATCATGGAGGGGGGATTCTTAGGTGTGAGCCATAGAAGAACGGCCCCTTACTGAGAACTCTGTTCGCTCCATCCTGCTTCGGAATGGTCTGGCAGGGAAGCCCGAAGGCTGGGAGGTCCAGGCCGCCCAAGCCGGGGCCCCAGAGCGCGTCTCTGTTGCGATTTTGCTCTCATGATTACATTGACATGTGAGTTCTTCCGAAATTGTTAACCCAGGAAGCTCCTCAAGCGCAGAATCCCCGACACCATCCTCACGAGGAGTTTACGGAGCCTCGATCCATTTCCTCGGCCAGGGCATGGGTCGCTTCTGTGGCTCGTGGTCTGCCACCCCTGGAACCCCTGAAAGACTCCGCTTTGAGCTCTGCACAACGGTTTGCTCAGCTGGCTTTGGAAGTATTTCTAGAACAGCCGACAGCCATGCAGGGCCGACTCTTCTACCAGGGACACAGGCAGCAGGAGATGAGGAACTTCCTCAGCAGCCTCTTTGACAGAGCTGGGCTGCCGCCTTCCGCCTCGACCATGGTCTCGACTGTCGCCGAGCAGATCGACCTGCAGAAATCGGGATCCTTGGACGTGACGCAGTGCTTGCTCCTTTCAGATGGGCTGGTGCGCCTGGCGGAGGGCGCTGGTGCCTCCCGCCGTGAACGGAAACCCCATGAAATTCGCCATGAGCCGTTCCCTGGCAAAGGCCGGCGAGGGCCCCCCCACCCGTCGCATGAGTCGCCTCGCACCCCTCTTTCGCCTCCGCTGAGCAGGTGAGCCTGACACTGGACGTGACGTGGCATGGGCTGACCCAGGGACCTTGCAGCAGGCACGTAGTCACGTCGGGGTTTGAGCTTCTTAAAGGCTTCAAGACGAGAGTCTCGAAGAGCTGTGGTACACATTTGTGGTATATGTAATAGCGTCTGGCACAGGTTGCTTCCCAAGCGTTTGCTGCATGCGATCAGCTCGGACATGGCTATTTGACATGGTCCGAGGCCAGTATACTTGCTGCCACAGCTTAAGCCAAGTTTCCTCGGGTCTGCGTGTCGGGAGTGTGAGGTGAGATGCTTCATTGCCATGATCTTCCACGGCTTGGGTCACTCGCCTCATCTTACAGCAAGCCATGTTTGCTTGATTATGTTTGCTGCAGGCCTCATGCAAGCCGCATGCTGCCACACTGCCACATGCTGCTGGACATATTGCTTAGCACGGCCGAGGGTTGACAAATCCGCTCACTGAGAGCGACGTGTACAAGCTGTATGCCCGCTTTGACGAGGAGCCCTCGGACACATGACCTCTCTTTGGTTTGATTCAATGTGATGTTGTGTACGTATAAAAAAAGCCTTTTTGCACTCGGGTGCTCTCAGTGATGCTCGCAGTCTACTCAGATGTGCTTAGCCCTGAGGACCACACGGCAAGACTGGGGATGGATCAATGCCTTCGCTTAGCTCGAGCTGCCGTGCCCCAAAGTGGGCCCCCCCTCCTTTAATTGCCCAGAATTACACGCACAATCTGAATTAAGTGAAAAGTGACTCAGTTACACACCGACTTGCGGGCACGGAGCGACTTAAAAAGCCATGCAGCGCTTCTCTGGTGACCATGAAGAGAGCGAAGCATGAGAGCGAAGCGAGCGAAGCATGAGAGCGAAGCGAGCGAAGCATTCGGCTATGCAGACAGCAATGAGTCGTTGAGATATCGCTGTCGAGAGCTGGCTTCTGACAGTCTCGAGGCTCCAAAGCTTTGACCGCCTAAGCCCCTCTTTTGGATCTCGGACATTCTGGAACGCACCAATCGTGTGCTCCTGGCTGCAATATGCCGTGATGGTTGCTGCGTGACTGATGAGTGCATCATGCCACATGCACCGTGCACTGGAACATTGCGTTAAGGCGTTAGCAAGACTCGCCATGTACGTCCCATCCACCGGTCCGATGATGCCTCCCGACTGAGTCTTTCTTTTCGCATTGTCCGAGCCGATTTCTGCGCAGTCGCCGCAACCTCCTCGTGCAGGTCAAAGCCCTACATGGTGCAAGAGCCGGGTGCAGTCGCTGGCACTGGGTTTGGCCAACCTCTCGCGCCACTCAGCTGGAAAAAGCGGCAATGGACGAAAGCTTCAGGACAGCTTAAGATTTGGATTCAAGTGACTGAAGTGACTGAAGGCCGCAACCTTATTTCCTACAAGAGCCGACAAGCGCGATAGCTGCACCGGCTGCGTTTCAAGATCCGGGGGTTCCAATACCACTTCCTACTATACAAGGATGCCTGGGTTGTTGCACTTGCTTTTGTCGGCTTCTCCTCTGCTCTTCAGGCTCTTGACTCGATTTGTCAGGAGCTCCTATGGCGAAAGGCATGAACGGCATGATGAACGGCATGAACGGCATGAATGGCATGAACGGCATGAACAGCTTGAACGGCGCAACGAACGGCATGACGAACGGCCCGGGCCTGAAGGGCGGCGACCAGATGTTGTAATGCCGCTGAGTGCTGTACTGCGTCGTCCGATTCCAAGGCCTGCGGAGTGCGCGGGCCAGCGCAGGGCATGCACCACAGACGGCTATCGATGATGGAACTGCGGCTGTCTTCCTGCAGCAGCCTCTCGGCTCGTGGGTATATGTGAGCATGTGGCATGGCGCGACTCAACGTGTCTTGTGGCAAGCGAGGTATTTCACCCTCATCAAATCACATTGCGAAACGCGCTTGGCCAACAAGAAAGCGGCCATGAGGGAACTGAACGGCACCTCGGTGGGGGTGCAGGGCTGTAGCGGCTTTTTTGGCAGCCGCTGTCTTCAGCTGGCCGGAAGCCTCAACATGAGTTTAACATGCCTATACATGCCTCAGCCCCAAGCTTCTCGCAAGGCAAGCTGTTCCCGCTCATCCTAGAGGCTTTTCATCGGCACGACAGGGATGGTGACGGCGTGCTGAACAAGCAAGAATCTTGACTCCTAACAGTTCATTGCAGCGCAACGTTTCAGATCCGGCATGACTGTGGAATCACACAGTCCACCTTTGCCGAGGAGGCGTACATTTTGTTCACTCTCTTCGTCTCGGACAGGCCGTGCCTGACGGTGGAGCTTGTTGTGTGCAGCAGTACGCAGCAGCGCGTCGAGCATGCAGCGAGTCTGAGTAGGCTGGGCTTTAGCGACGCAGCACGTGCAATGGTCTATCAGCAAACTGGCGAGTCCGAGAAGGCCGTGTTGACAGAAGCGTGTCGGGAACGTGCGTGAGAGTCCACGTGCCCACCATGCTGTGTTTTGACATATGGTTGCTGTGGAACTCCACAGGCAGCTGACCGCGTGGCACAGTACAAGAAGTTTAAGGCCGGGAAGGTTTTGACAATTTGAGGGTGCCAGGATGTGCCAGGCCCGCTGGTGTGTCGATTGTTTCCTCGCTGGAGAATGGTCGGATTGCAGGAAACTTACGATGCGCGAGCATTCCAGACTTTCGCTGCAGACGAAGATGGCTATGTGCAGCTCCACGAGGCGCCTTCAAAGTACCTCTTCCAAAAACCTTATACAACACTCCCTTAAACACTTAAACTCCCTGAAATTCTTGGGAGTGTGCGCATGGGCATCGTTTGAGGGAAAGAATGATCAACGTAAAGAGTCTTTCAGAACGAGGCTTTCGGACAGTCTCGAGACTCCTACTTTTCCGAAGCTTGCGAGTTGATGCCTGTTACAGAATGAGATAGTTTTTGAGCAGTTCAGGCGTGATTTCACATCCCTTCCTATTTTCGGTTGCGTTCCTGCAGAGTACAGACATGGCTGAGTGCCCACAAGATGCTTCTGCGGCTCGTTTTGTGCTTGTGTCCGCGTGTTCTTTGTGTCTGTCACGCTGCAGCCAGACATAAGTCCACTGGAGCTTTGTGTCAGGTGATTTCCGCGCTGTCTCTCCACACCGAGAAGCACATGGCATTGTTCAAGGCTTCTGAGTCTGACCCACTGATGAAGACTCTGATGAAGCTTGCACTCCTCTGCAACTAGCAAGGCCTTCGGACTTCAAGAAGCAGATGACGAAGCGGAACAGTCGTATTACGTTGACCACTATGCCTGATTCACGACCCTTGCCCAACTCGTCCTGCTTTGTTGTGGAGTAATGATGAGCTGCTGTCCTTTGGTGCATGGCGCATGTCGAGACGAGCAGGACACCGAACCGAGATTTTCCGAGCAGCTGCAGAGGCTCCTATTGATGCCGAGAGCTCAGCCCCGAGCCTTGTTCGGCAGAAGTATGCAGAAGTGTCGAAGCATTGACTCAATGGTTGCATCGCTTTGTTGTGTTCCAGTGCCTGAGAGGATTCTGGAAGATTTCCTTTGGATCCACGCCTCCGACCACTGACAGTCGATTGGCTAGGCGGCTAGCGGCTACACAACTTTGAGAAGCTCGGCTGCGCCGGCCATGAAATTTTAGATCAAGCACGGGAAAGGTACGACGCAATCGACAGCAGCGTTATGTGGGCACTCTTTGAAAACACCTGTTGCGTCTGTGCTTGATGACCAATCGCCAAGCAAAGCTTGCATCTCACCAAGTGAGTGATGGCCTTCCAGCCCTGTCTGCTGCCACGGCTCCGCCACACGTCTCCCATGCGCTCAGTTCGAAGCAGACTCGGTTGTTATGCTCTCACATTCAATTGTTTGTTTGCACCATTCGCCCGCCAATCAGTACCAAAAGAAAGGGCCGCTGCAGGACAGGGAGCAAAGATCCGTGAAAGTCTGCGAAGTTGTGTTTAGTGTCAAGGCATGCAATTGACCGCCTTCCAGCGGCCCAAACGCAAAAGCCCACGCGTTTCAAAGCTCTCGGTGGCTGCATGGTCTCCACTTACCAAAGCGCGTATTGCGGTAACTCATATGCAAGTCCGTACCGATATCTGGAGGGAGTTGCCGGACTGGGGCATCAGGTCAGAATTGGCAAGGGTTCTTGGCCTCAGGTATCGACCAATGGGCCAACGTCTTTTACCAGCCGGAGTCGTCTGCACTAGCAGCGAGAAAGGTTCCGAAGCCATGCTGCCTGCATTCAAGTTGTGCCCGATTCTACGCGCAGGAGGATTGGAGTGGGGCCGCATTGTTGGGATCTTGGGATCTCAAAGTGACCTGAACGCTTGCGAACTGGTTACCTGGTTCGCTATTTAGGTTCACCGTTGCTGCAGAGCAGGTCCGACCTGCCCGCTGGTTTGAGAAGACGGGCAGAGTTCTACCGACGAGAATTGCCGACCCCTTAAACAAATGTACTGGCTTCACGTTACAAGTGTTGTTCCGGCGCAGACACCCTATACTGTACCAGATTCAGGAGTGTGCCTGAGAAGTGCGACACCCAGACGTGCAAAGTGCCTATAAGCCAATGCCAAGGCAAGGCAACATTTTGCTTTCGCTGGGTGCAGGAGTGCATCCAGGCGTTCGCTCAGCTCACCCGCAAGGGATCCTAGAGCAGGGATCTCGCCCAAAGCAGGAAGCGAAACGCGAAGAAGCAAAGCAGAATGGAGCAGCGTTTAAAGTTCCTTATCTCCCTCTGTGGGAGTTTTTCGGGTTCTCAGGCACCACGCCGGCCAAAGAGGCTCAGCCGGCCCATGTGCAATTCGCCACAGTCTCAGTATCCATCTCTTGTTCCCAGTCGCAGCGGCATTGGCTACGCGAACGAGTGTAATCTCTTCCCTCTATTGTTAAGCGAGCGCCCCCCCCCCCCCCCCCCCCACAAATTCGGAATAGGGCTTAAAAAGGCGGGGTCGGTTTCGGCAGGTGTTTTATGGTTGGGGGGGCGGGGGTTTTAATATATACGTACAACATTTGAGAGAGAGAGAGAGAGAGAGTGGATACAGACATTTGCAGCAGGCAATACAAATCGATGCGTCGACCACCTCGGTCCGGCACAAACTCTAGATGACCCGTTGAAGGTTTGCTTCTGGGCCACTTAAGGGGCTCTTCAGCTTAGGGCACTGGTGTTGGAAGACCCCCAAACGTGGGCCACAGAGCCACCAGATAGAGCTGAGCACCAAACTCGAATGAAACACTCTCCAGAGACTCCGGACCCCTCAACTGGCGCTGGGCGGGCCTTGTGATGGGTTCATGGGATAGACCGAGGAACTCAATTTTACGACTGCACGTGAAATCTTTGCTCTCGAAAGTGAACTGAAGCAACACATCTTTTGTGATTTTGTAGATGTAGAGAAAGTCGTAGACAATGATACAATTGACGTGTGTGTGCACTTCTTGAGACCACCAGCGCCGCTCGCAGGTACAATCCCTTCACGTCATGCGAGCCGCCGCGGGGCAAGTTCTGCGGGTTCCCGGCGCACATAACTAGGACAGCTGGGCCCAAACTAAGAGAGAGAGAGAGAGAGAGAGAGAGAGAGAGAGAGGGGAAAAAAAGCATCGTCAGACGCGGGAGCGGGGCACGCCTTGGCGCAGTAAGGGATAGGGCTGGAAAGAAGGAAGGAAGCGAGATTCGGAGATAGGGAGATAAGATTGGGAGCATGCAACGTGCCCTTCATGGTTCGCAGGATGTTGCCAAACCCTCCTGATCCTTTGGGATTCACTTCCCACGGGCTCAACCCAGCCCAGGACTCAGCAATTTTCCAATTGAAATCATGTCGCTGCCTTCCGTGCATGCGTGTACAGTACTTGCTTAGTGACGTGTATGAGCTAGCACCTTACAAGGAGCTGGCACATCGAGAGTTCCGTGGGCGCGCAAGTGGCTTCCCAGTTGGCGGGTACCCAGCCAGCGGCATAGCATGGCCCCGCATGCTGGAATCTCAGACAGAGACTGGAGAGATTTCGTAGGTCTTCAGTGCGCCCGTGATCCACCAAATTTCCTCGACGGAGGCTCCAGAGCAGATGCGCACTAGGTCAGCACAGTGACAGCGGCAAGAAGTTTCAAAGTTCCCGCAGGACTCACCAGCGCCTTGGCGCCATGACCCCGGACAACTTGAATTTCATCTATTGGGGCTGCTGCCAATCCTCGCCCTGCTGTCGTTGGGTTTATCGGCTTCGTTCGATTTGTCAGGCCTGTACGCAGAGCTCGAGCAGAATCCACGTGGCCGTGCCAGCCGAAGGTCGCTAGCAGTGTCAGGGCTCACGACTAGGCTGTGCAATGACACGATTTCGACGAAGATGGCTATCAGCCAGTGGCACTCTGCATGCTGGTCCATCCGGTTGAGTTTCATCTTCCGTGTCCCTGTCAGGGGCATGCTGTGAGATGGTGCTTGCAGCCAAGTTGCCGATGCAACAGGGTGCGAAGTTCCCTCGCGAAGCTCTCGAATACGCGCAAAGCGCGTCAGCAGCCAATGCTTAGCAAACGTGCAAATCTCCGGCCAAGAGCTGCCTGCCATGCGGTTCAACAGGTTCGTTTAGAGGGCATAGAGGTTTCTCGGGTGCCTGTGAGCATGTCTACACGTGTTACATGTTGCACTCCCCTCGTGTTGGTTTGTCCTCGTGCCGCCCTCAGAAGTTAGGAGGGGTGTGTTCCAGCAGCTTTGTGTTCTCGCAAGCTGGTTCGTTGTCCACTCTTGTGGGTGTGGTGCGTGTTTTCTTGGCATCTGGCGTTGTGTAGGGCACACTCGGGCCCGTTCGGAGTATTTGAGAACCCTTTTTTGGGGCCTTTTTCGCGCTGTTTCGGAACTTGGCATGTTAATTGGGTAAACCTCCTTGGCTGGCAGCAACGTCGTGGAGCCCGGAAGCCCACACGAACTTCGACTTCCGCTTTTTGTCCAGTCGCGAAGGGTCGAAGGGTCGAAAGAGTGTCCTCGAGTGTCCTTGACTTCAGCTCTCCGTACCAATCGTTCTCAAAAGTGGCAGAACATGTTCGCCGTAGCTAAACCCTCTCCGTGGAAAACTGCCTTGTTGTCGTCCCTTTTGTACCTTCGTCGCATGTCCAAAACAGTCACGAGGATCCGCAGGCCTCGATGCTGTCGTCGTTTCTGGGGCCCCGGGCCTGCATGTCTTCTTCAACATCTCTAAGCTGGTCTGATGCCGAGAACGATGATCCTGCTCATGGACTTGTTTAGACACGCACCTTTGGGCTACTTGGCTCGAAGAGCTTCGGAGTAGAGCGTTCATGGTCCACTGCCAACCCTTATGCAGAGACCTCAGAGGGAAGAAAAGGTTCATGTCACTGCGGCTCAGTTCTTGAAAAGCGCGGAAAAATTATCAACTTCGCATCGCAGGATCCTCGGCTGTGCCCCCGAGTGAACGGAAGGGGCCCCTTGGCGTTCGCACTTGCTTTGCTGAACTTTGGACTGTAGCCCTCTTCGATTCTCTTCCTTTTGGAGAAGTTTCCGGGCTGTTTCGTGCCTTTGCTTGTCACTCAGGGTGCTAGCAGCTGCTGGCGCTTGCCATGGGTTTCTTCAAGCTGGGGCGGCTGGGGCCCTTAAGCCCTTGGCACAAGCTGCGCCATTCAGAGGAACCTGAGAACTCTAGATGCCGCTCTTGCTTCAAAGATTTCGTAGGGCTTGTAGCGGAGCCTTCCTTCCCGAGGCTGGAGAAGGGAAAGTCTCAGGATGGCATGCCTCGCCAGGACACGCGTGCCAAGAGAGCATAGCATACACCCGGCTGTCCAGAAAGCTGCATTCGCCTCGCTGTGCTTCAGTCTGAGATTGATCTCAGCTGTCAGGCAGACCGAAAAGAGGGCGAACCTCTCTTGGATGCCACGCAGGCCTGTGAGTGCTTGCAGTGCTTGCAGCCAAGACATGATGGGGCAGCCTAGAAAAAGCTCTGAAGGCGGATGCACAGCACAAGAAGAGGGAACCAGAAGGCTGGCGAACTGAAGCGCTTGCACGCGCTGTGGACTCCTGCACCTTGGGTATGGAATTCTTCACACTATTAAGACATCATTGAAGAGGCATGTCCGCGGCGAAGCCGGTGGCCGAAAGCCGTTCTGGGGCAGGGGGCCGAGAGCTCTTCCCGGCGCTTCCCTCTGTGTTTCCAATCGATAAAGCTTTTGACACAAGCGCTCCCTTGCTCAAACTGACACATACTGTCACAGAAGCTGTCACACAAGCTGTCACACACAAAGAATCACATAAACTGCAAGTTTACACACCTTGTTCCACGAGAGCTCAGGAGTCAATTGGCTGTTGCGTTCTGGTGATCTTTGGACCCTTCAGCAGATAAGCAACATCCGGAACCCATCCTGAAGCTCCCTGTAGATACTGTAGATGCGGTTTGTCAACTTCAGCGTGGGAGTTTCTGCTCTTCCGAGGCGGCTACACGTGTTCAGGTGGGGGCAGCTGCGTCAGCGCTGTACAAATTATTGTTTCCTGTTCTCTCTCTCCACTTCACTTCTTTTACCTTATAGGCTAACTTATAGGCGCCTTCTTCATTTTCCCCCTCTCAAAGGGGTAGTCGCACTGTCCATCTGACAAATAGGCCGGCCTCTCCGTGAACGACTTCATTAGCAAGACGAAGAATCAGCAGCGCCAGGCAGGGGGTGTTGATAGGCCCTCTGAACACTTTTAGACTTCACCTCGGACGGCACGCGGTCTTTGATTCTCTTGAGTACTGAGAATCCCTTTGTTGCTCTCAGGGTTTGAAGCCCTCCGGGCCGGAGCTCATAGCGCACCTCGGTGGCCACATTCGTCATATTCGTCTGCTCCACCAACGTACATTCCCCTCTCTCGACCCCCCTTGAAGGTACGCACGCTACCTGGGAATCGACCCTGTGGCAGACCATGACCTCTTGTGGATCGCTGTGGAGGCTCTCCGTATCCGTGCATCTGGCCAGAAGAGTTGTTGAAGCTCGCGGAAAGCAGAGGCCCTAGAAGCACCCCTACCCTCCGATTGGACGGAGCATTTCGACAGCAGCGCATGGATCTCAGAAATCGGTGAAGACTTTCAAATTGACAGATAAGCACTTCACCGAGGACCGAGTGTTTTATTACAATGCATCGACGAGAGTTAGCTCGTGGTCTGCCCCCAAGATCCTGGCATCGAGAGAACCTTGCAAGAGAACTGGGCAACACAAGCGCTCTGCATCGCGTCCCTCAAACAGGACGCATCCGCTCGAGCACGTTTACCGAGAAACGTATAAGACCATTGTGAACCTGCGCAACTCCAATATGTCAGCGCAGGACCGGCGCAGCAGACCGGCAGAGCGAATGTCATGCACCAATAACCTTGTACGTCAAAAATGTGTGTGTAAACATGTCTGGGCGTCCTCTGTGCCCGTTTAAACAAAGACCCTCTGTGTGTGTGTGTGTGTGTGTGAGTGTGTGTGTGTGTGCGCGTGCGTGTGTTCTCTGTGGGTGTTTGCCTGCTTGCTGCCCGTCTGTCAGTCAGTCCGCCTTTTGTGTTCCGTATACTTGCATTGTTTTTCGTACAAGAGTCGAACGGTACATTCCTCGGAATGCAGACTGTCCAGCCACGGATCCATGCAAACGCTGCCCCTCTTTTCAGGAGCGAGGGGACGCCCTGTCAAAGCTACAGGCAGAGGTTCGTCAGATGGACCAGGCTCTTTCCTGCATCTCATGTTCAAACTTGTTCACTCTGTGGTAGCTGGTCATGTCTCTTCGAGGAGACACAGAAGGAAGTGGCAAAGTGGCCTCTGCCTCGGAAATTAGCAGAGCACAGAGTGCGGCAACCCTGCTGGAAGCGGACTTAACGCCAAGGTCCGAGCATCAAGACGAGCAGGGCAACAGATTCTATTTCAACAAAGAGGTGCTTTCAGAGCGTGTTTCTTTTGAAAGACAACCATCATGGGGGGGGGGGGGGGGGGGGGGGCGGGGGTGGAATCCGGTCGCCTGAAAAACATTCTGTCATGATGGACATGGTGAGACATCCAAAGCAGGGCCCCCGTAAATCTCATGCCACCGGGGAAAGTTGGCAGAGAAAGTCTATAAAAAGGTGTCTGTAGAGCCCTTCGAGTTCTGATTGAATTTTTTTGAAACTTCAGGCAGTTCTCTGGAAACGTCCTTTGCGTTCGGTGTCTGGGCAGGAAAGGCAGAGTACCTGGACAGACCCGCGCCCCGCCAAGTGCCAGGCGCGCTTGCTCACAATGCGATAATGCGACCTAGCTTGGATGAACGTGATGAAAGTGGTCTCTCTTTAAACCCGTCTTGGAGCATCAGTCAGGTCTTGTATCTGAAGATGAAGGCCTTCAGAATACTGCGGCTTGGCTTCACTTGGTCCTTTGCTGCAGTGGCCCGTGACTTCTCGTCTTTTGGGTCACCTCGTAGGATGCCAAACTGAGAGCATCTGAGAGCTGTGGCTCTCCGATTACATCCGATCATCTTGTAGAATGAATGGTGCGCTCGTGAAAGATGCCTCCTGCCCGAGTGATTGCCACCGCCAAGCCAGTCAGCAATGTAGGGCCCCATGAGTCGTCCGGGGCTACTTGCCTGCCGAGTATGGCCATGCGGCCATGCGGCCAAGACACGTGGCACATGCCCATTCGACAAAGCGGCCGCAGTCGACAGCAGCTGTCCCCTTGAGCAGTTGGTGGCTGCGAGTGGCATCGCCGTGGCAGCCGTAGGCGGGCCCGTGGTCCTCCATGGAGCAGGCGGCGTCTCAACTGGACAGTCGAGAGCTGGAGCGAGTCGAAGGGCGGCCCCAAGCGAAGAACTTCCGGAAAAAAAGCGCAAATTCCGTGCATCGTTCCGGAACGCTACCAACGTCGGATTGGTGAGCTCCCAAAAATCTGGGCTAGTCAACAGCTTGAGTTTCCGATGTCAGATGTCATGTGAAATTGCAAGGTCAAGCACAGCGGGAACACCAGGCTTCGTGGATCCGAGCAAGGACCAAGTCAAGCTGGAGGGTTCACGGCGTTCATGGTGGGTCCAAACCGTAACTGGGGCGGGGTCAGCACATGTTAGCATCAGAATCCAATGAATGCTTAGATGCATCTGATTTAAGTGTTTGGATACGGTTTGTTCAGTTGGTGTCAGTGACCCTGCAAAAAGCAAGCTGCCACTTCAGTTAGCTGCCATCGCTTCGTTCACAGACGCACAGGATTCCACGGGCTCTCGCTATGGCTCCATGTTCGGTGGGGTGCTTGCAAGCCGCAGCATCTGCTCACACGGAAATGCGTGGAATGCGGTGGGAGTGCACCCTGGGCCCGCATCTGGCTGCTCATCAGGCTCCGACTACACGGAGACCCCGATCAAGTCGAGGCAGCGTCTTCAAATCATATGTGAATGCCATCAGCCTCGTTGCTGGCAGAGTGCCACAACACATGCAAGGACGGAGAAGAAGCCGTCCAGCGACTGCGTCTCAGACTTTCTCCCTTCAATGCGTGGGCGCAAGCAAAATTTAGCTGCAGCTTTAGCAGCACCGTTGCTACTGTCTGAGGCCAGTGACGAGGTCAGTCGTTGCACTCACGCAAGTGTTTAGATCGTACATGGGCTTGGGTTGCCGCATGCGGGTTCCTCCGGAGGTCATTGATCTTTCCAAAGATGGGCCGGAGGAGAGGAACTCGCCCAGGCAAGGCTGCACATTTGTGAACATTTGTGACTTTTGCCACACTGTTGGTTCCATTGCTGATCATGCTTGCTCGCGTTTCTGTTGCTGATGCGGCCTTGTTTCTACGTTTCGGACACCGCTTGGTATTGGGAGGGTCTAGTGGCGACATGCCGACAGCAGCTCGGCTGCTGGATGGGATGGTCTGGCTGCAAGAAGTAGTCATCACGAGGAGGTAATCAGGCTTCTCCAGGGAAGGACCAGGAGGGAGCGCAAGATCGAACTTATTTTTCACATGGAGTGGAAACCGATGTGCAGATGCCTGCGCGCAGAGTCTGAACTCTTGCCAGTGCCAGCGATTGCTACGTGATTGCTACGTGATTGCTACGTGGTTGCTACGTGATTGCTCTTGCTTCCATGATTGTTGGCAGCTTCTTGGTGCCCAATTATTCGCTGTGATCCGCTTCGAGGACCTCAGAGCACTCTGCGCATGGCAGCGACTCTGACAGCTCCAAAGCTCAGCATCCCGCAGCGCTCACCGCAGCGCTCACCGCAGCGCTCTACCCTGTTTCGACCTGCCCTCCTCGTTCCTTGCCTCTGTCGGAACTCAGGTGATGATAGGAAAAAGAAGAAGAAGAAAAAGAAGGACAAGAAGGAGAAGAAGAGCAAGAAAGGAAAGGATGAGGCCACCGCATGATGCATCTTTGTGGGCAAAGTTGGGCCAAAAGCGGCCAAGCACCGCACCTTATAAGTACCCTTTAAGTACCCCTGCGGACCTGCGCAGAAGCTGACGCAGCTCACCAGCTCGCAGTCGGAACTTCCCGGGGCCAGGTCTGGAGCCCAAAAGATCCTTCTGCAAGTCTGCAAGTCTATTGGCTGTTCATGTTCCTTTCGGTTACAGTAGCTGCGTAGCTGTTGTCAGCAATTACTGCTGAGCCTCTCGGATCTTTCTTCTAGGTGATGTATTTGGGTGTTTCATTGGGTGTGGCTTTTGTCGGAGTTCAAGATCCGTCATCATGTTATATCGTGTCCCCCTATCAGACGACAAGGCCCCCAGCCGCAGCATCCTCAAGCAGCGCCACGGTACCCGCGTGCCATGCTTACCGTGACTTCAGCGTGACACAACAAACTCTGGGCTAATCTCGCTCCACACTTGTCAAGTCACATCCTTTTTGAGTGTATGCTTGCATGCCGGCATGTTTTCAAACCTTTTCATGCTCAGGTCCAACTCCGACGACAATTCAGGCATGTTTCAAGAAACTTCTTGGTGGCTTGAGACTGCATGGGAAGTCGGCTGGAGAGCCACAACTGACAGGGTTCGGCGAGCACAACGAGGCCAATTGTCAGAGTTCATAGCGTAACGGCCAGGGCGGATCGCCAACTCGCTGACAGGGGAAGACGGGCAAGGGCCATGTGAAGGTGAAGGCGGCCCTCATGTTTTGAAACATTCCCCCTTCGACTTTGGAGGGAGGAGTCTAGGAGTAGATTCTGAAGTTGATGGAAGATTCAGCACACTCCAGGCAGGCATCCGCCTCGAGCCCTTGGGCAGCTTGAATCAAGGCTTCGGCCTTTCCGAAACTTTCCTGATGCCTCCGTCCAGTTGATACACGTTGATACACGTTGATACACGTTTGAGACGGTTCATACTGAAGTATAAGATTGCAGTACCCAAAGCCTAGAGTGCCCAGAGCGTTCAGGCAGCCCAGGGTCCAGCCCGATGGATCGACTCGATGCCGCCTCCTCAGGAGTCCTCTTTGAGGAGTCCTCTTTGAGGAGTCCTCTTTGAGGAGTCGCCCCCGGTTGAGCCAGTGTGCCGTTGGACCCGGACGACTCGTACTGAGTTTTGTCATGTTTGTCGAGGTCCGTGCTGGAGGCCTTCGCAGCATCCCGTGAAACACCCGAAGCTGCAGAAGCGAACCAGTTAAAGCCTGCAGCTTGACGCTTCCCAATGCGTCCCATTCTGAAAATTTATTCTCCGGTCTCACCCGGATGAGTCTCACCTCCCGGCAATGCACGTGGTGTTGCTACAGATATGCAACAGATTGTAGTTCGTCCCGTGCGGCCACCCTGCTCCGGCAGATGTATGGACTGATTTGATTTCCACCTGCTCATGTGACTCATCGCTCTCTGCATCCAAGATACGGATGAGCGCTGGCTGAGAATATCAGCATGCTAAACTGCCGAGCGTGCGGCTTCGACACATGCCATCAGATGTGTAGCAAAGGATGAAGAAGACAGATAAGGAGGGTTTTGCTGTTACGATGCACGCAAGACGCCAGTCCGGCTTCAAGTCTACATACTAGTAGTTCTTTTGCAGCGTTTCAATACAATGCTGCAGACAAGGCGGTGCCCCGGGTGGTACCCCGAGCGCACGGTGCAGAGCAAAAAGCCAGGGCAAGATCGCATCAGCACTGCGGAGCCAGGTAATAACAAGGTAATCGCTCCCCTCCTCAGGTGCTCAGTTGCAGATGTTGCAGCGCTTTCTCTGCTCTCAGACAGGGAGAGTCGGCGAGATGTAGAAGCATGGCACCAGTCGATCCAGAGCTTGCCGACGCACTGAGAGCATGGGGTGCCGAAGGCGAAGACGATTGGAAAGTCGACATCCCTCGACCAGGCAGTGCGGGCGAGATCGCGTCCTCAAGGCCAAATAGAACTGCTCCTGTCGGTGGTTGGTGTCTCATCCTCAGTTGATGCTGTACCTGGGTCGCTGGTGTGTCTTTGATGTGGGGTGTCTGCTTGCGCTTGACTTCTGAGGTTCCATCAATTCACCTGCTTCGCAACCTTCGTTGCAAGCTGGTTGCCAGCTCTTCCAAAGACCTCAGAGCGAACAAGGCACACGGCGTGAGAAGACCGTGAGTCAGCGATTCTCAGCTGATGAGCTGCAATGCTTCAAAACACGATATCTTCCATCCACTGAGTTTGAGCAGAAGTCCCAAGTTTATTGGCAAACGTTCGGTGAACTACGCCAGAATCTGTCAGAGGACAACTGGCACCTCTTGCCAGTGTCCAAGGGCCAGTTCTACCAGCATTCCCGATTCAAAGAAAGCTTGGGCGGGCCCACAGAAGCCGAAAAAGCTCGGGCCCTTGAGAGGGCGCAGCGCCTTCTTGCCGAGAAGAAAAAAGTTGAAGAAGTTCAGCCATTGGCCACAGAAGCCTTCGTAGGAGATGAGTCTGGGCTCAACAAGAGCTTCTGTGTACCTGCACGGTTTTTGCTCTCGTGCTTTTTTGATTTTTTTCTTCTGACTTTTCGTGGGACACCAAGGTCTTGAATCGCATCTTCCCACGGAACCCGAATGCCAAGAAGGAAGAGGTCGGTAGGGCCAGCCGGCACGGTCGGCGCCAATCGATGGCCACTTTTCACCTTGGTGGTAGACGAGCTTCTCTCATTGGGCCTTCGAAGCCCATGAAGGAGTCTGCCAGTGCACCCAATTTCAAGACGAAGCCTTCACAGCCCGCATCCATCCGAAGTCCGTTGTCACCTCTCCTTACCAGTGCCGTTGTCAATCCGATTGGCGCCCGAGGGGCGATGGAGGAGTTTCGTCGGGCAATACTGGAGAAGTTCAGCACGGTCAAGGAAGCTTTTGAGACCTTCATGAAGGATTTGCCTGACAGGCACGTTCGTTCGACTACTTTGGTCCCAGGGCGATCTCCCGCTTAAGTTTCAGGGCCGGAGAGGGTGTGGTTTCATTGCATGTGCACACGGGCATTTTTCTTGCATGCAAGCTTGGGCAAGTATGCATACGTCGGCAATGATTCAATGGATGTTCAGATATATTCAGTATAATTAGAGTGTTTTCTTCTCTGGTGTGTCAGGCAGATCACGAAGCTCGAGCTGTCTCGGACCCTCGCTCGCTATGGTTTCGAGTGGCCAACAAAGGAGGTCCGCGACACCATCTTTGATCGACTGGACTTCAAGTCGATTGGCCGAGTGACCATGGTAGGCTTCTATGTGATTGTGGAGGCCTCCGCCCCTGTCCGAAGCGTCGAAGATTTGCGGAGGAGGTGGCTGGCTAGTCAGTTTGGCTCCATGCATCAAGCCATCATGGCCATGGTGGAGAACTCGACGCATGCACTCTCGCACAGGCTGACACTCCAGGAGTTCGGTGAGCGATTGCTTCGAGTCAATGTGACAGACCCTGAAGAGCACTTGGCCCTCTTCAAGTCCCTGTGCTACACCGAAAAGAACAAAGACAACAAAGAGAACAAAGTGACTGGAGCGAGTCGGGAGAGTCAACAAGGTCCACAAAGTCAACGAGTGAGTATCGGGGAGCTGGCCAGCGCCGTGGCTGTGGTCTCCCCTTGCCTGCTCCTGGAGGATCTGCGCGATCGCTTGCACAAGAGGTACAACGGGGACTTCAGGAAAGCGTTCGCTGATCTGGACATGGATCGAAGCGGGTGCATCGATCAACATGAGTTTGTGGTAAAGGCGATGGACCGCCTGAACCTTACAGAACTTGAGGCTCGGAAGATGTTCCGTGAGATTGACGTGGATGGATCTTTGGAGATCTCCCGGAACGAGTTTGTCTGCGCGATTGGCTTATCAGAGCCCTCGCTGTTCCTGGAGGACCTTCGAAAAAAGGTGAGGCAACGTTTCCGCAGCTTTAAGGCCCAGTTCGCCAATGCCTTCCATGACAGCGCCTTGAACGAGTGCGAGTCTGCGCCACGACTCAGCCTGAGCAATTTCCAAGAGTTGCTGTTGCCCCTGAGCATGAGCGAGAAGGAGACAAAGGTTCTCTTCAACTTAATAGATATTGACCACGATGGCCACTTGTCCGTACGCGAGTTCGTGAGGGGGGTCCGACACTTCTCACCTTCAGCAGTTCTCGAGGACTTACGCGTAATCTGCTGCCAGCAGCACGAGCAAATCACGGATGCGTTTGTTGGCCTGGATTGCTTGAAGGTGATGGATGGCAAGGCCTTTCTTCAGCAGCTGGTTGAAATCGGATTATGCGACAAGGACAACTCCGCGGAGCTGGCGGCGGGAGTCCCGGCTCAGGCGCTTTTTGACATCTTAGACGTGGCCAACAATGGCGAGGCCACCATCGGGAGACTCCTGGCAGCGCTCCAGTCTTGCGGCGCAGGGACGACTGCGCGTCTCTCAGCCGAAGACCTGGACATGCGGGCCAGAAATGATGTGAAGAACGATCTGGCTCCCATGCACAAACTCGTGACGGACTTGAAGTTGCAGGCACGCCAAGGCATGAAGTACAGTGAAGAGGAGAATCAAGAGATGGTTGTGGATGAGAAGGCCAGCACACGCATCTTTGATGCGATGCTCGAACAGCTGGACCGTCCAGAGCTGAACTCCGCATCCTCCCCGGTTGAAGGCGGACAGAGTGAGCAGAACACGAAGAGGGGCCCACCCAGGCTCAGGACCCTCCTCTACGAGGATGTCCTGAAACAGTACACCTACAAGACCACGAAGAGCCAAAACAAAGCGGCGAACCCACCCATGGCAGGCGGGACGAAGACGGGCAAGGCCCGCGACAGCGTCGCCAAGCCTGCCAAGCGTCCCATCCACAATGCCTCAAACGGGACTCAAGATAGTTGGCTGCGCATGTGGGCCAACTTGAAGACGAGCCCAAAGAAACCCGAGCGGCAAACTCTTGAAGCCGACCTGCAGTCGTATTATCAGACTGCTGCCTGGAAGCTTTCTCACGATGGACCTCTGCTGCATGGGATCGAGCAGAGACTTACTCAGGACCCATTCTTGGGCAAACGCCCACCAGAATTTCCAAGCTAGTCTCGTGATAGAGTCATAGAATGCCATAGAGTTCTTCGAGAATAGAGTATCTCAATCTTTTCAAGGGCGAGCAGATTTGTGTCTGCCAAAGTCGTCATCTTCAGCCCTCAGTTTCACCCTCAAGCAGCATAATGCCAGTTTCACCCAAGCAGAGCACGCATTAAGATCGACGCAAGCCAAACCAAGCCATTCGATGCGATGTTGTGCTGCATGCATTGGCAACTTCTTCTTGTCTGCTTTGTTGTCATCCACGTAGTCAGTTTCGGCAGCCCAATTTTGGTACTTCTAGCTCACACAGATGCCCTCGGGCTGCACAACGGCGCTGTCTTGACAAACACAGACGGAGTCCAAGTGAAGCATCGTACCGAAATCACCACTGAAAAAAACTTATCTAGATACCAGTGCCGGCAAGGCGCATCTCGATAGAGGAGCGCAGTGTGAGGAGAACAACCACGAAGGCTGCTTGAACCCCCTGGGTTGCAACAGCTGGCAGAGTGTAGCCATTTGCTTCCAGCTCAAATCGGTTGTTTCAAAAGTCCTTGTCAGTTTGCCAATTCTACGTCGCGGATGATCATGTCACATGTTCTTGCGGTGCTCTTCGGCCTTCATTGCGTCACTGGCTACCGCCACGAGATGCATCTGAACCTTCGCCCCGAGGTGACCAGCAACGAATCAAGTAAATCGACTCAGCATGGTGGCGCCAATGGTGCTTCTGCCGGCTGTGCCAACGGTGGGAGCCCGTCCTACTGCTCAGGCAAAGACGGGTGGCACTGGTCCCAGAACGCATGCTGCAAGGAGGGCGAGTATGTCTCTTGTGAAGATGGGTCGACGCACTCCACTTGTGAAGGTACGCTGGGGTGGGACAAGGGCCGAGGGTGGAAGTTTATCGGCGAGGGCAAATGCTGCACGACCAAGTGGGTGACTTGCGAGACGGGCTCCACAGCAAGCCAGTGCGAAGGCACCTGGGGTGGCGAAAAGCAGAGTGGTTGGAAGTTCGTTGGCAGCGGCAAGTGCTGCCTCGCAACCGACTCTCAGGTGTGGCTGACTTGCGAAACGGGGTCCTCATCAACGGAGTGCGAAGGCTCCTGGGGAGGCGACAAGAGCAACAGTTTCAAGTACATTGGCGATGGAAAATGTTGCACGCAAAACTGGATGGCCTGCGAAGCAGGGTCGAATGCGCAGCAGTGCGAAGGAAGCTGGGGGGCAGACAAGAAGAATGGTTGGAAGTTCATTGGAGGCAAGTGCTGCCTATTCTCTCCTACATCAAAGGTGAATCTGCAGTGCCGTTCTGGGTACTCAGCAAGTCAGTGCAGCAATGATCGCGGCAAGCTCATCAGCAGCGACAAGTGCTGCTGGATGTCCTGGTGACGCATTGATAATGGATGAGGTGCTCTGGGAGAAAAGCAGTAGAACTGCCCATCTGAACTCACCACTAGTCACTAGGCTCCTTAGGATGTTTTGATTTGCCAATGATTCCAAAAGGTCTGCGAAGATGCAATTTCGAAGATTCAGCCTGTGTAGTCGGTCCTGTCATGTCCAGTCGTCAATGTATGCATGTTGCGTATGCTCAATGTTGCTCCCGTGCCTACTGAGCAAACGGAGACACCTGCTCACCTTGCTGGCTGCCCTAAAATGAGGTCGGCATCGCACAGGGTACACGTACATCTCAACCTGCTTTCGGTATATCTAGTATATCTGGGACCTTTTCTTCTTGCGAACTCCGTCCCACATCCAGTTCCGCCCAGCAATTGTGGCCGTGGCCAGTTCGACTCTTGAATTTCGTGCATGATTTGATGATTTGATGCTTGACGAATTCAATTTTGACTTCTCGTCGTGGTTTCGTTCACACAGTTCATGCAAGTCACGCGCTTACTTTTTCACTTATACTCGCCTTAAATTGTGCTCTGTTCACCGGTTTCTTTTCATTCACCCTTTTAGTCATTAAAAGAAAGGGGCTGTAGAAAGATTAAAAGGCCCGTATAAAATAGTAATTGAGCTGGCAAACGAAGGGTAAAAGCAAACTGAAGCATTTACTGTACGTGTTACTCGGCTGGCACCATACTATCTTTGCTGAAACTGTAGCAGCTGTAGCATGCGTGTCAACTGTCTGGATCGACCGTTCCAGTGGATATAGTCTGTATGTTGATAGTGGCTGGGCTGGCTTGTGGCAAAAACTCGACCATTATGAATGTGTTCGGTTAGGTTGTACTTGTTTGTCTGAGCACTTCGCGGATTCCCACTGTCGCACTGCTCAGCCTTGCATCTGGAAAAGATCCAACGCCCAAGTTCAGAGCCAAGTTGGTGGCGCTTTCTTCACCTGTGACAAGTGCCGTCTGCGGGCTTGTTGTAGCTATTATCCCTCTTGCCGCAAGTCCGAACCTATCTCAAGCTGTCTACTTGTCCTGTGGCGGCTACGACGGAAGACCGTGTTCCTTTAGGTCTTGTTTGCCTGCACCGTTTACAAGCGAAGCTCTCACTTAGAGAGGCTGGGCCTGCAGTGGCAGTGCAGTTCTCCGAGTCCCGAGATGAGACCTGTATAGGCATAGCAGGCTTGCTGGCTCCGCCAAAGCATTCTAATTCTAGGGGAGAAAGCTGCATCGCAGCGGAAGCCCGAACAGCTTGCCTGAATGCGGCGAGTGCTCCTTGGCCTTGGGGCTTCTGCCCCCCTTAGGCAGAGCTGATTGACGAAATGTAGAGCGGCTCGAGTTCAGAGCGCCTCTGGCAAGGCCATGCACTTTGCTGCAACTTCGTCTCGCGTCTGTAGACCCTTCTTGGACATTTCGGTGAGGCAGAATGGAGAGGCAGAATGGGAACCTTTTCCAAGCGGAACCTGCCTGCTTATACACCCTCCGCCCGTGAAAACTCACGTAAGTCGTAGTTGATCAATTTGGAAACTTTCTGGCGCCCTATTTGCACGACATCAGATCAAACAACCCATTGGGAAGATCCATACAGGGAAAAGCCGCTTGGGAAGAAGGGTCTGCGTTTCAGCTGCTAGCGATGTCCCCGAAGCCTATATGGGTCAAGGTTATGGAGAATCGCGACGATCAGGCTGAACTTCCCAGCGTGACAATCATAAGAGTAGATGATCGCCGATATATCCGTACTCCCCAAAGTTACTACCAAGCCACTGCAGCATCATTTGCCGGACAGCAACAAGGACTCTGTAAAGCTGCCTAGGGCAAAACACAAGTCTGCGCCATGGATGGGCGGGCAACTCAGACCTCAGCTTTTTCATCAGCATGAATCATTGCCATGCACGTGAGGACACTTAATCTTACTCGTCAACAGGTGCTTGACCATCTGCTTCGAGCCGACGAAGCTGCATCTGGCAGGGCAGCTTTGCCGAAGGCCCGGGACAGGTTCTCCCAAGCTTTGTGACTTTGCGCAAACGGGAATGGGTCAGCAAAGCAGGGATCGAGGGACCGAGTCTGTGGTGCGAAGACGACCTCCGAGAGCCTCCGTTAGTTGATGCAAGTGAGGCGACACCCGAGACAAGGAGCAAATGCAGAGAGAGAGAGAAAGACTGCAGACCTGCAGGCGCATCGTCCTGTTCCGAGAGGCCGGATGGCATCTACAGTTTACAGTCTTTCGCGCAAGCGCGCCTCCATGCGCAGGGGGAAGGAGTGATTCAGTAGGCCGTCTCGGGAAGAGAGGCTCGTTCTCATGTGCAGGAAGACACAAGTCTTCACCGTAGAATGGAAGGCGAATCACTATCGGAACTGTCAATGTATATCACATGCATTCACCCAATTCTTTTCTGGTTCACCTTCCTTTAGGCCTTCTTTATCGATTGTACCATCATGTTTAAGCTGACTGTTTCTACTTGCACATGTGTCATATACCACCAGTACCATTCTCAGGGTTTCCGGATTTCACGCGACACACACACCTGGACCCTAAACGAACGCCACGTCAACCCCTGTACCAGCTAAGCTGCAGCAACACCCTTGCAGACGAAGACCGGGTATTCCCCTTAGACTGTGCCCAACCAGCTAATGTAGTTGCAGATGACGTACAAACACAGACTATGCTTAACCGGAAACAACGGTTGCGACGAATACCAGCATAGGATAATGTCATTCTATTGTCTTGCAGGAAGGACACTTTTAGCCTCCTCGAGCTCCAGCGCTTCTTCGCTTGGAGGCCGTTGAAGAGACCTGTCTCGTAAGTGTCTCGTAACATCATCTGGTAATGTGGCACACTGCTTAGTTGGCTAGGAGCGTCCATCTCAGCATTCGGCGGCGGTGGGGCACCCGACATGCGGCGATGTGAGCCGTTGTGTTGACAGATGCGTCACCACTCTGCAAGCTAGGTGCCTCCGCTGAACCCAGCTTGTTCGGATCAGGAGCATATGTGGGTGCTGCAATGTGCAGATGTGTCAAATGTGTGGCAACCCTGTGACTGTGCAGATCCTGCAAGCTCAACAACTACCTTCTGCAGCTGGGGCCTCGGATGGCCGCGTTGGCACTGCCTTGCGATGCCTTGCGGCTAAGGTAATTCCTGTCGTTCCTGGCTGCTGCTTCCCCCTCCCCCGCACTGCTGCTCTCCGGACAGACTCAGAGTGTGCTCAACCAGACAACGGTGTCTGAGTGTCATGTCCCGTCCGAGCGATGTCGTATCTTGCGACCATGGGACTACACATGCGTGGCTGAGCCCACAAAGGTCACAGCCAACTGGAGCTACAGCTGAGCATTTTCGACTCCCCGTGTTGACCTGTCCGGGTCGGGTGTTGCCGTCACTTGCGCAACTGGCATCGACACGCACATGTGCAAGAAGAAGGAGGAGGAGAAGAGGAGACTCAGCTGCGGGCTTGGGTCATGCAAGCATGCTGCCCAACGTGGCTGCAAGGAGCACAAGCTCACATTTTATGAAATTCTGAATCGTCATGAGAAAATGGAGCATCACCGCAATACGTTATGCAGGAAATCACATGACTCTAATGCGTGGTACGGGAAATCACAGACTCAAGAGAACATGCTTGACCTTTTTGTTGGGACAAAACTCAAACAGCATTTTCACTCATATTAATAAGGGGCACCATCGTTTCAGGACTAAGCCTAAGTTCAAATTCATCTAAGTGAAAGAGGCATGTATCTTGAGAATAGGATGCCTCAAACGTGACGGTGCCCTATATCAATAAAGCAGCGAATGTGGATGTTCATGACTCTAAGGCAATCGATTTATCAATCAAGAGCAAATAGGCATGAGTCCAAAAGCTTTATAAAGCAGGGTTTGTCTTTGCCATGCCACCAGACCACAAAAAAGTGAAAAATGAAAAAACCCTTGTGGGAACAGCCTGCTGCGTCCCCTTTAGCCCGCTCCGGACCAGGCCGTGGTCTCCACTGTGGCACATTGCCTATATTGCCTGCACTGCGCGCGCTGCGATTGCCTGACTTGCAGTGCCGACACTGCGCTGGCCATGCTCCTGGATGCTGCACCGGGACCGCCGGGACCGAGAAAGCCCTAGCAAAAGATCTCTGATCTGATCTGATTCCGGCGCCTTCTCCGATTGTCAGCAAGTAAGCTCCCTGCTGCCTCGCAGCTCGAGGTCTCTCGTAGTTTGCTCATCAGTCGCCTGCTGCACGAGGCTCGCAGCGTAAGATTTGCAAGGCTGAGATGCCTCTCGACGGAAGATTCGCCAGGCGTCGATGCGTCACCCGTGCATCAATGGGAGCCCTAATCTGCCGTGGAATAAGGCCCACTGACAGGCATGCACAGCGCTGGCAGGTCTATGTGCTGCATGCAGCCTTCCGCTCAGCGGGGGGCAGCTGCTGCTGTTGCTCAAGTTCGTGTATTGGAAGTGGTATAGCGTTTCGTGACTGGCGGGGATCCAACCCAAAGCCTTACTTTGCTGTAACGTGCCGCGGCTCTCAAGCCACTCAGCCGTAAGTGTACCAACTTGGAACGGCAAGACTTCTGACGTGTCCGACTTTCACATGGACCAGCCGGCTGCAGGAGCCGTGACCTGCATGACTTCATGCCTGGCAAGTGCCTTCTAGCTACTCAGAATTGAGAATGTTCCGCATTTGACTGGCTTCAATAGGGCCACCGTGCCAAGTTCGACTTGCGGCCTTCTGTGGCCATCTGTGGCCTTGTAATGAGGCACCGTGGCTCGGCTCAGGTTTAATGTGGCCTTTTCACGGCGCTGCAGCAGCGAGTTGACCATGTTGAAAGCATCGCCCAGTCACCGACCTCCGGGGTGCACGTGTTGCTTGAGCTCTTGCCCGGGAGCACCTTCTTGTCGCCCTGAAAACGACTACAGCTATTACAGGAGCATTTGGACTGCGCCAGTGCATCTCTGGCCGCTGCAGGGCTGAAGTGCTGAAACCCTCCTGTTTAGTGCGGGTCGTCGCCTGAAGATTCCA